TATTTTTTGTTATATCCTGAAGGGAAAAGTTCTCTATGAGAGTTAGTGTGTGTGTTTGTGTGTGGAGGGGAGGGGCGTCAGAGAAACAATTACACAACAAATAGAAAAACATATTAAACAACAATTTACGAAGAAGCTACGGAGAGTCCTGGCGAATTTATGAATCAACAACAACACAAGGTTCTTCCTTTTGGAAAAACACATGCGTGTGTGCCGTAAACAAGACTAAGTCCAAGTCCACACAGGAGCCAAGAAGGCAAAGAAAAAGTCCTAAAAGAAGCAGCTGCCAGCCTTCGGGACAGGCCAGGCCAGGACAGAACATTATAGACCAAAAATGAACAGAGTAGAATATTTTGTTTGTCTTCTTTCCGAGCGTGGGCTTCTACCACCACACAGAGTTTTCGTCCTGACGGGTTACAGTTTACGGGTTACGGTTTACGGGTTGGTCTTCTGTTTTTGTTTGGCCAGCATAGGGCTGCCTGCTAGTAGCTACTATCCGCTTAAATGAAACTTTACGGAGGGCCTTCATTACGGATCGGTTCGTGCGGTGCCCAAAAGCGATAAGTGAAATAAAATGATGATGCCAGTAGTAGTAGTAGTGGCAGTGGCAGAAGTAAATCTCTGCTAGCAATGATTTTTCTCCGCTACAAACTCATTTCAAGCCATAGCCATAGCCGCCACTGCCATGAAGGGAGCAAACCAAACAACCACCGCATCCTTCAATGTAAGTGGATAAAGTTTTTGGGGCCACAGTTTTTAGCTCATTCCGGGCCACTTACATATTTTCTGGTCAACAATTCGTCAGACCTGGCTTAGCCCGGCTTGGTGCAGGGTTCTTGGATTTGGTGGGGCAAGTTTTGTGGAATGCTTTTGCGGCGACAGAATGTGTATAAATTTTTGTCAAAAGTGTAGCAAGGCATTCAAGAATTTGTTGAATTGTGTTTTGCGAAAGTTTTCTGTGCAGTTATTTAATTGAATTTGCCACCGAGGGCGCTGTGGCCAGCGTGCTGCTGAACAGAACTTTGTGCCACAACACCAAGAACACCAAGTGTGTGTGTGGGGTTACTTGTCGTAATTTCTCGTTTAGATTTGAACCTCACCCTCTCCCCAACCCTGGCAGAACTCTTGGCTGCAGTCGCCTCCTGTTTTCAAAGTTTTTACGATTGTTTATTAAGGAACTAAGCGCACTTAATAAGATTATGGACTGGGCGTGGTCGGTTGGCTGGTTGGTCGGTTGGGTCGGTCGGTCAAGACACAAGTCCGATTACGATTACGAGTACTACGAGTAGCCAAGTACATAGTAAAAAATGCTTGCCATCCGCAAACAATTCAAATTAAATTGAAAGTCCAAAACGGTCTCCACAACGCCTGACATTCCGTTCGAGTTTGGTTTTCGCATTTGCCGCTGACAGTCCACAGTCGACAGCCATCAGGGGAAAAATATGGCCGCAACAAAATGGAGGGGCTCATGGAGGAGGGAAATTTCTATGAAGTACATTGTGAAGATGGAATTTTTCTTTAAAATAATATTGCATACCTGCAGGGGCTGCCTTTCAGTCAAAGGAAACGAAGTGAAATGTGTTTCCCCAACATGGAAGCATCTTACTGACAACCCATAATGGTGCCGGTTATGGTTTGTAAATATTAACCGAAAAAAATTTTTTTTTTGAAAACTTAAAAGCTGAAAAGTCCGCTTCCTTTTAAAGTATCAGTGGGAGCAGCTGTGGGTGGGGAAGGACATTTGCTTCAATCTCATCGGTACTGAAATGGCAGTTCGGCTTGGGAGAAAGCACTAAAAGTGGGTCGTGTGTGTGTGTGTATGGGATTTTAACTGAATGCAATTGAATTTGCAAATGGTTATTTAATCATCTTATGGCTATTTCCGACACTAAACATGTTAATGGCTCTGCCGCCCGGAATGGCTGACTGAAATGCAACTGAGTATGCACTTTATCCAAAGGACCCGGAGGAGTCTGAATCTCAAAATATGTTAATCTCCGGCAATCACTTTAAAACGCTTCTCACTGATGCATAAACATTTTCCGAAAATGTGATGGCATTTGAGCACGGATTACGATTCTCTCTTTGGCAAATGATCATTATCCGTGTAACTTTCCCCCAAATGAAAATAAACAGTTGTGGAAAATCAGCAAAAGCATGAGCCTGAGCCTTGCCTTGCTTTGCCTTGTCAGGATGTGAGAGAATTTTAATTGTGTCGACAGATGCCTGATAGGGGAAGGATACATTCATACATACATAGGTGACAGGCGGTATGCACCTTCATCGTTGCTTTCGAGGACGTCAAAGGGAGTCCTTGCCGGCGTTAGGAGAAAGGGCTTGCATTCCCTTGCACAATTTTCGCCGTTTAATCGGATTACTGGCATACTCACAGGCTCTCAGTCTCATCCAGTCCTTGTTAAAATACATTTATGGCCAAAAAGATTTAAGGCAAACATGGCGCGCACAGATTTAATAACATTAAGTGACATCTGTTGTCTTGGCTCGCTGTGAGGGTCTGGAAACCGGAAACCGGAGCAATTAATTGGTCACACTTTCTGCCACGCCCCACTCGAGACCGCCAATTCGGGCGGGATTACAATTACCAGCAGCCAGCACCCAGCAGCCAAAAGCCCGATTCTGACCAGGCCAAGTGCGTGGGCGTGCGTTTAATGCCACTTTGATTTTCACACTCCCTACACCCGACCACACCCATCCGCCTTGAATGGAGGCGTGGCTGGAGGAGGACGACTGACTTAATTACGCACGTATGGCTGTTTAAATTGGGTTTGCCCCGGACGGGGAATGTTAGTTTTATGTTAATTAAGTATTGTTTATGTCAATTAGGAGAAGCGGAATCGAAGGAGGAGGAATAGGATAGGAATTAGATATCCCATAGAAATTATATTAACTTGGGCAGTAGAGAAAGAAACGGGAAATTAATACAGCCCGGTTAGGTGGCAACAGACATCTTAATAACATCTTACTGGGCCAAGGGAAGTTGGCTCCCATAAACAAGCAATTAAGATAAACAAAGTCTCGGCTCTAAGAAGAAAAACAGAAACGAAAACCAACCCCTTAAGGAACTAATATCCTAGTTTTTCTTTTTTTTTTCAATTAAATTCCTTTCAATTAATTCCTTTAATGAGTCAGCAGCACCTGAAATCCTAGAGTGCCGGGAAGAAACTCTTTCTATTCCTGTTTTGGATTACATAGCACATCGCAGTTGATTCTCTGACCCGAACACGATTTTGAAATTAAATCCCTTCGCAGTTTTGCGGCAATGTGGGCTTTGTCTGGGAACCCAAGATGGAATCCATCTCACAAGGATTTGACATACAAGACCCGAACGAGAAACGTGGCAAGTGTCGCTGCACAAAGCGGGCGACTCAGGACACTCGATAGGCTCCTTGCCAGACTCAGCCTCCGTTCCCACTGTTTCTATGGCCAACTTTGTGAAATAATGCCAGTAACAGACGTTGCCATTGACTATGGCATATGGTTACAGAAACAGAAGCGACAAGAAGACCTTCACACTTGAAATATATTTTTTTCTACCTAATACCCTTATTCTTTAAAGAGATACAAGGGATAATTAACTTTAAAAAAGCATTACTTCCATCCTCTTTATTTCAGGAAATAATCAATCTTTGTAGTGCCTATTTCTTGGAATTATTTTTACAAAAAATATTCATTTTTTCAAGTACACTTTAGCGGCTTATGTATGCCACGTATATCTTATATATACCCATCTAAGAACACATATATCTCCGACGCTTTTCATTCCACTTAAGCTCCGTTAAACATATTTAAAGTACGTGATGTTAAGTGTCTCCTGAGCATTTGGTCCCAGCTCTGGTACCTTTTTGCAAAAGCAAATTTTAATATGTTTAACTCGTTTTGGTTGCTCCGCCACAGTGGAGGCGCCGCGGATGCGAAGTGAGAACCGTGTGGTCGAGAGCCGAACTTGTGGCGTTAATTTTTAACGGGCTGCTCTCCGGGTTGGACCGAGTTGGAATCATCGGCATCATTTGTGGCATGTCTAGGCCTGGGCTCTGCCATCGTACATAAATGTCAACCGACGCGCTCATCCATCAATGAGCTCTGAAAAATTAACACTGTGAGTGACAGTGGCAAAGGACTTTCGCCTTCGCCTCTTTTTTTCGGTGGAGTGGGAATGCTGACAGTGGGATGGGAAAAGTGGCTCGATGGCCTGACTGGTTGTGGCCTGGCGCCTTAAATTATGCAAAACGTTAAAATTCTCTTGCCTGGAGCTAGGTCCGGGGACTCGTCGTGGACTCGCCTGCCAAAGGTATTGCGAAATGATGAATTGTGTGTTTGGCCAGCAAAGAGTTGGCCCGGTAATAGAGTGGGCCAGCCATTTGGGGCAGTTCCATAGATTAAATTTGATTATGCCACATTACCCGACAACGAGTCCGCTACGTGATCGCCTTTACGTGGAGGGTCGTAAAGCCATTTCACAGTTGGGCTGAGCTGGGCTGAAGGCCGACCAAACTAAAAGGATTATCTGGATTAAAAATGCATGAGACAGTTTTTCTGGGCGATTAAAAAACCGGTCCCACATGGCTGAACTAAACTGAATTAACTGTGTGATTGGGAATTCATTGAAAATCTCAATGATATTGCTTTTCAACTTCGCAACAATACTCGAAACTTTACTTTAGTTTACAACTCTAGTTGTTGGACACTTTTCAGTAATTTCTGATATTCAATTGAAGCTTTATGGAAAATAAGAACTTGGCTCGACTCGATTTCAGTCTTTTCTCATTCAACTCTTTTTTAAAAATCACTTTTTCTAGATTTTTTTTGTTGCTTTTTCTTCAACTTTGCAAAGCTATCTATGGCCATTACCGACTCTGCACATGGCACAAACAACACCCACACCCACACCCACACCACCACCACCACCCACACCGCTCACACCCCCCCGGCCCAGCTTGCTAATACGTTTTTTTACGAATTTCTCTTTTCTCTACTTCTAGTTGTGCTTTTGTATTTGCCAATTTTAATGAGTGTAGCAAGCAAACCAAACCAAACCAAAACCAAAACGAAAAAAACAATTCTAGAAACCAAAAACTTTAGCAAAATACAAAAAAACACAAAAAGAACATCATCAACAACAACAACAACATCAACAATAACCAGAAGATAGCAGCAGGTCCCATCATTATTATCATCATTTGAAAAAAAAAAAGAAAATTAAACCAAAAAACTACAAGAAAAACTCATTTCAATTGCAATTAAATAAAATCAAAAGACAACCCAGCACGTACACAATGTGACAATAAAAGTAAATACAGTGAGCCAGAAGCTAAGAAGCTGAAAATGGAATTTAATTGCGAGCAGTATTAGCCATAAATGAAAAAGCCAAAAAGCAAAGCAGCAGAAAAGCAGAAAAGCACAAAGCACAGAGAGAGAGAATCAGAATCAGAAACAGAAGCAGAACCGCCACAAAAGCGTATTTTTCAAATTAATTCAAATTCCTTTATTTTCTTGCACCTTTAAGATACGTCTCACTGTGTCCTCTGTGTCTCTGTGTGTGTGAGTGTCCTGTTCACGTATCACGTATATGCATATGCGTGTGTGCACCCAAAAACCAAAATCAAAACCTTAATAGAAACCAAAAACCACAATCAAAACCACTTCCCCCCACCATTCCGAACCATTCCGATCGGTGTATCCGTGTATGTGTAGCACCACCACCACCACAACCACTTTAAAAAAAATCCAAAAAAAATAAAAAATAGAAAAAAGCACAAATAATAGAAAAATCAAAAAAAAAAAAAAAGCACCCTCACTTCCTAGAAAGAAGCAATCACAGTTAAAGAAATAAGTATAAAGCCACCTGCAAGCCTGCAACTAGCAACCACGAAACAACACCAACCAAAACCACCAACCAGCCGAACCACCGATCGTTTGGGGCTGACAGGTCAGAGTGAATAACCCAAAAATCCACCAAGCTCCGTATCCGCTTCCGCCTTTAGTAACTGCCTCCGCCTCCGCCTCCGCCTCTGCATCCGTAACCGCCTCCGTAAACCGCTTCCGCATCCGCATCCTGGTAGCTCCCGATAGCTCCCCCAGATTGATCCACACCAAACCTAACCACATACCAGCACCACAATTGCACATTACTACCATAGATACCCCCGGCAGTACTACTACCGCATGGAGCGCGGCACCAGCGGTGGTCAGCAACAGCAGCAGCCGCACCACCATCAGTCGCACCACCAGCAACAACAGTCGCACCACCACCAGCAACAGCAGTCGCGCCACCAGCATGTGGTGGCCGTCCACAGCTTCGATCCGTATCTGATCGCCGGCGGTGCGGACGAGGAGCACACGTCGGGCACCTCGTCCTTTGACAATCCCGCCACCAAGAAGAAACCACCCAAGCTGAAGCCCATCCACCGATCCCTGTCCATGGCCATTGACAACTATGCCCCGGCTGGGGATATGGATATGGACCTGGATATGGAAATGCAAATGCAAATGGGCATGGGCATGGGTATGGGCATGGGAATGGGCATGGACATGGATATGGACATGGATATGGATATGGAGATGGACGATAACGATGGCCTTGTGCGTGGCATGGGCGAGGGGATCGTTATCAGTGAGAAGCCGCTGATCCACCGCTCGGCCTCGCCGCTGCCCCACCCCCGATCCGGCGCCCTACCCCCGCAGACCCTAGCTATCCCAGCACAACAGAAACAGCAACATGTCTCCTTATCCCATCCATCTAGTGGGGGCGGCAGTGGTTCTGTATCGCCAGCACTATCTGCTCGCCATCAACACCAACAACATCACCTCCTCCAACAACAACAAAAACAGCAACACCACCACCAACAACAACAACAGCAACACCAACAACAGCAACAACAACAACAACAACAACAGTTGCACATGCACACTTTTCAGCATTTGGCCGCACAGGCCGCTGCTGCCGGCAGGCATACGCACCGCCAACAACAACAACAACAACAACAACATACGCATCCGCATCAACTACAACAACATCATCAGCTTCAACATCCGCATCAGCATCCGCATTCGCATGCGCACTCGAAGAGCTCACCAACCTCACACGCGGTCAGTCCGGTGCTCGGCCAACAGCACCGCCAGCAACCGGACATATACTTGGTCAGCAGCAGCAGCAGCCTGGGCGATGGTGTCGGTGTCGGTGTGGGTGTGGCCAATCTTGGGCTGGGCGTGGGCATGGGCCAGCTGGGCCAGCTTGGCCGATCCATGGGCGGGAGCACATCGCCCATTCAATTCATCGATATGGACGATATGCCCTCGGCCAATCAAACGGCCGCCACCCAACGGCCGATGCACACGCATCCGCTGAAGAAGAACCTGTTCCGGCGCTCCGACACCATTGACGTCCATCCGTCTACCAATTTTCAGATGAAGAAAACGCATTCCTTCCACGCACAACAGGATCCCGCCGCCCTGGACCAAATCCAGCTGGCCGTTGCCGGTGCCGGTGGATCGGCCACCTCGAGTCGTCGCACCAGCTCCGTGAGGGGCAACTTCCTAATGCCGGGACCACCGGCCGGTGCCAAGGAGATATCCCGTTCGCCGTCGCCCAGCCGACGTGGCTGTCGGTCGCATCGCTCCTTCAACGATCCCGGCCGACGGCCGAGTGTTAAGCCGGACTCGGTGGTGGAATCGCAGATACGACATCCCTCGCTGAACGACGACCTGCTGGAACCGATGAACGGACGGAATCTGTTCGCACCGCCCACCAATCTGTCGCTGGAGAACGAGCTGTTCGTAGACACCCGATCGCGCAGCAACAGTCACACCAAGATGGAGGAGCTGGGCCTGGCGGAGATCACCGCCGCCGCCGTGGCGGTGCAACGATTACGCAAGAGCTCCGGTGCCGGGTCCTTCGAGGATGCCGGCGCTGGACACGCCACCCACCCGCCTTCGTCCTCGAACAGTGTGAAGCAGAAGCGGGAATCGCACCATCCGCACACCCGCCAACAGAGCACCCACAGCCTGGAGCTGGACGGCCGACCCTCCACATCGGCAGCGGCGGCAGCTGCAGCCGGCGGAGGTGGCCTCCAGCTGCACAGTGCGGCCGCGGCGGCCAGTGCGGCGTACCACTTTAAGCGGGGCGCCCAGCACGGCCGCTCGCTCTACCTGTCGCCCAGCAACCTGGAGGAGTTGGCCGTCCACCGACCGGGCGTTCTGGCAGCCGCTGCCGCCTTTCAGGGCACCAACGCCAGCGCCAGTGTGAAGCAGGCCAAGGCTTTGCACAGCGCCAGTGTGCGCCTGCGCAGCTATCGGGAGACACTGAGTGCTTCGAAGAAATCGAAAAGCTTCATTGGAGACGCCGGGGCCGTGAGCGGTCCGCCGGCGGGCGACGACTTCGAGCTGAGCTCACCCCACCGACGCAACAGTCGCCCGCTCTCCACGGCGGTGCCCGGTTCGAGCATCGAGGAGATCAAGCGGAGTCCACGACCCATCTCCGCCTCGGCGGCCGCAGCCGCCTTCTTGGAGGAGAAACGGCCATCGTTCGAACGGAAATCATCGCTGACCTACGACCACGAGCTGAGCGACGCCGCCTTCGCCGCCCAAGTGCTGCGGCCATTCCATCACAAGCTGGCGGCTGGACGAAAAGGCTCCGTCACGGGCGGCTCCCACAAGCTGAAGAAGAAGTCGCTGAGCGACGACACCGACGAGGAGGAGGCGGCGGACCGCAAGCGCAAGCGCATCGTCTGCATCGTCCTGTCGACGGTGCTGCTGTGTTTGGTGTGCGCCAGCGTCTTTGTACTGACCATCACGTTGACCTCCAGCTCGGGCCAGGCCGGAAAGAAGGCGCACTCGTTCAGCAGGGACACCCCGGTGCACTGGACGGGCATGCGACCCTCATGAACTCCAACTCAGAGGCTGTGCTCCATCACCATCTCCACCAGCTCCACCGCTACTAGCAGTCACCAGTTACCCGCCGCTGCCGCCAGTTGCCGGTTATCCCCTGACTTTGGATTCGATTTCGTTTTCGTTCCATTCGCTTCCGCTTCGAATCCATGCCTGGTTTCCGCTCTTCGTTTTGTTTCCTCTGCGACTCCGCCGGGCCACCAAACGACGTCCAGCCACTGAGGGGGAGGCGCCAGCAAGGGAGGAGCCGCAGGAGCAGGAGGAACTATCGCAGAGCCTGTAAGTCCGGCAAAGCCTCCGGTGTGTGAACAAAAATCGTAAATTTGTCCTGAACTGTAGGGTCGCCCCGTATCAGAAACCCCATAAAAACCACACAGCCTAACCTCAAAATCCATTTATTGATCCAACCAAAGAGGGGAATCATTCCCATCGAGAATTATCAGCATATTGCATTTATTTATTGTTAAAATTTCAGAAAAACGAAATAATTTAGAATAGGCCTAAAATCTGTTTCAACTGCATTCCATCTCCTGGTCCTGGCCAAAGCATCAATGCCGGTTTGGAATCCATTGTCCTGCTTAAAGCACGCACCATCCCTGCCCACCACTTCCCATCACCCTTCAGCCACATCCACACATAACTATAGTCGCTGTGGCCATATTGCCATATGTCCTTACAGACCATAAAACTGTGCAAATACAAATATGTATGTCAGTCCCTCAGACTATCAAGCGTCGTTCTCCTCCTGCCACCAAAACAAACACACACACACATACACTCATACAAATGCAAACAAAAACTGTGGCATGGAATTTTCAAATATTGAGCTGGCAAAAGCTCAGCAAAATCTCGAGCATTACATAACTGACTAACTCACTAACCTGGCTGGCAAACACGCACACGGCCATAAAAAATGATGCTGTACTTACTTACCATGACTTTAATGACTTTGACTGCATCAGGAGCCGCAGAAGCCGCTGTCGGAGCAGGAGCAGGAGCAGGAGCATCTTCTTGCCACAAAGCCAAACTAATCAGCACGTGTGTGTGTGTGCGTGTGTTGGGGCACAAACAATGCTTAACCGACTCTCAGTGGGCGGGATGGTAGGTGACTAACTGACCGACAGACGGCCGAAACGGGGGGCGGTGGAGGGGACAGACAGACAGCAGGCCGAGCTGCCAAGGCCTGCTGAGACCTTTCCCTTGGTTATCCTGCTCTTTTTTTATGCTCTCGCTTAATAGTTTTGTTTGTTAACGTAGGTGTAGCTGTAAGGTATGTGTGTGTGTGTGTGTGTGCAGCATCATTACGGTGCTGTACGCTTGGTTTCCTTTTTATTATGTGTGCGTGCGCCCGCAGACAGGGGGCTCACACACACACACATCCATACCGTACATACACCATCTTAATTTCACGTTGACGACATGGAAACTAGGTTACTTTTTCAACTGCGCCTCACTGGGCCCCAGCCGGGGAAAGTGCAACAGCAAAAGCAACAACAACAAAAACAACAGATCCAACAATAACGACAAAAAATAAACTAACAACAATTGTTTATTATAAGGCAGTGGCAGAAGCAGTAGCATCTGAATCAGCAGTAGTATGCTAGTGACATTGCCCGCTCAGTTGGCTCCGTTGGCTTGGTTGGCCTTGCCTGGCCGAGATGCTAGAGAGTCGACCCGAGAATCCCGTGTGACCGCTAAAGTCCCCAAATTGCCAGCACTACACATAAAAAACAGCCACAAATTGACAGTTTGCAAAGGAAAGTTAGAGGTCAGAAAATAAAAAAATGATACAAAAAAATCTAGCCACTGCAAGTTATTTCCTTTATCAAAAAGTTCAACTGGAAAACTTAAGGGAAAGCCACTCGATCAGGGAAAACTAACTGCATGTGTAATATGTATCTCAAAGTCTGATTGACACGAGTTCGAGCCCCTAGCGTTGAGATTTCACTTCTTTAAAAAAAATTTAGAATAAGAAAAGGTAGTATTTGAATCCTAGTTCGTCCTCAAACTGACAATAATATCAGCTATTATTTATTTGAATATTTCACTAAAAGAACTCCCCCCTCGCAGATATAAGCCTTGTAATGTAGCATACTTTTTTGGTCAATATGAACATGGACATGGACATATTGAAGGCTTTTGTTTTCAAACTAATCCTACTGTAATATTCCTAATTGAAAACAATAATGAACAAGTTGATTCAACAAGCTTTCCATTAGAAGTGCAAATCTGTTGCATATTGCATTTTCATCATGCTCCAGTTAAACCGCAAAAACCGAGGCAGAAAAAAAAGAAAAACTAAAATATTAAATGAAATGCCAGGAGCATGGCAGGCATAAAGCCAGACAGTCGGTGGAAGCAACAAAAGTGCATCAATAAATTCAATTTAAAGGTACAATGGATGGCAAACAAAACCGTGTGCCAGAAGCCAGAACCTAGAACCATACCAGTACCAGGACGAGAACTAGTACCCCGTTTCTGTTCAGATTCCCGTTGCCAGTCCCTGGCTGCTAATTAGGCGTCGGTCTCCATCCGTCAGGCAAACTGGCGTGACGACTAGGCCAGAGCGAATCAGTGGATGCTCTGGGCAGGGGGATGGGGAGCGGGGCCTTTTGCTTTCAGCGCCACATTTATAATTAAACAACATGAAAGACAAAGCGCCCAGCCGGCCAGGCGGACAGGACGAGGCGAAAGGACGAAGGCACAAAGGCGGCAGGCACTGGCAGCTACTGCTGCTCCTGCGTGGGTGTGGGTGTGGGGCTGAAAGTTACTCGCCAGCATTTATGAGCGCCCATAATGGCTGTTAACAATTTAAGTTGTTTACCGGTGGGAAAGTTATATGTTAATTGGTCTCGAATAGCCTCGCACACAGGCACACACGTCAACTCCTCCAGGACTCCGCCGAGCACGCACATGGCTCTTGCACGTCCTTGAGGACAGGTGAATGATCAACTAGGCAACGTCCTGTAGAGTACCTAACTTGGCTATTTAATAATAAATACTTTTTTGGGTGAATAGTTGATCTGTTTTAGTTTCTAGTTAAAGCCTCTGAGTGCAATTAGGAGAGCTTAAACGTCTTAATAGATTAATATAGATTTCAATTAAGAAACTACGCCTGGGGTTCTTAAAGAGACATCTTTTGTTGGGGGTCCCCAAAACATAATCCATAAATATAATAATTTGTAGCCGAGACCTAAATTCCTTGCCATAAGCTACTTATTTTCCTGTCTCACTTATCCGAATACCCCGAGTGCCCCTAAATATTATTTAGGACAACACACAAGCACTCCTTTAGTAGGCACTAGGTACTCTTGGAATAAATATTGGCAGCATCACACCCAAGCCCTAAGCCATCCTTTGGAATTTTGACCAAGATGGGGGTGGTAGGTGGCATTCTGTTGAGTAGCTCCTACTTACCACAGGAGCAACAACAAAGGCCAGCAGTGGCACTTGGCCAAGTGAATAATGGCAGGCATCGTCACCTGCTGCCAGGTAGGGGTTGCAACTTCCCCGGCCAGTCGGGCATTAACACGTTGCGATTACGGCTCATAGCCCATGCAAAGCCATGAAAGATGGATGCTGGTACGGGGGGGAGGCACAGCCGGGGCGTGCTCCCACCTCCCGTAGAGTCCGGTCGCTTGTGTGGTGGTCTCTGGCCTATATATGCATATGAGTTTGATGACGACAGCAGCAGCAGCAACTTTAGTGGCAGGACTGTGTGATGTGTTGCCTCGTGGTTGCAACTTCCACTCGTTAAAGTCGCTTTCTCCCGGTGCGGGTGCGGGTGCGGGTGAGGATGCGGATGGCGGGATGAAGGATGGAAATGGCATTACTAATTTTTGCAATTAAATGAGAGCGTAAAAGAGGGGAAAATTACTTAAATTTTTGCACTAGCCTTGCAGCAATTTGTGCGCATGTGTTTTTGTTTGGCGCTTGGCTGGTGTTTGTGTTTGTTCTGGTCTGTTTGGTGGCCATTTGGGGCAAGAATTTTTTAATTAAATTTTGTAGCTGAAATGCATGCATATATTGGCCGGATCCAGAGGCCAGAGACAGAGACAGAGTCAGAGCACTAGCCAAAGCCAGAGTATTAAGAGCAAAAGTTTCCAGAATTAGCTGGGAATCAATCAAGGGACTTTAGCAGCAACAGTTTAACTTTTGTGGAGAGACTGGGGGTAACTCGTATTTCAACAGTCGTGACTTGTTCTGTCCCCACTTTATATCTGTATCTGTATCGGTATTTGTATTTGTATCTGTATCTACAGATGTCCGCGTGTCCGTTTGTGATTGATTGGCAAACAAATTTTGACACTTTACACAACACCCACGGGTCAGGTAACCAATGTGTGTGTCCACAGGGCTTTCCCTCCTGGCTTTGCCAGTTACCCCATCACCATCTCCATCTCCATCACCACTACCCATTCCCATTTCCATTCCTGGCTCCAGTTTGTTGAGCGTTAATTAAAACTGCTGTAAAATGCACAAAAGCGTTGAGCAAACAGCAACCGCGGCGACAATCGCAGGGGGTCATGTCAAGGGAGGGAGGGGGGCAGGTACACACTCCCACACCCACCAATACACACACCAAAATAAAAAAAACAACAAACGAATATTGTGTGTGAAATGGGTTGATATACTGCACACAAACACACAGGCACACATATGGTATATGTGTTTACACATATGCGAACGTGATAACCCAAAGCGGAAACGGAAATGCAAAAAGAGGGACCAAGCAAAAAGCGGAAATATGTACAATGTTGGACTGTGCTTAAAGTAAATAGTCTGGATTGATGAAAGTTGTATTCGAGAATTCATCAACAGGCATTTACTTCAACTGCAGTTCGAACGAAACTCAACAGGATAATAACGAGTGCGTAGTGAACGTTTTTTAGTTTTATTTTATCCTTTTTTTTATCCAAAAGACTTGTTCCAAGAGAGTTTGATTTTGAAAGCATAGACTGTGTAAATAGTATTTAAGTAATTTTTAAACAATTCTTTAGAAAAAGTTGCCTTTTATTCAAATATTTTGCTTTAGAGCCATTTTTATAAATTTTACTTCAAAGACATTCCCTGATTATTATTGACACACATTCTTCTCTTGTCGACAGTTCGGCAGGAGAACGAGCGGAGCTACCGCGAGAATCTGGAACGCAGCCGGCTGATGAAGAACCTCACCGAGCTGAACCTGCAACGCCAGCAGATGGAGATGCATTTCCACGTTCCGTGAACGGCCGGAAGGATGTTGCAACGCAGCAGCAGCAACAGGAGCAGCAGATGCAACCGGATGAGATGTCATCGCTAGCTGGAAATGCCAGAAAATGGCAGCAGCAACAACCAACAGCGACAAGTTTGTGGCAGGAAACAGGTGGCAGGAGGAACGAACCCTTCCCCACACCCTGCCCCTATTGCTAACCACCCTTCCACGCCTCCTTATCCTTGAATCAACGTTATGCGCACAAAAAAAAACCTAAAAAGAAATCGAAACAAAAGAAATTGTTAACTAAAATATAGTAAAAAGAACAAAAATAATAAATAAAAAATTCAAGACGAGCACTCCGAAGTGCTCGGCTCATGCTAAAGTTAATGCTAATTGTAGTTAAGTCCGCCCAGGCGGAAGTCACTTGTTTTATATCTAACTGAGAGGTAGACTCCACTTAGAGCAACAAAATATGAAAATGCGGAAAAAAACTAAAAGGTGATGCAGTTAAGTCAATAGTTGAAGCGTTGTTTATAGAGTTACTTCGATGGCATTTTAAATGTTAGATCCGGCACGTTCTGGTAACCAAAATCGCCAGAAAGTGGCCTAAAAACTACCAATTTATAGTTTCGTTTCAAGATTTTCCCCCAAGATCCTTCGCATTCCTTGAAGGCGAAATTGTTTACCAGAACGGACTCGATTCTCCTGTAATTAATGTGCTTAGGATCTGATCTAGTAGAGTGGTTGCAGGACGACGCCAGGGGGAAAAGGAGCAATTAAGCGAAAGGTTTCGATGGTTCAGTTGATTAGCCAAATGGTTTCAAATTTTTCTTTAGCAGATGCCCCCTATCCAGATAGTTTTCCCATTTCCCAGAACTTACTTTCCGAATGGCGTCGACTGGGCAGCTAAGAGGCGAAGAGCTGACGAACAAAAGTTGGTCAATAGTTATGTCTGAAACTAAGTTGTTAACTGAAAAGTACTCCTAAGTAAATGTTAATAGCAATAAACAACAGAAAAGTTTTTGTATCTCTAGGAAGGAGCAGCAACCAGCAACATGGATGAATAAAATTGCAAGAGTACATACATATGTATTCAGTATTCCAAAATACATTTTGAATAAAAAAAATACGATTTTCATAGGATAACAATAATTGTAAAAGAAAGCTAAACATTCAATAGATCTATTCACGAGAAGAACTTGTGCCAAGTGGGTTCCCCCAAGGCCCATGAATAATTATTAACAAAAAATATACATAACAAGGAAATTAGATTATTAGCGGATTGATGTGAAAACTGTTACTTAAGTGCAAAACGAGCTTGTTGTCGAATTAATTTTAAATGGATTTAAACTAAGTGAATCTAAGCTAAATGTTAAATGTTTTTTTAGGTGTTCAATGTTAAAATTAATTTGTGGTCGAACTGCTTGAGCTGTCGATGAGTTGATTGCCCAGCCTTTGCTAAATATACTATAATTGTATGAATATTAATATGTGTGTGTGTTTATGATTTAATCGAAAACCTGTGCTAACTCAGTTGCAAAGTTTAATGACAAAATGTAGCTTGAAGCAAATTTCTATCGGTTTCAGCCAACAGAGCTCACCCTCTATTTTTGCCCAATTAACAATTAAATCGCAATTATTCCACAATTTTCCCGCCCAACTGCACATTGTCAGTTATCCTAAAAATAAATTGGATATTTTGTGAACTTTCCAGTTGAACAATACATTTTGTATCGTGTATATATTACGATTCTAGTCCTATATCTCGATTTCTGGGGGGCAAGTGGCAAGAGCAGAGAGCAGAGGGCAGGAAGGCAGGAGCAGGACAACACACAAATGGAAAGCTTTAAATTAGCTCAATAAATTGTAAACATTAACATTTAATCTACTTAGCTGGGAGACGTTTGTTAAATGCAATACAACTACACACACCCACATACCACATCCCACAGAGCTCATTCAGACTTGTAAGATTTACATTTCGGGTCAGGGAATTTCAATTTCATATATGACCAGACGACATATAAGCCAAGAAGGCTACACCTGCCCACATACACACACAGACCACATACACAAAGGATTGGCAATTGCATTTAACATAAGGATGAGTAATTGTGACAGATCGAAAAGAGAATATATATACTAGGTTCGCATAATTGATTCAAATGCATGCTAAAACGAAAAATACAATACAATTAACGAAAGTAAACAGAAATAAACTGACCGGAGCTAATCCAAAAACTAATTAATACAATACAACTAATGTCTGTAATTATGACTAGCTAAGTGTAAAAATGTAAGCTGAATTATTATACAAACCAACTACAATCGAAGCAAAATTAAACCATTGATGTAATGAAATATTCGTAATGTTTTAGGGCAAAAAACCACAAAAAAAAAAAAATTAAGAAGACAAAGCAAAAGAAAGAAAACAAATCTCAAATGAATAATGGATAAATGACACAAGTTAAATACAAACATAAATTCAAGAATAAAGTAAATTATTTCTCGAGAAAAAAATCAAACATTTTAGCCTTTGAAAGAGAGACTTTTGGTGCCCAATCCAGTTTGAGCAATTATTTACAACCGAAAAACAAAAAATAATACAAATAAAAATAAAAATAAATAAATTGAAACAAGGACACGGCTAGAACTCTGACATAAACACATACACACACATACACAAAAGACACACTTAAGCCACAGATATATTGTAAATAAAACCACTACAAAAAAAGCAAAACAAAACCAAACAAAACAAATGGGTAAATACCAAGTAAATAAATATATAATGAAAAGGCTTATCCAAGAAAATCAACATTAAATAAATTAACAACGGAAATCAAACAAAAACAGGTAATACTTCAACTCGTGTGCAAGGAATAACTTTAACTGTTAATTGTTGCTGGCAATGCAAAAACAAAAACAAAAACAAAAAAAAAACAAACAAAAAACCAAAAGTAAAACCAAAATAAAAATAAATTAAATAAACCATTAAAGAAGAAGAAAATAAGAAAACAAATATATTTAAAAATACATTTGAACGCCTCCGGGCGTTTTATTCATCAAGCAAACAACCAAGAAATGTTGAAAATCAAAAGAAAAATAAAAATGAAAAGAAAAAGTCAAACAAGAGCCATACAAGCGATAAATCAATTTGTGTCACCTGTGTAGTAAGTATATCTCAGTATTTGTAACTGAAAATGTGTTGAAATGCGCAACACGAATGCAGGCAGCAAACAAAACAAAGAAAATCAAATGAAAATAAACTGAATTTACAAGTGAACGCTTGACATTTGAGTATTATTTATGCGTATACGTAATATGGCGTGGGGTCTGCCAAAATGGGCTGCCAAAGTTTTGGCTAAATTGTGGCCAATTGTGGAATTGGTTTCCAGCTCTTCAAAAGTAAGTTGTAATTATAACCTTGGTAAAATTTAAAAAAAAAATCTAAAAATTGTCAAGAAATACCACAAAATTACGTATACGTTATATTACGTATACGTAATGTATGTTCTTTACCAAAGGTATTTCTATTTGTCTAATTATGGATACAATTTAGGCAATTAAATACGCGTTGTGGTAAAAAAAATGTATTATTTATTGCACTATTAGAAATAAATGATTAAATTGATTTAAAAATCCCGCCTTTATTAGTTCGCTTAAAGCTTTTAGCTTTCGGTGTGACCGGAAGCCCCCAAGCAGCTGAAAAATACCAAATAATACTATAAGAGAAAGCAGTGCGGCTCCAAACCGGTAACGTAAGTTCGAACCGGGTAAAAGAGTCTATTACAGTCGAAACGTAAGTAAAACGTATAGAACAAAGAGAAGGTTTCTTTATTTTTAGCAAATATATAAAACCTACAGATAGATTGGAGGTATTTGATTTGTGGCGGTAAACTCAGTGCTTTTTGTTTTAAACTGACTTTTGAATTTGGTGGGAAAGCTGGATTTTTTAGTAGGTTTTTGGGGGCCGCCTATCGATATCTAGTGAAGCTATCGCGATCCATTTGTTGCGCAGAAAGTAAAACAAAGATTGGGAGAAAAAAGATCAATTAATTAGCAATTAGCAGGTGTACATAGTGTTCCAGAGGGTGCTAGGCAAACAGCAGCAGCTGAGCGAATAGTTCCGACCAGGACCGAACCCCCCCGCCCACAAAACCAAAATAAACAAGAGCGCCAGGCAGAAGGAGGAGGAGGCGGAGGAGGAGGTGGAGGTGGAGGAGACAGCGAGGCAGCAGAAACAAAAGCTCGAAACGGCGGACAGAACCAGTCGAAAGAAAACAACAAACCGCTCCGGACGCACTCGAAGCGCTAATAAAATTTATTTTTGTGTTTAGCTCCCCCCCTTGCGCTCTCTGGCCCGTGCTCGTGCTACCGTTTATACGCGCGCGTGTGTGTGTGTGTATGTCTGTGCAGTGTATAAAAATATTTAAACAAAAATCACCCGCCAGGCCAGACAAGAAGATCTGATCTCCGCCAGAGCAGACAGCAAAACAACAACAACAACAAGAGAATTATAAAAGCAACAACGCGACGGTGACGCGGCAAGGTGCTGGAGGTCACCACTCGGCACATTTCGCGCTCGGTCGTTCTGACCACCCACCCACCGTCACCCCCCGCATTGGCCGTAACCCGTAGCCGTTGCCCGCCGTAACCAGTTCCAGTTCCATCCGCCCGCAACAGCACGCGCGATCAGGAAAAAAAAATATCATCAAGGCAGCTGAAAGCGAAAAAAAAATCAAAAAAAAAAAAAAAAACAACAATAGCAAACTCACGCGCTTCTCTCAAGCGTTTTTTATTGTTTTTATTCGCCGTTCTGTTCTTTTTTTTTTCATCGTTTTTTTATTGCTCTCGACTGATAAACGTCAGTTGATAAATATCGCATCGCAAACAAACACCAATTATTCCAATAAAGCCAGCGCCAAGTGCGAATGCGCCCTCGATTTGTATGCCATCAGCAGCACTCGGTTGCCCATTCCCATACCCATTCCGCCGCTGTCCACTTCCATACCCATTCCCATCCTCGATCGCATCCCCATTACCACGCCACTGACGTCAGTCATCGACGTTATCGCTCCGCGAACATGGTGGCCGTGGAGGGGATCGGTATGGGGGGCTCCCTGGATTCCGGTACCGGAATGGGCCACTTCAACGAGACGCCGCTATCTGAACTAAGCGTGGAGACCCGCACCCAGCTATCCCAGATGCTCAATCGCAAGAAGGTCCTGCGCTCCGAAGAGGGCTACCAGAAGGACTGGCGCGGCATCTCGGAGCTGGCCAAGCAAAAGGGCTTCGTCGATGAGAATGCCAACAATCCCATGGATTTGGTGCTGAGCAGCTGGAGCCAGCGCAATCCCCAGACCGCCAAAGTTGGACACTTGGAGAACTTCCTCGGTATCATCGAGCGCTGGGACGTATGCGATGATATCCAAGAGAATCTAGGTAGGCACCGTAGCCCATCCATGTTTGACGACCTGTCTGGCGAAATTGCAATGGAACGGGTCGTAAAGATATCCACAAAAGCTATAAATATATACGTGAGAGATAACTCTTAACCTGATAACGTTAATACACCAACTAGGGGTATCTTTTGTATCTTAAAAATAGAGGACAGATAGGATAGTATGCTTTCGCTATCAATAGTCATAATATCTTTTGTTTATAAACCCTAAACAATATATACTATAGTTTAGTTTAATTTATTGAGAAACCAAGTCAGAACTATGCCCATAAATGTCTAAAATAAATCATTTTAATATTTTCTCTGGAAATTGTTGTTTTGCCAGACGTTTTATATATTTTTTTATGATGTCCAGAGACAAACATTGTACGATATACATCTTTGATCTTGAGATCTTGAGATCTTCTGAGATGTCAAACTGAGTATATAATGTCTGCCAGAACCAGAACCAGTCCATTCCAGATATTTCTAGTTTTTAAAAAACATAAGATTTGAAAAGTTTTTATTTGGGTTTCTCCCTAAAAACCTTTAACCTTGTTAATGGGCGATGCTTCCTAAAAATAATCATTAAACATTTGTTTAATTCTTGATTCTGAATAAACGATCCCAAATGTAGTATAGTCTTTGTTGATTTTTGAAGAAAAACAACCCAACAATCAACAATTTTGTTTTGATTTTCGAGAATTTCTTTTGTTTTTTGTTTTGTTTTGAGACCAAAATTTCCATTTAGCCTTAGATTGTTTGCAAATAATACGATCTAGATACATATATGTATACTCTACTCTCAGCCAAGGACACCGAACGATATCACGTGAAACAAGAGCAGCGACAGACGGCACTGGTGGAGGGCTGTCCGCCGCCCCCATCCGACAGCTTGGAGACCAACAACAACTACAGCAACAGCATCACAGTGGGCCCCAGCGTTCAGATCCTGAGCGGCGAGGACCAGGACTGTGCCAAGATGGGAAAGCCCCTGCCCCGGTACAATGCCTGTGTTTTGTACGCAGAAGCGGACATCGGTCATGCCACAGAGATCATGGAAAATCTAGAATCCGAGACATACAAACTCAGGGTAAGTGCGATCTTCTACTGAAATTTCAACCTAACTGGAGGACCAATTCCTGTATAGCTCTTCCTGCGGCATCGCGATATGCTGGCGGGGGTGCCCTTCGAGCACATCCAACTCTCCCACTTCATGGCCACCCGCTGCAACCACCTGATCGTTGTGCTCACAGAGGAGTTTCTCCGGAGTCCGGAGAACACGTACCTCGTGAACTTCACCCAGAAGATACAAATTGGTAACCTAGACTAGCCTTTAGACTAATTAGCGAGTATATATACTATTTATTTTGTAGAAAATCACACTCGCAAAATCATACCGATACTGTACAATCCGAGCATGCACATACCACAGACCCTGGGCATATACACGCACATCAAGTACGCCGGGGACTCCAAGCTCTTCAATTTCTGGGATAAACTGGCCCGATCGCTGCACGATCTGGATGCGGTTTCAATTTATTCAACGCGCCAGGTGCAAACGTAAGCAGCTCTGTTTATATTCCTTGCAAAAGTCGATTGAGAGTGCATCTAAATAATAGTTTTGAAGAATTCTAACAAAGCCCCGGAAGTCACTATCTGAAGAATGTAAAATAAACAGAAAAAAAACCCATTGAAGATAAAAACTTTTAATCGACTGACCCGTCAAATATTTGACTCTCGAAAATAAGAAACCATTAAAATTCGCTTATAGACCATCGCCCTTGGAGGAATCAGCTCCCCAGAGAGTGACCACTCCCAGTATTCGGATCCAAATCAACGACAAAGACGTCACCGACATGCCCAACTACAACAATGGCAGCTCCTCCGATGCGGATACCACCATGGTATCCATTTCGGGAGACACCAGTTCCCCTTTGCCGGAGCACAAGTCGAAGAAAAAGTTCCTGCGAAAGATCACCCTGAACTTTGGCAAGTCGCCAAAGAATGGTAGCACCAGTGGTAAACCCCTGCGACATGCCCACTCCGTCAGCACCATCCATGTCACGGAACGGGAGAGGACACTGAGTGCCAGCAGCTCCAACATATCGACGACATCGGAGAGCAAGAAGTGGCAGCCGAATATCCTCAAGAAGGTGTTTTTCTCGCGATCCAGCAGCAAGCTGCAGACTCCGGGTTAAATATAATCTTAAGATCCTTCTCAGTCTTAGTCTCCACCTGGTTTGGAGCTCATTCGATTCCTTTTCGTGTGCCCAGTCTAGTTATACGGCCGTAGAGTCGCCACAACGCCGTCACCCCTCCATACTTAGAATTAATCCGTAGCCTAATCTTAATCAAAGCCAACTAACTTAATATACTTAGACGCACTTGTTAACTTGAATAAGACAACAACGAATAAAGACAATACCACATAACCGACCCCACAGACCCATCCGATAGGAACACAAGTAATATATATATAAGATATGAGTTGATTTGATAAATAGACAAATTGGTCCGAGTCTGGGTCTGGGTCTGAGTGAGGTTAAATGCGCGTCCCACTGCTAATCGAAGCTCTCAATTAACTGTTAGTCACGCGTTCGATAAGTGACTTACTTAATTCAATTATCTTTGTAGCTGTTCTCGCAACTCAGACCCACATTTTAGATGAGTAACGGCCATATATAAGCTATACCGTATTTGTGCAGTGCTTTATCACTCTGTAAATTGCTCAAGCAGTTCTAGCTATAGCTGATTGTTTCTATATTTGTTTTTTGTTTTTGTTGTTTTTTTAACCCGTAAAACGTAACGTCAAGTACCGCCGTGGGCGGATCCTCAAATGATTAGCTTTACTGTTATACCGATTGATAACGACCGATTGCTGTGAATGCGTGCCTAAGCCCTGACTTAACTTTGTACTAGATTATATAGTATGTCTAAACAGTGCGTTTCAAAACCTTAAACACAAAAAATAAAAACTTATGTGCTAAACAAATTTGCAAAAAAAAATAAAATAAAAAGTGCGAGTCTATTCCGTTTCAATGTCAGACAATGGCCGATGATATGAACGACCTTCGGGGCACGTGTCGTTTATCGTTTATGGTTATGAAACGCACCGTTGCCGTATCGGAAATGAACCAGCTCCAGGTTGAGCGTGGCAATAAACTGTTCAATGTTTGGCTCAATAATTTATTGTTGAATGTAGACAACCTTTAGTTCGTTCATGTTTAATAAACATTGCAGTTGATGTGTGAATCCCCCCCGTCGTATATTTACATACAGATGATTATTCTCATACATATTGTACATTCTATGTATATAGGAGTGGAATCGGCGGTAGTTTGTTTATCGGCCAGTTCCGGTTAATCTATAAGACAGTTCGAATCCGTTTTTGAAATTTTTGTATTTTTTTGGTTTTATTTATTTTCTGTTTTTTATTGTTTAAATCGTTTAATGTTTTAATAATAGCTCCTCGCTCACATCCATTTATCTCATCGTCATTTCTACCTGCGCTCTTTTTTCGCTCTGTGTGTTACAATTTACACTGTGAACAAATTTGTATTTTTTTTTCAGTTTTTTATTTTTAGCTTAACGACTTTTTGCGACTTGAGCTTTTCTTGTTTTAACTTTTTTTGGTTTTTGTTTTTAATTGAATTTATGTTTTCTGTTGTTGTTTTTTTTCTGCTCAAAGTTTCGGTTGTATGAGAGTGTGTGTGTGTGTGTGTTTATTTATATATCGATTTATATATGTTATTAATTTTAATCTGTCGTTTGTTTTAATCGCTTAGCTTTGTTTTCCTTTGTTTAGAGTTATTTTAATGATTTCATTATCGTTTAACAAAATTAATAAAAACAGTTGTCTCCTCTTTGTTTTATGTATGTATATGTATGTTATGTTAATTGAATCGTAATTCGCAATATTAAAACAATGTAACGCATGATGTTGCATCTCGATCTTGTTTCATTCATTATCATCTGCCTCGACCTCCTGCCTCCTCACGCCCTATGACATTTTATTATTTGCAATTGGTTTTTTCGTAGCTTAATTAATGCTTTCATTATCCTGCCGGGGGAGGTCTTCCAATTGTTCTTTTATTCATCTTATAAATCTAACTGATTGCATTTACACAGAGAGTGTGCGACGACGAGTCTGAGTGGGAGCAGTGGGGCGGGTGCAGGGTCTGGGGACTTGGTCTAGGACTCAATATAACATATATATGGTTTCTTGGAGGATCGATCAGAACAGAACGACTAACTAAACGAGCCCGAACAAAGAACACTGTGTGCTTTTCCGTGTGTTCTGATGTCTTTTCTTTTTTGTTTTTTTAAAGCGTTATCCTCTATAGTTAAGTGTTAACAATGATTATGATTATGGAAGTCAGCTGAAGAAGTCTGTATCGGTATGGAAGTTGAGATATCATCGTATTGCAAGTTCCCGTCTTATAACTATGTAATGCTTGTTGAGTACGCATAGGTAATTTGCTCATCTCCTTCTCGTAACTCGACTGACTCCCCTCCTCCTACCTCACTCTCCGTTCATTTGGATATATGTATATAGTACATACTATATCCGACGATTAGTCGTGTTTTGGGTCGTCGACTTACTAATAAATTAAAACAACGCTAATGAATTTGTTTTTCGCTTCGCTAATTGTGAGTACTCGTTTAACGTTCTTCTTCGCTTGTCTCCTATATCTGATTTCTCATTTTACTGACCCTTCTTCCCTTCTATTTTATTATCGTTATCAATCAATTATCAATTTCAATTTTCATTTATACATACTAGATTTTTCATTTAATTTTCTCGCATAAATGCTTAGATTTGTGCCTTTTGTGTTAAAAATCACTTTCGCCTCTTTTTTAGGTTTTCTTTTTTACTTTCCATTTAAATTTATTTCCATTTTTTATCTCTCTTTCGTTTGTTTTTTTTTATTTAAGCAGAAGACAGTTGTGGTTGATCTCGGCATTGTTTACGTTATTTGTCCAATTCGGTTGGTTTCCCTATGCTACTGGAGGTGTCTGATGATTTGATGCAGAGCAGGAAGATATTTTTTTTGGTTACCTATTAGTACCCCTAGGTTTCAATTAGGGAAACAGCAGCAGCAACGTAGACCAGCTACGAATGCCAGGAGAGATGAGCATTTAAAAATGACTAGAAATACTTTGAAAGTCTCCAAAACTCTAAAGATAGATTTTTGAAAATCGGCAAACTATCCTCCGTTTACTGATCAAGTTTCTCTATTGCTTTTTACCCGTATGGAACCATCGAAGGTCCTGAAATAGAGCTCTAACCCAACGGTATGAAGATGCAAATGCGGACATTGGTGGCGATATTTTGTTTGGCAGTGTTTTCGCTTTTGCACGCAACGGGTGCAATTACAATTTCGATTGCGATCTTACGATGTTACTAATAGAGAGATTCACCCAATGGATCTACTGATTTATCTTTTTTTTTTTCTTTCGTTTTTTATAGGTAAGGTTCACTAACTCAATGTACGATGACAATGCAAAGGGAGAGGGCGGTTTAAATCTACTACACATATTTTTCTTTTGTTTTTAGTCAGTTTGTCAGGCATTTACCAGCATCTTTTGCTTATTGTTTCTATTCTTCGTGTTTAAATTTAACATTGTGCGCGAATTTGTTGAACGTTTGACAACACTACGATTAACGGCAGTTTTACATGCTGATGCAGGATGTAGGATGCAGGATGTAGGATGCTAATGCTTAGGCGAATGTGGTGAGTTGTGTGATTCTTTCAGCGGGGAGTTTGAAAAATATATAACAATTTTTAACAAATAATAGACTCCAGGAACTATACAAATGCATTTCGTTTTTTTTTTGTTTTTGGCTGGGAGACTAGAAACAAAACTAAGGAACTCACTACATAGGATAGTACGAGAGACCGACTGAACCAACAGACAGTGTTAGGTTTCTCATCTTTTTTTGCTTTTGGCAACAACAATTTATAGTCTCTGTTATCTATATCTCTTTCACAACTTATAGTCTTTGGGTTTTAGGTTCAGATTAGATTTCCTGACTCGAGTGGCAGTCTGTGCGTGGGGCTATCCAACTAAATAAGGCTATTTTGGCACACAATCACAACGGAACACGAAACATCTATTGTACAACAACGATAACAACACAAGGATTGGGATTAGCAACTGATCGTGGGGATGTTAATGCGGATGCGGATATGGGTATGGTGACTTCGACTGTGGGGAATTCGAATCTGATATTCACACATTCCTTCGTTAACGGTCGGTTCCCGTTTATGAGAATTCTTGCTAAATGCTACAAAACTGCTTTTTTATATTTTTTTCGCGCTTTTTGCTTTTGTTTTTGTTTTTGTTTTTTTCGGGGGCTTTCAAAGGATGTCTGAGATGAGTGTGTTGTGTGTGTGTGTGTGTTTGTATCTTTTTTTTGGCTGCTTTGCTTTCGCCTTTTTATAATTCACTTTTTATGCTTACTTCACTATTGTACAATGTGCGACTTGCATTATTATATTCTCGTAATTATTTTATATAAGTATATATGTATATATGTATGCATGTGTTATGTGTGTGTGTGTGGTGTGTTGAGCTGCTGGGCTACTCCTATTTTAGTGTGTGTGTGTGGTTTCTTTTTAAATCGTTCTTTTTTTGGATTTTTTTTTTGTTCGTTTTTCGTTTCTGTAAAATGCGTTAGTTTATTGATACCTTCTTCCTGGCGCCCAACGTGGGGCGTTCGTGAATTTGGGATTAATGCCCCCTCTCATTTTCCCCGTCTAAATTCTGTCCTCCTCATCCTCCTCCTCCTCCTCTTCTTCAGCCTCCTCGCCGTTCTCCTCGAGCTCCTCCTTGTAGCCGGGATGCTCGGAGATGGCGTAGTAGTTGCCATTGTAGATGACGCCCAGTTCGCGAAGCGCATCGCCGCGTATTGTCGCCTTTATCGTCCAGTTGTAGCAGTCGTCCGACTCGGACTCGCGATCCAACCGCTCCACATCAAGGATCTTGGAGTTGAGGCGCTCCAATATGATGCCGATGTCCTTGATGCTGAGGTGGCGCTTTTGATCCACCGACAGCTGGTCGATCAATAGCAGAAACTTCTCCGTCGTCGTCTTGTCGTCCTCCATTACGGTGTTCTCCGTTTCGCTCTCGGAGCTATCCCGTTCTGGGGCGATATCCAGGAAACGCACATGGCCCTTGGCCCCCGACGAACGGCGTTGCATGCTTCCGCCGCCTCCTCCGCTGCTGACGCCCTGCATAGGATCCATAACCGAAGGTGCCGACTGCGGCTGGGGACTTGTGCTTCCGTCCTGGATGGGCGACGTGGCCACACTCTTGTGCACGGCTATTTTTCGTCCCTCCTCGTGCAGGGCACAGCAGTGAAAATCGCACTCGGTGGTGCTGGGACTGCCTGCCCTGCTTGGCGTGTGGGCGTGATGGGCGCACTCCGGCGTATGCACATGCACCGCCCCAACGCCCACTCCAATGGTGCTGTCGAAGGAGCTACCCTGCTTGGAGAGGCGACGGCTGCCGCCGGGTATCACAACTCCAGGCGGCAGTACCACGCCGCCGGGATGGTATATGCTCGCCGGGCCGTCGTCGCTGATCACCGTTATTTGGGGGCTGGCGTAGCGCGGCTGGGAGGACTGCGAGGACACCGATTTGTTGTCCAGAGAACTCTGTGCGGAGAGGCCCTTTTTCGAGGGCGAGTACTTGTCAGAGGAGAGCAAGCCATTGCTGCTGCCCAGACCGGAGCACATGCCACCGCCGCCACCGCCACCACCTCCTCCGCCGCCGCCGCTGCTTCCACCACCCTGCCGCTGATCCCAGTGCAATACGACCGTGACACGCCCCTTGTTGTCCATGATCTTCCACGACGGGGTCTCATCGTGCAGCTCTAGTGCATGGATCGTCTCGCAGACGATTTTCGGTATAGCTGATATTGCTGAAATGGTAAGTAGATCATTAAAATAGGGTCCTATTTTCATGCAGTACTGACAATGGCTAAAAGAAACTCAAGCGAATGATCTTTAAATGGCTTTTGCGCTTTATTTAAAAATAGTTTTTCTAGATACACATCGGAATATACATATATCTTTCTTTCTATATAAACAAAACTTTTCCAATGCCGTATGTCACTCGAAAAGTGTTTACATTCTTTAAGATTTATAGAACCTATATATCTTCATGGAAAATATTGAAATTTATGAAGTTTTTGAAAGGAGATTGATAGATCTCGTAAATATTTTTAAAAATTATATAATTACATAATAAAAAGTCTGTTTTTATTCGAGTCTGAATGGTTTTCAAATGATTTTGTAAACATTCCTCAATAAACATTACAATTTATATCAAATTTCAAGATTTATTTTTGCCATTATCAATATATATATCAGTTAATGCCAGATTCAGGCACAGATACTTACCAGCCTTTATGACGTCGACGCCAGTGGGATACCAGCGCTCGCCCTGCCTCAACAGGAGGAGGACCGTATTGTTGGCCAGGGTGCGAAAGTATTCGCCATCCTCGATTTGGGTTCCATCACACTCCAGAACAACGCGTACCGGTTCTGAAGCAGGAACCCCCAGCTTGTCCTTGCCGCGGACCAAGAGCTCTTCGAAAGTCCCAACTACGACGCCCTTGCGCACATTCCGCCAGCTGTCCCAGATTTTCAGTGGTCTCTTGCCGCGAGACTCCTGCGAAGAAGACTTGGATTAGTTTGTTGGGATTCTCTAGCTAGTTGGGGTTTGGGGTTTGGGGATTGGGGGGTCGGGAAGGGGCATGGTTATGTGATATGTGAGATGGAGGATGCAAAATGGGCGTGACACCTGTGTGAAACACTGCGCAGGCAAAGTGACAAGTGGGTGTGGCAGCACCAGAAGGCCCGGGCTGTGTCATAATTTCTCCAGCCCGCTAATTGAGGTACTCGGGCTTATTAAATGAAGGGGTTGGGGGGCAAATGTCAAGGCCAACTATGCAAGCTTAATTGTACAAGAAACAAAAAAAAAAAAATTAAGAAATAAAAATAAAAAAATATTTTCTTGTATTATTTTTTTAAAATATTTTATTGTTTTAAATAAAAAGAAAAAATAAAACAGAAAAGTGAAAACAAAAGTGTGACAGATACCCCATGCGAGTGGGGGAAAAGGGGGGTGTGGAACAGCTAACAGTGCTCGCAGCTGTTGGCTAACAGTGGCAAGAAGCAGACTGTAACAGGACGAAGCTGCAATGTTTAATGTATTGCAAGGACATGAGTGTGGCGCTCCAGTGACCCAGTAACGAGTGCAGCACACGAGCCAAATACAAATATGAAAAGGAAGCTGGCTCTCTCTTTCGCTCTCATCATTTCTAGTGTAGATGGAATGCTACCCCCCCCTCCCCTACCATATATCCTCTACATACATCTACCTCCTTTTTCCTATCCCGCTACTTTCACAAAATAAAATGTTTGAAAAATTACAAAAAATTCATGTTGACATTTTGCTTATTCCTCCACACACACACACACACACACACACACACACCGAAAACAAGCAGAAAACTTTTCATAAAAATATTTCATTTCTTTCCCCACTCCACCCTCCCCCTTGGGTGAACTCGTGCGCTCGCGTTTTGTCTTTGGGATAGGTCAGTTTCGGGGCCCCGCCGCCGCCATATGGCTTTCGAAAGAGTGGGGCCTTGCAGGGGAGAGGGTGGAGGTGGTATTATAAATTCAGAAATTAATAAATTGTATAAACAGCCAGAGCAGAGGCCATAGACAGCGCGGTGCTCTGCTACAGGTATGATTCCCTTGGTAGCTATCTTTCGGATCTTCAGATCTATATAGCCAGTCCTTTATAGACTGGTTTGGCACTACTGTTTTTATAGACTTCTACTATATATGTACATATATCTTATCGTAATTGCCAGGATTAATCGATTTAAAATGAAATTTCTAAACGATTTCAAAAGCAAACAACCCGAGTATCTTTTGTTGGCTCTCCAGATAATCGTAGAGTAGCGACTGCTGGCTTATCTTATCAATTTATGGCAGTGAGAATGGTGATTGATCCATTGGCCTGGCAACATGGGTACTCTACTATCCAGTAATCAGTTATCACTTATCAGGTTTTTCAAAAAAAAAAAAAAGCGGGACAATTACCAATGCGGAGAGGCCATTGCTGGTGGTGGCCGAAGGTCCCGTTGTGATGGCCGCACCACCCACACCACCCACACCGCCAACGCCCCCAACACCCACACCTGCCGCGGCAGAGGCAGCAACGCCCTGCGTGGCCTGGGCCGCCGCCGCAGCTGCGGCTGCCACTTGTCTGATGCTCAGACAGTTGCAGAGCGGCTTCGTCACGCCCAGCGTGCACAGGGCGTTGGACCACATGGTGGCGCTGCAGCTGCTGCTGCTGCTGCTGATGGCGGTGTTGGTGGCGGTGGTGCTGCTGCAGATGGCACTCGTTTCGCCCTTGGCAGCCACTTTTAGGCCGCGACTTCTTGCTGCTGCTGCTGCTGGTTCTGGTGCTGTTGTTGTTGTTGCTGTTGGTTCTGGGCTCGATTCCTGGGCTCTTTCGCTCAAGGTCGTCCTCCCTCACACTACCACCTCGTTGTTCGGATTTTTCATTTTTAATAATTGTATAAAGTTTCCTCTTTTTTTTGTTTAGAAAATCGTTATATAAACTTGCAAACTTTACGAAAAGTTATTACAAAAATTAAAGCTTATTGCTCATTTATTTTTTATTGTAGTTTATTGTTTATAAATTTTATTAATTTTCTTGTTAAATGCCTTCGGGGAAAATTCGTTACTACAAGTGCATACAAAAGGTGTTTTTTTTTATTTTTAAATCACAATAAAATAAAAACGCACTCTGCACAAAATTGAGGTTTCCTTTTTTTATTTTTTTTGTAAAAAGGTTTGGCTTGCTGAGCAGATGGGTCTGAAATTTCGTTTTCTTGGACTCCTGCTCGTAATTCGCATTCGCATTCGTACTCGTATTTTTGGGGCAGGTCAGGGCGGGTTGACCTTCGCACTTCGCACTTTCACTTTACTACGCGCCTGCAGCACCCCGTTTTGCCCGTGAAACCGCCGAGTTTTCGTTTCGTTTTCATTTGTGGCTGCCAAGCTGCTTATTAGATATCCTTTTTTTTTAATAAAAAGGATTTTAATCAAAGAATTTTAAAGTTCGAAGATAGAAAAAACGTTGGTTTTAGTCACACCCTGTTTCAATGTTGTATTTTTAAACGAAAAAATTGGCAGCAGAGCTCTTCTTGGCCGCCTCTGTGCCTGGCAGCTTGGCAATGCGAACTGGGAGGTTTTCCCGACGTGATGCTGCTGCTACTGCTGCTGATGGTACTGCAGATGCTGCTGTTTTTTCCCCTTTTTGGGGCTGGGTTGTGTGTTGCAGCCATGGCTAACATGGCTCTAACATCGCTCGGAACGAGAACAGGGCTTAAACGGGAGAGAAGTGCAGCCATGACTTCCTAGGGGGAGTGAGTGAGAGAAGTGCAGCATAAAGCTTAAAGGAAAAGAAGCCAGAGTTTAGAAAAGAAGTAAGTAATGAAACCCATATTAACTAACTTTAGTTAAAGCTTTTATTTTAATACAGTACTCTCTTTCTAGGCTTTAAAAATTCCCATTCGGAAAGTTGACATTTTTGTTAGCCGTGCTTTGGCCTACATTTGTATCAATGTGATATAATCAGGACGATAAGGCGCGCGCACCTTCTCCCGCGAAACGCTCCACAAGTATTCCCACGGATCCTGTACCGTTCGATTCGTAAATATTGACACCAAATCAAATCCGATCAATTAGCACGGCAGCTGGTCCTTGTTTACCCTGCAATAATATTAGAGTGAGCTTCTTTACTTTTTTTTTTTGTTGACCAACTTTTAATTAACAGCGCCGTGAAGCATTTAAACTGCAGCCCGAGGACATTAAACATTCATAGAGTCGTTTAATAAAAGGGGCTAAAGGATATAAAGTGATGGGCTGTTGGGCTGGTGAGCGAGAGCGAAAGCGAGATGCAGTTCCCTAAGCTGCTCTCTCTCGTGACACTCTCTCTTCTCACTTTCTCTCGCCATGTAAACAGCATTGCCAGCTGAAAATGTTAGGGCTTAACAGTGCTGTAACTTGTGCTGCTGGCCGACTTTCCTTCTTTTTCGCTTGTTTTAGCCAAGAAGCAGAGATAATTTGGTTTTGTTTATGCTTAATAATGCAGGGGATCAGCTTGCAGCTCAAAACTCTGCTGAAATTTGGCCAGCTTTTGAAGGAATTCCTTTTGGCTTTCGGGAATTTCTTCAACAACCTTTTGGCGACATCACAAAGCAACAATTTTTTTTTTTTTTGCAAAAGTCCAAGGAGAGTCGAATACCGTTATGTGGGCAAGGGGAGGGGGGAGGGCGAAGAACAACAACAGTTGCAGATGCACATGGGGGGGCCAGGGAGCGGGGAGGTATTGCAAGGAGGACGCTATGGGCGTTGGGGGTGTGGCGCATCTATGGGGCGTAAGTATTACCTCAGTTATTTGGGTCAAAGCTATTCACTCACCCGCAAAGCAAAACGAAACGAAGGAACTGCATAAAACATGCACAAACACACGCATACCCACTGCACTCACACAGGCCCAGCGCCGAGATTGGGGGACACGCACACAAAGAGACTAATGGGGGCCACGGGCTTAATAGGTTCCTCTAGCGGACGTGGACGTGGATGTGGATGCGGATGCGAATGCAGATGCTGATGCTGATGCTGAGATGCAGGGTATCCCCCCCCACTTACAAAAGGTTGTCATTAAAAATTAATACAAATTTGATAGAAAGAATAGGCTTAAACTAGATTTTTGGCTTAAAAAAAGGAAAATCAAACAATCTTAATAATGAACGAAAGCCTGGAGCTCTCAAAAGTAGGCTATAAAAACCGTGGCACTGGCTTCACTGAAGAGCCACGACTTACTGGAGCTTTACTGTAGGGCCCGTATTAACCGTTAATGTGTGTGGGGGTGAGAAATGAATTATGAGGCGGGATCAGCTGATTTCGATGGATGGATGAACATTATCGCCCAAGATCGGGCAATGAAGACTGGCAATAGCCTGGCAATTAACAGTTTAACCGCACTTGCCGGCTTCGCTTTTAACACTTTTGGCATTTGCACTTACCTCTCTGGCCATTACGACATGTTCTCACTAGCTCACGCTTTTCGCGCATACAATACGAGAGTGTGTGTGTGTGTGTGTGAGTGAGTGTTTTGCAAGTGTGTGAGTGTGTGTGTGTGTGTGAGTAGGCGGAAAACGGTAAAAGCCGAGTGACAGAGAGAGAGAAAGAGTGTGGGATGTGTATGTGTTTGTGTGTGTGTGTGTCTGCTTCAAAAATTCTCTACTACACGTTTATTTTCACTTTTCTCTTCCCGCACATTTCTCCAACGCGCCGATGCTACTTCTTTCTTCTTCCTTTTCTTTCCTTTCCTTTCCTCCTACTTCCTTTGGTGTGCGTGGGAATGTGTATGTGTATTGGTATTTTCTAAGCTTTTGAGTATTATTTTAATCCAGGTTGAATTTGTTTAAACTATTTACTCTGTCGCTAGAAGCATAACATCCTTTTTTGTAATTTGTCTCTACCTACGCCCACTTTTATAGGTGCGGCTGGTGGTCAAGATCCGCCACTGGCAGTGTAGTGGTATGTGTGTGTGTTGGCGAGTACGAGTACCGTTATCGTTGGCGGAGCCACATTTTCCTATTTGGCATACACTTTTTTGTTGCGATTTTCGCACATTTAAGCCGCACTCGCGTTTCCTTTTATTAATTTTCCTATTTATGCTATTTGATAAAAAGTTATTGCTTGAGCTTTGCTTAAAATCCTTTTTACCGTTTTTTCTTCTTTTGCTCGGCAAGTACACACGCCTACTTCTTCACATACGCTAGACTTTCCGGCAGTTGTTTAATTGTCTGAGTTTCCACCACTTGGCCATTTAATTTAGTTGGAGTGGTAACTAAGTCATTTTTTGTGGGCAAACCATAACATTTTAAATATTTTTGGCCAAGAACAAATGCAAATCAATTTTTATTTTCGGATCGGACTTGCCAGACAACAGGGCCAAAACGGTGTTGCCAGAGAACGGGCGTGTTATCCCGATGGTGCTGCCACATAACTGTCTTTTCAAGGCTGCCACATTTTTTAGCAAACAAAGAGTGTCGGTTTCTGGCAAATCTGGCCACACTGACGCTTACAAGAAATCACCAAAAGCCGAAACCGAAAAATTTTCATAAACACATATTTTAGAACTATTTCAACAAAACTTAAGCTAAGATGGACGAAATACGCAGCAGCATGGACAACATGATGGCGCAGTTCAACGACAGCGTCACCCACTCAGCACCAAAGAAACTTCTCTTCAACCGGCTGTCTACATCTTTCACCGATGACTTTATTGCTTGTAAGTATTTTTGCATTTTTATTTGAGTAGAAAGTGGCAAGAATTACTTACAGCACCAAAGAAGCGACGCATGGACACGTCCGACAACAATCTGAACAGTACCGGGTCCTTAAATAGCTCCTTGAACAGCTCCCTGGGTCCGTGGCAGAACAGCCAACTGCGCGCCGATATAATCGAACTGAAGGCCAGGAACAGTAAGTTGCAGCGCGACTTGGAGCGCCAGTTGAAGGAACACTGCCGGGCCATGGCGGTGGCCGAGAGCAAAAGCACCGCCTTGAAGCAGCAGTGCGACATAACCAGCAAGAATATGCTGGAAATGGAGAGGAATTTAATGATAATGCGAAAGCGAGAAGGGGCGCTAAAAGAAGAGGCCAGCAATGCCAGAGCAGAGCTGGCGGAGCTAAAAATGAAGTTTGAGAACTCGGTAGATATGCTACAAAAGGAAAAGTCACAGCAGGAGGAGGACGCCCGCGACGTTCAGATGTGCATCAATAACGACCTGGCCGAGTATCGTCGGATGGCTCATCGTGCGGATCTCGAACTGCAGGCCACGCGCTCTGAACTGGAGCGGCTCCGTCGTCGACATGACGAGTTCAAGGAACGGGTTGCCAGGCACGAAGAACTGCGTAGCGACTTTGAGAAGCAAACCCAACGCCTGAATGAAGCCAACGAACGCATCAAGGAGTTGGAGTTCGAAATTCAGTCGTACAATGACTGGAAGGAGGTCACTAAAGCATCGCAGGAACGCTTGGCCAGTATTCCCGAGTTGCAGGCAGAGGTGGATCGACTGCGTCAACACAACAAGCACCTGAACACGCTCATTGGAGACAAGTTGCTACTTGAGGAGCAGGTGCATGACTACAAGACGCGATTGGACAAAGAGGAGGGCGCTCGAGCGGAGGCGGTGTCCCTGCAGGTCAAGCTCTCGCATGTCGAGCAAGAACTCAAGGAGTGGGTTAAGGTGGCCCAGGACCACTGCCTGGCGAATACCTTGGTGAGTCCGTTGGCCCTACGGTCGCGCATCGAGCAACTGTTGCAAGAGGACATAGTGCACGTTGCTGAAAAGACAACCTCCGAATCCGACACCAAGCACTTGCAGGTAGGCTTCATAAACATATTATTTTTCTTAATTTTGTTGCTTAAAATATACTTCCCTTATAGACCACAGTGCGTGAAATGGAGCAAAAGTGTAGCGTCTACATGAAGAACATCGAAGAACTCAATATGGGCCTGAAACGCCACAAGAACTTCAAGGAGCGACTGCAGCGCAAGCTGATTACTGTGTCCAAGGAGCGCGACTTTTACAAGCAGATGGTGGAGAACTTTGACAAGGATCTGACCATGAGCAACACGAGCATGGCGGACATGACGCAGGACATGCAGGTGCGCTACCGCATGGAGGTCCTAGAACGCACCGTCACCGCCTACAAGGATATGTGTGCTACACTGGAACGTGAGATTCAGGCCATGCGCCAACATGAGCAGCTGGCTGAACCGTCCAGCGAGGGCTACGACAGTGTCAAGAAGGAGTTGGACACACTGCGGCTGGAGAACGATCGGCTCCGCAGGCGCAAGGAGGAAATGGAGCTGGAGCTTATGCACCGTTGTCTGCGCGGCGACTTTAACATAAAGGACTACAAGGTGGTGCATTTTACGGAGAATCCGGCCGCCGAAGCTTACGAATCCGCCAAGAATATAATGGAAAAACTGCAGGCGGAGATCGAGCGCTTGAAGCGGCGCAACAAGAAGCTGGAGGACGATCAGGATCAGCGACTGAACGAGACCACCAGCACTGGAGGCATGACAATGAACTTTAAAGAGTTCAATCAGCTGCGGGCGGAGCTGGAGTCGGCGAACGGTAAGATGCGCAAGATGAAGGAGTGCTTCAAAGCGGCCACCACCGAGTTCCGCGATGTATGCTACATGCTATTGGGCTATAGGATCGACCGCATCGGAGCTAATAGCAATTATCGGTAGGTTTTAACGACTTGCTCTAGTCCTGTTATTAATGTTTTCCTTTTGTAGCCTTTCCAGTATGTATGCTGAAAGTCCGGAGGACTACCTGGACGTCACCCTCAACGAATCGAACTGCTTGGCTCTGCTCGAGTCTCCGTATTCCCGGACTCTGAGTCCAGCTATTGACCAGCAGCTGGCCACCAATAACTCATTCCCTGCGTTCTTTTCCTCCCTCACTCTGGAGCTCTTCCAGCGCCAAACAGTAACCATTACTTAGACCTCCTAGATGATAGTGATTGCATGAGGTTCGGCCACCTCACTGGCCAGTGGCCACCTCATAGACTGTATACGTGTGAAAGCAAAAACATTAATTTACTTTCCTGGCAAGGATTAGTCCTTTTTTTTAAAACTAAGTGGATGCTAAAAACTTTTAATTGAAACATCTCAGACAGGAAAATCGGCTTTTGATTAAAATATATAGATTTATAGACATACACAGATAAATAAGACTATTTAGAATCGGAATGGGGTATATATATTAAGTTGAAGTCAAGATGTGAGACACTTGCTCTGGCGTCCTGTGGAGCAACTGGTCGGGGTGCTCGAATCCGTTGGCAGGATCGTGAACTCGATCGTAGATCTGCTTGTAGATAGCCACGATTACATTGAAAGATCGCTTTTGGACGGTGGCCCGATGACTGCTCGACATGATGAGCTGCACCTGCGGCAAGAGCAGCACGTCGGGTAGCTCCAGAAAGGCGTCCATCTTGGACATGAATATTTTCAGCAGGTTCGTTTCAATCTTGGACTGATTGCTCTGCAGGATGGCGTAGATGGGGCCCAGATTCAAATTGGCCACCAGCGAGGAGGCCTGCTCAGAGGTCAGGGTGTCTAGTTGGGCGTCCGACTGGGCCTGCAGCCGTTCCACGCGCTCGTCCATGTATTCGTAAACCGCCAACGAGCTCTGCATGTGATGGAGGCAGTTCAGGAGGTACACCCCCATATCCACGGTGGGCAAATGAGCCGCACTTTCCTGGACAGATTGCAGCAGCGGGTCGATTACGCAGCTCACTATCTTGGTAATATCCGCCTGCCGGCCATCCACCATTGTGGCCACCGATAAGATCTCCTTGAGAATGTTCAGCAAACGTGCCACACTTGGTGGCGGAACTAGATCTCGTTGGGGAGGTTCCAAGGCCAGGCCAGATCCTCCCGACGGCCGCTGCAGAACGCTACGCACCTGAGCTGCCAGGGCGCCCAAGTAGATCTGCTCACTGTTCTTTTGCAGCTCCACCAGACACTCCTCCAGGCTGCCACCCTGGACCACTTGACGCATTATCTGCTGATAGAAGCGGAGCAAGTTCGAAATGGTGAATAGAACAATGGTGTCCTTTTCAGCCTGGAGGATGGTTTCCACGCGCACTTTCAGTGGATGGCACACACCATCGGCTATGTAGCCCAGGGCGCTTTGAAGCTGGTCCGAGATATCTGAAGGGTTAAGGAATCAATTAGTAATGAGGCTCATAACAGGTTGGACCATTTAAGTTACCCTGCTTGTCGCACTTTTTGAAAAGCAACGACAGGTTCTCCTTTTCCGTGGGAATGCTTTGGTGCAGCCAGGCAAACATGTCTCCAATGTAGCGCTTGGGATCATGGGCATGCAGCTCTATGGGCTTGGGATTGCCGCCAGGTCCGCCTTCGGTGAGAGCCTCAATGAATTGGCGCACTAGAACAGCTCTTCTGGCAATGGCATACTCATCGATTACGTATCTGAAATGTCCTTCTTTTAAAATAATTCCAAAAACCTAAACTATTAAAGGACCAACTTGAAGAGAACTGGACGATCCTGCAGCCGGCTCATGGCCTCTACAATCAGCGGTCCGATCTCGTTGTTCTCCAGACTGCGGCAGTGGTTCTGGGTCCAGCGATAGAGTCTTTCCAGAGCACCCTCCTGATGCAAAGTCATCTCCTCCATGATGTCCAAAGCAGCTGTCTGGTAGCCACACTGCATCAGCAGCCGGCAATCGGCGTGGATGCTCTGGACCCGGTCCAGAACCTTGAAGAAGTCGGCGACTATTGGCGCATCCTTGGCAGCGCCGTAGAGCAGCTGGTGTTCCGGCCCACTCAACTGAAAGCGCGCCAAAAAGGCCTGGGCTATTTGCTGATGGACCTCCAACCGGTCCCGTTCTTGTTGCATAGTATTGGTCTGATCGATCAGATCCTTGGTCAGGGCCTTTGAGGTCTCCAGGTCCGATTTCATGGTCTCCACTGACGTGGCCATCTTGTCCAGATCATCGCACACGGCGTCCAGCGACAGCTTTACCTCACGGAAAGCCTTCAGAAAGTTCTCATTGATGCCCACGGAACGGTGCTCGATCTGGCTTCGGAGATTCCTGCGGTTTTGGATGGTGTTTTCCGTAAAGAAGCTGGACAGCCCGCTGAGGGCATCCAGAGTGTCCTAAAAACACGAGATTAGAGACTTTCTGTAGGATCGGCAGGCGCTTACCTTGTCCGACTCCAGACGAGCCTCCAGGATCTTGTTGACCCGCTTCTGGATCCTGTCCTGATCCTCCAGTTTTTCCTTCGTGGAGCTCATCTTGAATAAATAAATTTATGGTCACACTAAACAGCTGACAAAAAATACTAAAGTTGGTAGGAGGCTAAAAATACTAGAAATTAGACACTGCATCCCTGGTCATCATCACAAAACAAAGCAAAGTCGAATTAGTTAAAAATTTAGAAAATCTTAAATAAACTCCTTTAGTAAATCTAACCAGCAAGTCACGACCATGGCCGCGTTGGCCAGTTTGACCGCCCAGTACACCGACTCAGAAAATGAAGGCGAGGCCAGTCCGGATTCCCAAAACTCAACGGCGTCCCAGGTGAGAAGTCAAAAAACTACAAATTATAGAATATATGTAATTAATGCTACATGTATCTTGTAGGTAATCATTCCGAAGCGGCCATCGCCAACTCCCACAAAACAGGATCCCGAAACTAAGCGCCAAGAAAAAAAGAAAAGGAAGCGGGCCAAGAAAGTCCGCAGGCTGGTGAGCTACCAGGATGACACCCTTATTTCAGACGAGGAAGAAGACAAGGCTGCAGCCCAATCCAGCGAGGAGGAGTCAAGCAGCGATTCGGAAAGCGACAGTTCCGGTTCCAGGAGTGAGGACAGCTCAAAGGCAAAGGACAAGAGCAATGCTGGTAACGGAACCCGGGATGGAGATGATGTCATGGAGGTGGATGAGGAGTCGGCAGACTTTCCCACTGACGAACGAACTGCTGAGAGCTATGAGAAGGATCCGAAATATGCCAAGTACAAGTTTCAATTACCGCCAGAGCCGAAGGGCAAACCGCCACCAGAACTAGTGGCCAAGATCACCAAAATGTACACAAAGATGCGGCAGACGAATATGGACATGAACCGCGTGATCCAAGACCGCAAGGAGTTCCGCAACCCCAGCATCTACGACAAACTGATTAGCTTTTGTGACATTAACGAGTTTGGCACCAACTATCCTCCGGAGATCTATGACCCTCTACAGTGGGGCGAGGAGTCCTACTATGAGGCTCTTGCCGCCGTTCAAAAGACAGAAATGGTTAAAAGACAGAAGGATCGCAAGGATATGGACAAGGTTGAACAGGTCACGGCTTTGGCCAGGAAAGTCGAAGAGGAAGCCAAAAAGCGGTAAGATTAGTTATTTTCAGAATCTTCGTTGTTTAATTGGTTTCTTTTTTCCAGGAAATCTAAGTGGGATCAGCCAGCTCCGTCCACTAAGCCTACTCTGCCTGCTCTGACCACCACGGTCACGGGCACCAAGGGCACGGTTATCTCCGCCTTCGGTTCGCTCCCCAAGAAACCAACCGCTTAGTCAGTTATTCAATAAATTTATAATTTTAAAACTAGGCTTGTTATTATACATTTGTACGACCAATTAAGGAGATCTTGGAGCTCTAAGGATCTTAAGTTTAGATCCTCTCCAGGTATAGATTTTCCTGCCAGAAGCGAACTCAGTCTGGCAGCACTTGTTTTTTGGCCATCTGGTAGCATGAAGCGAAGACACAAACCATAAACACTTGAAAAAAGTGAAATAAAATATGTCAATGGATTCTAAAAATATGAATTAGGGCGAAATAATCACATTTCCTATTGCTACAGTTTTAAAGATGCTAATTCTAAAGTCTGCAAGACTCGTTTTCATAAAAATCCTATAGCAAAGTCGATATCACGATAAGATATACCATTTTCATAAATCGAAATCGATATATCGATACTCAAGCTCTAAAAATAGCTGGCAACTCTGTTTCGAACGTCCGTGTGCTGAGTCTTTTTCCGCTTAAAATCGCAATAAATAAAAATAAAAACAAAGCAGTGCCTACTTATTGCAAGCAGACGGATTGCACAAGCAATTAAAGTCCCAACCTGGCGTTATGATTTGAAAATATAGCGTACGTCCGTAATCAATTGCAGCGTTAAAGTTGGAGAAGACAACGCAGCAGCAGCAGAAGAATTTTAGATCTGAGTGTGGATGTGTGTGTGCGTGCGAACGATATAACCAGACGAAGAAGATGCCGTGGATATGTCGGAGAGTTTTTTGTGTTGAATTTTTGTTTAAACAATCTTGGCCGTGTTGTTAATTCAAGGTGCATATTGCGGATGTGGCCATTTGCGATGCAACCGGTATTTCGGTGTCTCTCTCTCTCTCTGCCTCTTCTTTGGGCCGCGGATTGTTGCTGAAGCGTATGGGGAGAGGGAGGGAGGGGGTAGAAAAGGAAGAGCAGAAGAAGATAGTTTCCATGGGAGATCCGAGTGCATTGTCTCTGGAATATGCATAATATTTAGCAACAATAAAGGCAACCGGGGAGGAAGGGGAAGCTACAGCCAGGGCAGCTCTTTGTTCCACAATTGTAATGGTCTGTCTGTCTCTGTGTCACTCGCTCGCTCTCACCTTTGGGGAGCAGCCACTTGTTGGTGTGTTTACGTGTGTCTGCCTGCCTGTATGTGTGTGTGTGTGTGTGTGTGCTGCCCTGCCCAAAACAACAGAATTCTATTCATTTTGTTTTTGTTTTTTTTTTTTCGGCCGCAGGAAATCAAATGAGAGCGCACTTAATAAAGAAGATAAAAAAAAAGCAGTCCGGCATCAGGTGTTAAAGTGTTAAACAATTCCAATCGCACACACAACGGCACACCACTAGTTTGTTCGAAGGAAAAGTAAACAAAAAAAAAAAGAGAAAAAAAAAAAGAAAAACAACTCGTACGCGTGTGCCAAGTGTGTGTTTTATGTTTGTGACTGTGTGGACTTGTGCGGCGCCAATAAAATCCAAAATAACCAAAAACTGACGACTAAAAGACCCAAAAAAAAAAAAAACAATATCACCAATAGCTAGCAGCTAGCAGCAAGGGCATCGAGTGATTCAGCTGGACGAACTAAATAAACCATGTCGGATTCGTATTATCAGGTGAGTGAGCACCCGCAGCCGGTCAAATCGGCCTGGTTATTACTTTTCATATCAGACCCCATACATACCTATCTTGCAGTACAGTGGCAGTACTTCCCTATAGTTGGCTTTCCTTTCTGACGCACCTGTTGCACACCAGGAATTTCCGCTCCAGCTGACGGAAACCACTTGTGGGTCATCTCTCAGCCACCCCCCTCCCCCCCCAGTGGCCAACATGACATCACTTTTGTGCACAAATCGCGTTCCACATTCAAATTCCGCTCGCCAAGTGCCAATTGGCTTAAGTGCGTGACCCGGGTGTCTAAAAATAGACCCCTGCGGTCAAATATTTGTTCGGAATTGTATGATTGCCCCCCCTAAAAAAGGGGCAATTAAGAACTGCATTGATTCACAGGCAGTGGCCACTAGCTCTGCCATTATTGCAATTACCCTGCACTTTGATTACAGGGTATTTAACGGTTGTGGCTATAAATAGCCCTGTCTGTGGACCTTATCGCCCAGCCCCCTTATCTCTGGCAGTTATATGAAGCTTCTGTAACAACAGCATCCATCACGTATGTAGTTCTCCGGCCGATAAGTGACTCAACGCGAAAACCATTCAACACATTTATAGAACCATTCAGAAGACTTTATAAAGGGGGTAGTAGGGTGTAGTAGGGTGGTTGTTCGAATAATAGGCTACTAAGCTCAAGAACCGATCTTGGCCAGAAAACCAGATTCCCGAAGGAGGAGCATTCAGCAGCTCCTACTTACATACTTTTGCCATTTACGGTGGTGCACCTGAGAGTAGCTTCTTTTTTTTTTTTTTGAAAGAAAACCGGTTTGGAACCATCTCGATGGTGAACGCTATTCTAGAGTTGCCCACCAGAACAGGGTCAGCCAGTTGGCTGGGAAAATTGGGTAGAATGGGGCATGGTAACTGACTTTTTGGAGAATCCTGGCTAATCTTCCCTAGCCATGTTTCCAGTGGCTCTCCTGGCAAACACACTTGGCTGGCTGGCTAAGACGGTTGGTCTCGTCAAGTGTCACGTGTCGGGCCTCTTGGATTATTGTGTGGCCATATCTTGGCCCCTGACAGCCTGTCAGAACAAACAAAGGGCCCCCCACACACAGGGAAGGGAGGTTCTTAAGCCTGTTTTGTTTATCTGCCGTCGAGAGATAATATTCCTTGGCCAAGAATGCCAATTAAAGGTTCATCTTGTTGACAGTCTCGATTTTCGCGAAAAGTTTTCCACAGCCACTCGGAAGCAGGGGATGCATTTCATTAAATTCAATTTGTATCTATCAAGTGGCAAGTGCTCTCTAGCCTGATATGGAGGCTGATAAGCTATCACCCCCCTGGGTCCTACTTGTCGTGATTTGTTTATGTAAATTTTCACTAGCTGCGCAAAAAAAAATAAAAAAATAGCTTTTATTTCATTAAAACGCTGATGGGGTTTTGGTCTTGAGTCCCTAGTGGCGGATAGTAGGGCTCTACAGATTATTTTGTTTGCTTTTCATCATTGTCGTTGATGTTGTTGTTGATGTTTTCTTATCAATTCGACCCTCGGAGCTGCTCCGACTGGCTTACATAAATTGAGCAATTAAATGTTGCAAAATATTCATGGCTGTTAGTTGTAGTTTTCCTCTTCCAGGCAAAGTTTTCCACCGCCGGGGGGAGAAAGAAAGTACTGAGGGGCATTGAAAATCATTTAATTAACTTGCCGTGCTCGTGGTCGTTGTTGGTGTTGTTGTTGGGGTTATATCACAAGCCCCTCGCTGCATTTGACCAAGTTAATTCATAGCTCGTTATTGTTTGTCGGCCTCACCCTGCCCCTGCCCCTGCCCCACCATTTAATTGCAGCAATTGATGAGTTCAATTGCGCAAATTATGGCGCTGACTACTGGCTACTGTGGCTGCCTCCTGCCCTCCCTGCCAGATCGATATGAATCCACCTGATTGGATTGAGGCCTTTTTGTTTATGGCCCTCACCTCCAACAGGTAGGATTACTGGCCAAAAGAATGTCTACTAATGCCAGTGCTTTTCGGGTGCTAATACGAACGGGTTTTTCCCCTTGAACTCAAAACTGGAAAACTCGGCATTCGAATTCGGCACATGCAGGTGTCCCCAATTACAGTGGATTCTCGAAATTGGGACAAAGTTAGTTAGCCAGCCAGCCGGGTTCTGGCCTGGCCTGGACAGGCCACCTCGTTTGGCTTGCAAATGATGTTGTGCCACAGAAACTAGTTGGGTGGTTGCCTGGTTGTGGAAGTAGAACTGGCACTGGCCAAGGAATGCGATGGAATATGGTGCACCTTCTGCCATTTTCTGCCAGCTTGCCACATTTGAACTTGCCACTCGAAGGTGCAGCAACAGCTGGCTTGTGTTGTTTGTTTGTTTGTTTGCTCGGATGTTGGATGTTGGCCTGTTTGACTTTGTGGCCCGATCATTTCCATCCAATTTTCCTATTGCTGGGACGGCTTTTGCGGTAACATTGATTTCTGTATAATTTTTGTAATTTTCACTTTCACTCCAAGACCAAAAAAAAAAAAAAACAAGAAAGGAAAGCTAACTTCGGGCGGAGCCGAAGTTTATATACCCTTGCAGTTAAAACCGGATATATATCGCAAACATCGGATATAGTTGGCCGATCCTTATGGGAATAGGAATATATAATCCAATTTATTACAATACAAAATCTAAAAAAAGTCCCAAACTTCTATCTTCAAAAATACGAAAGTTGATATTTCTACCAAATACCATTTCCGATCGTTCAGTTATATGGCAGCTATGGGATATAGTCGGCCGATCCTAATGAAATTTGGTAGGTTGGATCAACTGACCAAGAATTAAATCTGTACTAAGTTCCAGCTTTCTATCTTCAAAAACACGAAAGTTGGGTCATTTCCGATCGTTCAGTTATATGGCAGCTATAGGATATAGTCGGCCGATCCTTATGAAATTTGGCATGACGTAATGTTTTGCCAAAAATAGCTCACATGTCAAATTTGAACTCTCTAACTCTAAAAACACCAAAGTTATACCATTTCCGATCAATCAGTTATATGGCAGCTATAGGATATAGTCGGCCGATCCGGGCCGTTCCGACTTATATACTGCGTGCAAAGGAAAGAAGGGTGTGTGCAAAGTTTCAAGACGATAGCTTTAAAACTGAGAGACTAGTTCGCGTAGAAACAGACAGACGGACAGACAGACGGACAGACGGACAGACGGACAGACGGACAGACGGACAGACGGACAGACGGACATGCTCATATCAACTCAGGAGGTGATCCTGATCAAGAATATATATACTTTATAGGGTCGGAGATGTCTCCTTCACTGCGTTGCACACTTTTGACCAAAATTATAATACCCTCTGCAAGGGTATAAAAACAAAAAAAAAAGTCCAAATGGCAAACCAAAGCCAGTGCCAGTGCCACTGCGGCTATTGGCCATAAAGCATTTTTCAATCAAATTAACAGCATGTTAATGGCATATGTGAGTGGGAAAGAGAGGAGGATATGGGGGTAAGAGATGCACTGAAAAAAATTAAATAAGAAAGGACTAGAAAACACTAAATTATTAACTTTATGATTATTGCTCTGTATCCTTAGTTAAAGGATATCTCTTATTAAATTTATTTATTTAATTACTACAAAGTCTTATTATTTTCTCTCTGTGTAGAGAAAGAGGCGAAGCGTGCCAAGCTGGAGTGCAATTGTTTGGCAAACACCTGCAATAGCTCTCGCCTGCATTCCCTCTTCTCACCCATCTCTCTCTCTTAAGCTTAGTACCCCTCTCTTACTCTCTCTCTCTCGGTGCCAATTTTTCCCAGCTCTAAGCTGGCTTCCTCAAACAGCTTCAGTTGTTGTTATTATTAAGTTTTTTGTTGTTGTTGTAGTTTTTGTATTTTTTTTTCTCATTCAATCGCTGCAAGTGTTGTTGACCGCTGCCGTGTTGGAGCTGCCGCCCCTGGCGCTGCTCTCAAAATGCCGTTGTTCGTTGATTGAATGCAGCAGCAGCAACAGCAACAACAACAAACAACAACAAACAAACAACAAACAAACAACAAAGCTGCCAAAGCTTCTCCATATTAGAGATGAGTAAATACCTAGTTTTTAGACAAACGGGAAATCTGCTTGGGGAAGTCAATAGGGGGTATCGATAGGGTGTCGGTAAATAAATATTTAGTTTCAAATAGTGACTAATGAAATATAAATAGATTTTATAATCAGATTAGAGGTATTTTTATATCAACAAATAGTTAAGATAATTTGGTAAAGAAGGTAATTAACAAATAAAATAACGATAGTTTTCCCTATTTCCCTAGTTCTCTCTATCATCCCTAATCCCTAATCCCCCATCCCTAACACGTATGAGTGTGTGGAGTCCGTGTTAATCACATTACGTGTGCTGCGGCTAATGCCTCTCCGATTCTGTGGGAATTGCTCTGATTTTTTGTTGCTGTTGCACCTTCCCGAGCTCTTAATGCAATTAGGCAGAGGAGTTAGTTGCGGTTCACTTGCATCTTGTTTTTTTTTTGCAACAAATTCTGCTCTTCGACATCTTTGAGCTTTCCCACCGATTTGTCTCTGGGGACTCTGAACCAAGACCTAACTGTAATAAAAATTCCATTAATTTAACGGCTGCAAAGTAAGATATTTTAATTAGATTTTTGGGGATACTACTAGATATACTTCAGCTGGGGTTGGTGTTTATATTCTTCCCAGTTGCTGAGTTGAGATGCAAATGAGCGTCGACACCCCGCCTAGCAGAGAGCTTCAAGATGTCTTGAAGCCAGCCAGTCGGAACTGTGGAGGGGCACCTTCCTCTTTGACGTCGGCCGACACTGAAGGGCCCGGCTCTTTTTTCCCTCCCCCCCTCGATTCCCCTTTGCTTCCCGTTTCTGGTTTGGCTAAAAACGATTCTTCTTGACTGCCATTGTTGCCACTGGGGTGTCATTGTTGCAAGCTACAGGTGGACGCCGTGAAAGATGACTTCAGATATTACGAAAGGATTTTAAAGATACTTTTCTAAACTTATAGCTTATACTACTAGATGAGTTAGTAGGGTTTAGTTGGCTTGAGTCTATCACTAGTCAATTTAAGGAATGTCTACTGTACCATCCTGTTTCTGCTGTTGCTGCATGTTACTGTTGCAGACGACAACGATGACTTCCCACAGCCACATCGATGCGACAGTGCCCAGGGAGTCAGAGCCAAAGTTAAAGCTAAGCGACAACCAGAGTTTTCCCTTTCGTTACGTGACAGCGCCCAACAGCAACAACAACAACAACAACTAAAGTAACAAAAAACAAGTGAAACAATCACACGGCTCGAGGCGCACAATCCTACAGATACATATAGAGCTGCAGATACATCTCTGCATCATGAGGCACGGATGTGGCAGAGACAATCAGCATATCTTTCCATTTCGCATTGTTCTTGGCTCGGTTTCCCTTAATAATGACATAATTGACAAGCCCCCCTATTTTCCACTTGAATGCGGAAAAAACTTTCCCGAAAATAAAACTTTAAATCTATTTTTTGATCAAAAATTGCATAATATTTTGAGGGAAATAGCAAGTTATTCTAAGGGTATACCACTTTCATTATAAACCTTATAGTATCGACACTTTTCCTTTTTTTTCGGGGAGGGTGGGGTAGAGATCTGAGGAGCCTGAGGAGAGGCATGTGTAATTATGATGAAACTGGCTGACTTGGCTCGTTGGCTGGGCAACTTTTTTTTGGGCGCTGCTTTCGAGGCAGGCGAGTGCGTGGCAGGCAGTGTTTTGGGTTTGTCAACCTCTTTGGCGTGGGTTGGGCCAACTTTATTTTTTCAGTTATGGCCATGACGCATTCGACGGTTTAATTGCCGCTGTTTTCGGTTTCGTTTTCGCTTTTCCGAGCCAGCTCTTATCAGTCGTTGCACTTGGCATTCGAAATGGCAACATCCGGACATCCGGTATCTGGAAGAGTACTTGCTGGTATCGACTCGGAAACCCTTTCTTTGGAAAAACGACATTCAATAGGTCAGTTGGGTGAGTCAGGGCCTTGGAAAAGGTTGGTGTGGTGTGTGGTTGGGGTTAATAGGGGGGTGTAGACCATCTAATTAGTCATGCACTTGAAAGGCTTTCCTACCTTGTTGACGCAAGGGGTTCTTGGATAAGCCTATAAGGGTTAACCAAAATTTGTCCTTAAATTTCAAGCTTCCAGTTACATCTTCTAGCTAAGAATTCTCTTAATTGTGGCGCCGCCATGCTGAGCCATGGAATTTTCCCTCATTTTCCCCCCAAATAGCTATTTTCGGTGCTTATGCAAATGACGACACTTGGCTTATCGCCTCGATTCTTGGTAACAGTCTTTTGGTAACAATAAACAAAAGTCGTGGCCAACTAAAATGTGTGACAGTTTCATAATAGCCGAAAAAAATAGAATCTAAAGAAGAGAGGCTTTGAAAGATGGTTAGTTGTGCAGGGTGCGGGGGGATCTCTCTCAAATGTTAATCAAACATAGCTGTACAATTCTCAGAACTGGAACAAAAGCGGAAAATGTCCGGGAATCTCGGGAGAGCGGTAAAAGGAAAATTGAAAAAAAAAGAAGAAGAAGAAGATGAGGTTCGCCAGAGCCAATTAACCAACTTTTCTTCCACTCACTCTCTTGGTTTCTTCATTTTTGAAGAATCACCCATTAAGCGGGGCTTACTCTGGCGGCTAGTTCTCCCTCCCTCTCTCTCTCTCTCTCTTGCTGGTGCGCTGGGGGCTTTGGGTCTCTGTGCTTTTTTCAATTTTTTTTCAGAGGTTTCAGTTCGCTCGCGGACGTTGCAAAAGCCGGTTGTGTCGCTGAGACGACGTTCCGTCTTGGGTTCCGTGGTACCGTGGTACGTGTTGTGGTACGTGTTCCGAGGTTCGTTTGTTATTGTTTGTGTGTGAAAGTAGCGGCGCCGCAACCGTGCATCAGGCGGCGAATTGCATAAATTGGGAAGCCTTGGGACGTTGTGTGCGAAAAAAAATAAAAAATATGTTTTCCAATGGATGACGCATAAATGCGTTTTTTTTTTTGGCCTTAAGTCAATGTCCTTAATTTTGAAAGGCACACGCCCACGCCCATGCTACGCGAGTGAAGTTATCTGGTGGCAGATACTATATAGAGTATATAATACCCTGGGATTAGCCGTTTGCCAAGTGTGTGTAAGTTGCTTGCTAAACGAATCAACGCGATTTGGACCATTTATTTTACGGCTTCTTCTCGGCTCGAGCGGATTTCTAGTTAATAATTAAGACAAAAGGCGAAAAGATAAAAGCCATTGAGATATGGCACACAGATACAGATACATAAACAGATACTGATACAGATACAGATGCATATCGAGATACTGGCAAACAGCACTTGGGTGAAATTCCATTTCTCTTTTATTTTTTTCGATTCGTTTGGGCTTCTGCTTCTGTATCTGTATCTGTATCTGCTTCTCTGCTTTTTATAAAAAGTGAAAATCCAAGTGACAATCAATTAAAATTCGAGACCAGTCGAAAATCGATTTTCAGTTTCAAGCGGACACACGGACACATGGACACCCTAACACTGCCGCTACCGCCGCAAGTTTTGTTCTAATTTTGCCACAATTTTGTTGGCCCTCTCTTTCTGGCTTTTGGCCTGGCCGTGTGTTCGACTGGCGGCTGGCGGTTTTATTTTTGTTACGGTACTTATGTTGGTGAGGCTTAACCCAAATTCACTTGTTGCATGTGCTGAATAAGCAAAAAAAATAGTTAAGAAGCAGCCAGAAGCAGCAACAACAACAAAAAAAAGCAAGCGCTTTTGAAGAAAAATGAAAATTTTTGTTGTCACAGTCGTAGTTGTTGATGCCTTTCTATGGCTTTGCCTTAATGCCATGCGACTGGGTCAACCAATATAGCCCCCTATATTGGCCTCTCCCTCCCCCACCCCATACCCCTCTGTTAGCCATTTTCCCATATTGGGTCGAACTCGAATTACAGAAGCGTCGTTGACAGCTCGAGTTGTCAACTAACTAAACAAATTCATCAGCAAAAATGCCATAATGAGATTCTATGCACTTGTCTCTACTCTGTATGTGTGAGCTTATGCCTTTTTTTGTATTTTTTTGTTATTTTTAAATTTATTATTGACACTTGAAAACTAATTTCCAATTCAATTCCACTTACCAAAATCAGAGTGCTAAATAAAATCAAATTTGTTTGCCATTTGTACACATTTGTTATATGTATCTATGTATCTTTGTATCTCACAGATCGCCAACTGCTTAGGCGTTTGTCCAAAAAATACACACTATAAAATGGAAACAATAACAAGAAATCTTGTTTTGATTTTGGTTATAGTACCTGTTAATGGTTTTGAACTGTTTTTGGCTCAAAAATGGTCAACAGCGGTATAGTTTGAAGTACTTGGGTTTGGGAGAAATATTTATAAAGATGTGATGGATAGGAAATGTAATTAAAAAGGGAAATTATTCAAGTATACTTTTATTCAAGTTTAAATTGTTTATTTTTTATAAATTAAAGAAACAATCTTCAAGCAATATACAAATTTAAAGAAAAGTTCGAAAAAAGACATTTTTTAGAAAAAAAGCATGCTTTCCCTTAAAGCATGCTGATTTCTTCAAATTCCTTTCTTCAAACTGCCAGGATAGCATCTCATCCTCTTGTTTTCTAAATCGTTTCCATCTTGTAATACTCTATTAACTATAAAGCTATTCAGCTAGCCCAAGTTGATACCTTTTTTTAAAAAAAAGCATGCTTTCCTTAAATCTTTTCAATTAATCTGCCAGGATAGAATCTCTTTCCCGCTTTCTAAATAATTTCCATCAAATAGAGTAAAAGTTAAAATTATAAAGCTAAAGCCAAGTTGATACTTTTGTCTAAAAAAGCATGCTTTCCTCAAAAGCATGCTGATTCCTTCATATTCCTGTCTTTAAACATCCTAATTATTTTTTTCGAAACCATTTCTACCTTATAGTACTCTACTAATCATATATGTACATAAAACTAGCCCACGTCTATACCTTTTCCTAAAGAAAGCATGCTTTCCTCAAAAGCATGCTTATTCTTTTCAAAAAAACCGCCAGGATAGCAGTAATTTCTTCTTTTCTAAATAATTTCCATCTCTCAGAGTATTAATTTAAACATATAAAGCTATTAAGCTAGTTTACGTTGATACCTTGTTCTAAAAAAAGCATGCTTACCTCAAAAGCATCCAGAATCTTTTCAAGTACACCGCCAGGACAGCATCTCTTTCTTCTTTTCTGAATAATTTCCAATCAGAAGAGTATTAAAAGTAACATATAAAGCCATTCGGCTAGCCCACGTTGATACCTTTGGCTATGTAGAGTGCGAAAATGAAATCGCTACTTGAAACTCACAAAAAAATAAAAATATCCCCGGAGCTACACATGTTTTTTTGGACGTGCGTGGGCCGATCAACAGCCAAAAGCCAAGCAGCATCGGATCGGCCAAGGGTATACGATGGGTTGTGATATAAATATGTTTATGTTCGTGTATGCCTGCTGGTAGAGTTTATATAGCTGGCGACCTTGTTTCTGGTTTGATTTCATGTGCGTGCGGCAAACGCTTCAATGTTTCCTGCCCTGCCCTGCCCTGCCTAGCCACCAATGCTGTATGTAGCTTAAGTGGCAGGTTTGTATTTCGGAGGCAAACGACCGATTAGAAATCGTAAGTTTCAGTGCGGCCCATTGGTCATTGGTCACTGGTCACTTGTCAGTAGTGGTTGTTGTATGGTATGCCTTTAGATCCCCTCCCAGATCCCCCCTTTACACCCGAAGATTCGACTTCAAAGCGGGCGCCAATTATCAATTTATGAATTGCCGCGGGCCGAATCAAAGTGGTCCATCATCATTATCATTAGTTAACTGAATTTGCCCCAACTTGATATACTAATAAATATATGTTTTCTTTTCTTCTCGTTGCAGGTAAATGACTGATCAGGATTTTTGTAATTTTTAAATGTATGAGAAAATTGTAGAAAATTTCCAAAGGAAAAACCAAATATTTGCCATCCAAATGAATGACATCACATAGTGTATCTGATAGATACAGGCGCATCCACGTGTCTGCAGTCGCCTGCCTGCCTTTCCTGTCTTCCGCCCCCTTCTCCGTTTTGCATTTCATGCCAATTTCGATTCCGTGCTGGCACCAGACAGAACAACAGCCGCGATTTCTGTTATTTTTTCCGAAATTTTGGTGCGCAAATCGAAAAGCTTTCTAATCGCTTTTCCGCCACCCCCCAGTCCCGTGGAAAGCGCGAATGGAAAGAGTAACAATTTTCCTCGTATTGCAGTTTGTGTCGCGGCACCACCGCCTTGACATTTCGCAGCGGATACTCTCCGGTCTGCTGTTTATAACCCGCCCCCGCCTCCACCTCCGCTCCCTGGGCATTTTATTGTGACAAATATTTGGCCAGCTCTGTCACAGCGTCGCCATTTTTCCTTTGGATAATGATTATACAAATTTTCGCATATTTCTACAGTGAGATAACCAAAAGAAAGAAACTATACTTTTATAAAATCTAAATAATACATGTGTGTGTAAAATAAAAATTAAATTAAATTTAAACTTTGAATAATATCATGGCACTGACCATGAACATGGTTTTTCTCAAGGATTTACGTTCGCGCCTCAGAGGATACCTGCACGTATGTAATATTCAGATATTCAGATATTTATTTCCAGTTTATCCGAAAAAAAATCTCAAAAGAATTTAACTGTTTTTGCTGTGAAATCTACCGGAAATCTTTACTAAACAAGCTGGGCTTAATAGTAATTACAGCAATTACTGCCTTAATGTTTGTTTCTTCCGCCGCCACTTGGTTAATTATCATATTAAGGCAGAAGAAGCTGATAAGTGAGTCGATGCAGTGTTCTCCCTGCTTCCCTCTGCTGTCTTCTCCACTGAATTCTTCTCCGACAACCATCCGCCCACTCATTCCCATCCCAATCCCAGCCAAGCGTGCGTCAAAAAGAAATTCATAAATTTTTAAAAATTTATTGAAGTTTTCTGACATCACCTCAGGCCCCCTCCTGGGGCTGCATTTTGTGCAACTTTCTCAGCCAGCTGGCTGGCGTCATTATCCATCCATATAGCGGTGGTGCTACCTTCGCCTTATATATCGCCTTTGTCTTGCTGCAACCACACCGAATCCCGATGTATAATGAACATGTCGCTATATCGTATATTATGCTGATTATTCAAGTGTTGTGTGTTATGCTGGGTTTGCATTTTCCTGGCCCGGTCTGGCCTGGGCTGCAATCTGCAATCGTGTTATGCAATCTCATTTGGCTTTATTACGGTTATCAAAATGAAGATGGCTCTTTTTTTTCTGCCAAGAATGCGCCACTTAAGTTTCACATGGGAATTGTATTTCCCAGGCTATAGATATAGACTCTGATGGGGATTTGGGGTGATATTTGAAGTATTATTATGATGTATTATATTAGTAACTGAGGTAGATATTCTCAAACTATAGTTATAGACTCTAAAAGGGATTTATGGTGAAATTTGAACCGTCTTCTATCATATTAGGAGCTATAATTATGATATATTACCATATATTAGTAAGTGAGGAAGGTATGCTAAACTCATGATATTTAAACCTTTTTGATATCAGTTCTTATATTAGAAGCTATGTAATATTATAATATATCTACCTACTATTACAAGATCTTCCTATCTTGTTAGCAAGATATTCCCAAGCTAAAGTTATAGACTCTAATAGAGATTTGAGGTGAAATTTGAACTAGCTAGTAGGAGGAGCTAGTATTATGATATATTATGTTAGTAAGTGAGGAACATTTGCCCAAGTCTTCATATTCAAACAGTTCTCATATCATATTAGAAGCTAGTACTATAATATATCGTATAACAATACTGTAATATCTTTCTATCTTGTTAAAAAGATATTCCCAAACTATAGTTATAGACTCTACTAGGGATATGCGTAAATATATAAACAGTTATTTTACTTAATTCTTTAAAATATATAATTAATACACCCATTTATCTCGAAAATCCATTGAATCCTATCCCTTGTTTGCATTTCGAATAAAAATAAAAATAAAAATAAATAAAGCTTTGGAAATGACCCTCATTTAATAGCACTTAGCGTAGCCTTCAATCGGTGTTTGATGTTCGAGATGGGAGGCAGACAGGTGGGTGGATGATGGGATGTTGGGATGATTGGATGGGTGGCTGAGGTGTGGGATGATTTCCAGGTATATAGCACTTACAACTAGCTAGTTTGAGTTGCCTGTTTGAGGTTGTTCGATGCGCTCTATTGGCTTCTGCTTCGGGCTAATTGCCAATTAGCAGGATTGATTTAAATCTCATTATCTGAGAGATACGTACCTCAAAGATGCATACCTTAACCGCATTACCTGAGTGGATCACTCTCTTAACTGGCAACTCCAGGTTGCAGGCCGCCAATTGAGTTGCGTGGTTTGGCGGCGAAACGAACCTGTTGCTTCCAGCTGGTTGCCGTTCGTTGCCATTCGTGTTTTGCTATTCGTTTTCCCCACCCACACACCCCCACAACCCACACACCCCCAGGGCAGGGATACACACACCAGCACAGCGCCAGCTGTTCGACGTAGTTCGATGTTCTCAGTAACTGTTCGGCTATAGACGGGCGTAGTTAAAACCGATTTCCCACCGGAGTTCGTCGGCGATGACTCAGTCGTGTCACTGTCCAATAATTGGCCACTAATCCGCCGGAGTGTAGCAAATATTTGCATAATTATCTGTGAAGTGCTAACCTAATTGCGAAAAGGGCTAGGCGCCTCAAATATCAAATATCGAAACAAGCGTGTAAAGTGGCGAAATTAAATAAAGTTAATAGTAATAATAATAGAAAAAGTTATACCCATACCCCCACTGTATAAACAAGCAGTGCCGTTCTGGAATTCAAAGTTATTGCCGCAACTTATCAGTCTCTGCCGTTTTGATAAGAAATTGTTACGCACTCCTTTTATTTTTTCTGCCAACTCAGGGCCGTATTAAATACTGAAAGGCCTGATTTTAATTCAAATCCTTTAAAGCAAAAGATATGCATAAAGGGAAACCCAGATTCATTCCACTTTCGAACTAAAAATCCCCCCGTCCATTAATATCTCAACAAAAGCTTGATAGCCTTTTGTGGATATTGGCAGCATTTTAAAAATATTTACAAACAGTTCTCCATAAAAGATTGTTTATATGTATGGATGTATATGGATGAACATATGTATATATTGTGGATATTTTCGTAGATATCGCTGAAAAGTGTTTACTGTGTACCTCTCTGCACTTGCCACTTTGTTTGGGAATGGCACAGTAGTACAGTTTGGTACATGTGTAGAGGTGTTGTAGACCCATGATGTAGATTTCAACAAGAACGGGAAATAAACATATTCCGTCGATAGCTGAACTGAATAACTTTGTTGTCCTATGGCTCACTCTGTAAATATTCGCTTAAAAAAACGAAGAGGGCGATAAGAATGAACTTGAACTCACAAATTTGGAAATAAAATTAAGTATTTCCTTTCCTGATATCATGATTCTTCTTAAACTTTAATCAGGCCTAACTAATTCAGTATAAATTATAAAAATAAAGAAAACTTTCGCCATTAACTTGGAGGCACATTTCCTCTGACATTCAATTGGAACTGATTTCGATTAGAATTCCTCCATTTGCATGGCAATTATCAGCACGTTGCTCGATTGTTTCAGCTGACACCTTTTGCCAACTTTTCCCGGCCAAGTCGTCGTCGTCTTGTTGGCCACAATGTGCAATGAATGAATGCCGGTTATCAGACAGAAGCAATCGAGAACCGTTTAATGAGAAAGCCAAAGAAACTTGTTGAACTAGAAGCCGCCGAAGAGACGGCAGACACCTGAGGTCTGGGCATAACATTTTCCTAATAAACGCCCGTTCGGAGTCGGAGTCGTGTGAATAAAAAAAATAGTGTGCTCTTTGTGGGTCAGCCTGTTCCAGCTAATTACCGTGAACTTGTCCAGCAAACACACACAAAACTGCTGTAAAATGACCAAAGTAAGGTAATAAACCGGCCGAGTTAACCAGAAATCCCAAAATCCGAAATCCAAGTGTGAATAATAATGTCCAGGCTGGTCAAGAGAATCCGTAGTATGATCAGTCCTCACAGTAATCGAGATCGGGATCCGGCTAGGGATCGGGATCGTGAAGACTCTGCTTCGGTGTCTACCTTTGAGGGCGGGGTGTCAGGCCGGAAGTTCCATTCACTGCCGCGACGGTACAGTCGTCACTCCACTGCCAGACGCTCCAATAGTGGCCTGTGGAATCGTCTGGTCACCAATGTCTTTCGAACAGAAAGTGACGATGATTTCTATGAAGAATCGAATACTAGTGGTGCTATATTCTATACGGATTCGGTTAATGGTTCCAACTATGAGTTGTCCGGAGAAGTGAGTAGGCTAAGGCCCTTGGCGGCATATTCAGATGTATCTCTATCTTTTAACTACCAACTACCATGTCTAATATCTATCATCTTTCCTTTCCACAGGGCGAATACATAAAGCATCCTGTTCTGTACGAACTGAGTCACAAATATGGTTTCACAGAGAATCTGCCCGAGAGCTGTATGTCCATACGGCTGGAGGAGATCAAGGAGGCCATACGCCGCGAGATTCGCAAGGAGCTGAAGATCAAGGAGGGCGCCGAGAAGCTGCGCGAGGTGGCCAAGGACCGGCGCTCCCTCAGCGATGTGGCCGTTCTTGTCAAGAAGAGCAAAAGCAAGCTGGCCGAGCTGAAGTCCGAGTTGCAGGAGCTGGAGAGCCAAATCCTACTGACATCGGCCAACACTGCGGTGAACAGCAATGGCCAAGGTGAGTCTACTATTTGGTAACAACATCCCCCCCGTCCCTTTCCCCAAAAAGCTGGCCAAACTTTCGAAAAGCCAATCTCAACGGTCTTGTCCATAAACTGTTGCAATTGTACGAGAGCCGCCAGAGTTGAGCATATTTTCATGCAACAAGTTTTATGTGGCCGGCAGTAACGAGGCAAGTGGCTCTATTCCCCGGCTAGAAACAAAGGGCGCGCCCAGGGGCGTTCCACTAACGAGGCAATGGAAGTTCAGGTAGCGCAATACCCATTCAGTCCAGCAAGTGTAAGGTCAGGAAGATAAGTTTTGCAAGTTAATTGATAAAGTTTTCTTAGATAACTGCCAGAACTGTGTACTTTTTTGGATGGATTTTAATAAATTTATGCTATCGGAGAGTTAATTTGGCTTTTGGTTTCGAACCGGAAGCGTTGCGTTGCCCTCATCCAAGTAGAGAGTAATTTGAAATGAACACGAATGACGAAAGTGCTTCATTTACGGGTCTTGGTCACGCACTTGCTGTCTTTGGTCTTTGGATGGCTTCAGGGTGACAGAAACACACTACTCCGATGGGTGATGGGTGTGAAAGATCTGATTATCGCCTTTATAAACTCGCTATGGTATCTTAAACACAAACACTATTGTGATGGGCGATGGCAACAAACCGAAATGTTGTCGCCACTTATTCTTCTTTATGTGAGACAGATATTGACACAAGTGGCATGAAATGTGCTAGGTTTGGTTTGTTTACACACTCTAGAGTCTAGAGTCGGAGAAACAGCATTCTGGCATTCCATTTATCAGCTTCCGTGTTTGGCCAAGCCACTGACCCAGTACCACCATCATCCTGCCGCTGACGGAGCATTGTGTGGCGCCACTGTCGACTTTCCATATGCCCCGCGATTGACATGCCTGGCAGCTGTCAAAGAATGTTGCACAAATGCCGTGCGGTGTATAGTTATTTTTGAAAAACATCAAAAAGGTGGAGGCAGTGCTTTGAACTAAACAGGATGTTCTGAAATCTAAAGTATCAGCCCTTTAGAAATGGAAACTCATCGCTGACTCACCACCTCATCTTATCGAGGGTTATAAACCCTACCATTTAGATTCCAATTAGTCGATAAGAAACAGTTTCGATGCTTTGATTTAACAGCCGATAGAGCCCTAGACACGTATTTACAGCCCTGACCCAAGGAATTAGATTAAATTACAAAAACCTGATTACCAAACTGATCTATTCCGTTCTTTCCAGAAGCTATTACTGCCAGCGTTGATCCCAATGGAGGCCTCTTGGTTGGCGGCGCAGTTGGTGGACTGGGCGGCGGAAACAACGCACTGGAGGGCGGTGGCCCGGCCACTGCCAACGACAAAGTTCTGGCCTCGCTGGAGAAGCAGCTGCAGATCGAGATGAAGGTCAAGACCGGGGCGGAGAACATGATCCAGTCGCTGGGAATCGGATGCGACAAGAAGCTCCTGGCCGAGGCCCACCAGATGCTGGCCGATTCGAAGGCCAAAATCGAGTTCCTGCGACTGCGCATCATCAAGGTGAAACAGAACCGCGAACAGGCCGATCGCATGAAGGCCACGCGCCAAATGCTGGACGAACATGGCCAGACGGTGGCCGGCAATAGCAGTAGCCAGCCGCAGAGTCTGGAGACGACGCTGGAGGAGCGAATTGAGGAGCTGCGGCATCGGTTACGGATCGAGGCAGCCGTCGTGGATGGAGCCAAGAATGTGATCCGAACGCTTCAGACGGCCAACCGGGCTCCAGACAAGAAGGCGCTACAGGAGGTAAGTCGGAAATGGCAATTATTATGGAGGGGCTCTTGAAAAATCATACCTAGTTAAGCTCTAAATATAACTCTTTCTATAAGTAACTTGATTAAAATTGTGTATCTGTGGGACATCCCCAGGATTATTCGTAATACGGCTAATACCGGAGATAATTAAAGCTGGCCGAGGGCCAAGGGAAGCATGGTGCCCTAGCTCATCCACCTGAAGTCAGGTGCGGCTGCTGCCATATGGCCACGCGGCGTATGATTCATATTTGATATACCCGTACGTATACGTGATGTTTGCTCGCATTATGCCCGAAGAGCGAAGGAGGAAAAAGCTAATTATGCGGCTGCTTGAAATATTTTTCAGCGCAACCCGTTCGCCGTTTGCCACTCGTCCGTTTTCATTTTCATTTCAAGTCTTTTTGCCACTAACTGTCGTCTCATTAATTAAATGGACGTGGAACGTCGCAATTACTTGGCGGAAAAAGCCAAAAAAAAATCTGAGAATGAAACGAAAAATGATTTGGCAAGTGTTCTCAGGGCCTGCCCTAATAATTTTAGCAGAACATTGTGGGTTAATAGTTTCGCTTTACAACGAAAATAAACGCATATAGATTTATTTTCTTAAAACTTGGCTATTCTATGTTCTTAGGAATGTTTCCAAATTTCACAATAAAAGAAGATGTCTTGGTTTGCTTTAGTGGATGGCCAACATGACACTAGTTGAGATGCTCCAGGCCCAAGGTTTCCACTTCCGGAGGGCCAGCAATATATGCTGTCCGGGCTGTGGCCTAAATAATCTATCTGCAGGCCTCATTCTCATATTTATTTGTTCTGTGCGGCTTTTGCGGCCAGTTGTCGGCTGCTGGCTGCATCTGTCTGTTGCATTTTCTGCTGACAGCAGAATGGGGAAGTTATCGGTTACAATGCAGCACCAGCACACCAGCCACAAGACAGACGAAAGTTTAACGAGATGCCTCCAGTTTCCATTCATTGGATTCAATTAATTCTTCTTTCAATACCACGCCGATGAAGTTTTTATGCGATCCATCTAAAACTGTAAACACAAAATAAACTTTGGCATCTTCTTTTTTTTTTTATTTTCGGGCCATTTGTTGGTGTTTTGCTAAACATTTTTAGAACTATGCTGCGTGAGGGTATATAGCCTCGTATAGTTTATGTTTGTGCATCTGCCTGATCGGGTCTTTGGTCTTTGGCAAAAAAATACAACTTTAAACAGGAAAGAAAAGGTAGTATTTGGGGAAGACGAAGTTTCTATACTCTTGCTGTTTAAGGGAGATATTTATTCTAAATATCAGACGTGAAGGGCCTCTTCTTTGGGAAATTTAGTCTCAGAATCAAAAAGTATCTTTAGTAATTCTAGTCTCTTAAGAATTACGAAAAAATATCCATGCTTATATCTTTAATAAAAACCCAAAGTTATAACTTATCCGATCTTTCATCTATATGGCGATTTAAGTATGTGGTTTAGTATATAGGAAGCCTTTAAAAAAAGGATATGGGCATAGTTTGGAGTTGGTAGCTTTCAAAATAAGAAAACTACTTTACGTAGAAACCTATACCCTCAAAAGATCAACCTGATCGTCCCTTATAATGTCGAAGACCTCTCGTTTACTGCCAATCCCGAATTTTTAACCCATAACTACAATACCCTCTGCAAGAGTATCCAAATCGGAACGAGAAACCTATAAAAGTCATCATAAGAAACGGAGCGCAAAGTTCTCTGGCCAGCATATGGGAAATTTTGTTAGTGGGTCTATTGTATTATATATATATAATATATACGTATGTCCATATGTATCTGGGAGCGAGCGTCTGAGAGAAGCGATCCTCTAGCGAATTTTCACAAGCAGCTTTTCCGCTTTTCCGCGGTGTTCAGTGCGCGTTGAGTTGCCGTTGGCGACGCCATCTCCGTTGCTTTCCTCCGATACTTTAGTTTCTTATTTTTTTAATAATTATTTTTATTAGCCGTGTTTTGCGTCGCGTTTGTGTTAGACTCTCTGAATGCGTAATAAAAAAAAATACCAATAATAACTATTATAACGAGAATAATTAAATAATCAAAGTTAATCCGGAAAAGGCACGCAGACATGCTGCCACCCATTTCCCCACCGATTTCGAACGTTTAGCTTGAATATTACGCATACGTAGCGTGTGCTGCAGGCTTCTCTGGTGTTATCTACCTGAAAATTGCGTAACTTTGCGTTTAGAAGATTATCACCTTCAGCGGTGCTCCGTGTGGTGGTGCTCCGTGAGGTGGCACGTTCGTTGTCCGATTTTCCGTTTCTCACAAGATTTGGCTTTTGGGGTCATCTTGCAATTTCAGCGTAACGAAACACACAAAAATATTGTTAAAAATAAATTCACATAAATTTAGAAGCACGAATTTTACAAAAGCCAAGTGAAAAACAAAAAAAATAAAATAAAAACCGAAAGTGTTTTCGTTTCAAAATATGTGTGTGCGTTGGCTGAATGAAGCTAAAAATACGGGACAAACAAAAAACCCAATTAATACAGTTGGAATGGCCTATGATGGATGTTACTGATCTTGACTAGACTCTGGACTCTATTTCTGGTTAAAATATATTCCTATAAACACCCCAAGGAATGTCCAGAGGTTGTTTAAATTAAAAGCTAGCCACAAATGTTTCCACCAGAATTGTAAACATTCTGCCGTGAAATAATGATACCTTTGTTGATATTAGCTTTCCATTTACCTTGCAATTTTAATTATTTATCTAAAGATATATTCTAGGAAGACCTAGAATATATAGAGCTATTAGTACCTTCCTCGATAGGCACCTTCAACTGTAATCGATTACTATAATACCCCTAATGATAAAAGTTTGAATTCAGTTCGAGCCATTCGCATGACCAGAGAAGATCATAGAACTATCAAAACGGACTCTTGATATTTTTAGCAAAAGTCATAAGAATATAAAAGTTCGTGAGTGTGTGCGTCTTATATATATAGACCTATGTGTAGTGCGTGAGTGTGTATATATATATAGTGGATGGCACCTTGAGCCACAACCGCCATAGCCATTGCCACAATGTGTTCATGCTGCGATCGTAAAACTGCGTAGGGAGTCATGTCCACGCCCACGCCCACGCCCACTGCCTCGGGGGCAGCTGCTCCTTCCGGTGGTCAGCAGGCTCCGCCACTGCCCCACGAACTGACCGCCGAGTGGACGGTGCGAGCCCATTTGACTTTTGCCCGGGCTGGGGAAACCGTACAGAAGGAGTTCTGTGCTCCGGAGGCAGTGCATCCAGTGCGTGTGGTCTACAAGTGGAGTACTCCCTTCCAGGATCCCGAGCAGGAGCAGGATGCCGACAAGGTAACCCATTCCCTAAGCAACTGGATGAAGTGTGTTATCGAATAGTACCTTTCCAGACCAGAAACAGCTTCCGTTCCACCAACTCTTCGGCCACCACAACCAATGCCGACTCTGCCTTTGGCAGTCCCCAAGCATCCAGGGTGGTGAACCAACCGGTTAAGGATAAGGCCGCTGCTGCCCCTCCAGGGGCCACGGCCCAGGTGTGTGGGACTCGCTGCCGGAGCACTTGCAACATTATGGTGTCCGCTGTGGCGGACTTTCTGCCTCAGGAGGAGGGAGCTCTGGTGGCCAACGAACCCTTTGTGTATCACAGCAAGGTGAGGGCCCAGCAGCTGAGGGATGCCTTTTCCCAGACCAGCGACACGGAGGAGCAGCCGGCTAGGAGGCGGCCGGCGTACGAGCAGCGTCGGGCCACCACAGAGGCGCTGATGAACTTTGCCAGCAAGCGGCAGGCGGAGGAGGCTAACACCTATGTGGTATGCAATGGAATCCCCTGCTGGTCACTGCATTTTCTAACTCTGTTTTGAACCCACCTCGTTTAGCCAACCTACTCACCCACGCCCACAACGCCCTCGTCCACTTTCAAGTCGGCTTCGATGTCCAGGATACCGCCTCTCGCTGGCAGTGTGAATCAACCGTCGGTCTCACGGCCATCGAATCTTGGGGAGAAGAAACCCCGCACAGTGCACATCGATGTCTACTGCACGGGCTCCGAGGGGGATGAGGAGGAAGCCGATGACGAGCATCACGCCGACGAGGAGGCCTCCAGTTCATCCGACTCTGAGCTGGCTGGCAGCAAGCGCTACGATCTAGAATCAACTTCCACGCCGCAGACCGTGCTGGACAACGAGCAGATGCTGTTGCGTCACAAGAGGATATCCGGCGGAGCCATGCCAAGGCGCCTAGCCCAGCAGCAGGGCCAAGGCACAGGATCAAGCACTCAGGCGAGGGACCAACTGAATCTGGGACATGCCATTACAAAGTGCAGTACCGCCGAGGAGGTCAGCGAGTCCAAGCAGCTGCTCTTCCGCAAGCACATCGGGGACCAGCGGGCGGCCAAGTTGGCCAATCTGCGCCAGAAGTACATGCGCCAGCCCAGCGACGAGACCAGCAGTAGCACCTATCCGAACTCCTCCCGCTCCACGATGCCGCGGGACGCCACCTGCAGCAGCATATCCAGCGTGATGGGTGGGGTGGACTGCGTCGACTCCTCCTGGAAGGAGACCGACGAGGTAGACACCACGAATATCAGCTTCGGCCTGACCAAGTCCGATAGCTTCGATTACGAGAACTCGCTGGACAGGCTGCGCATCAGCCAGATGGAGAGGCTGTGGTCCCGCCAGCACTCCCTAGACCAAAACCAGCACCTGACTGCGACCAACAACCTGCATCCGCACTTGCAGACCATCACCGAGGCGCAGTCCTCGCAGCGCAGCTCGTTCCAGCGCAGCGACACCATCCCCTCGGAGTCGGACGGCTTCTCGGATGCCAACGGCTTCAATACCTACCCTGGCAGGCACTCGCAGTCCCATCTCCAGCAGATATCGCATTTCCCGCGCAATCGCCCGGGCTTTCTGCAGTTCTTTGGACCCACTGGCGGGCAAGGACCCACGGCAACTCCTCCGGCCACGGCGCCGGTCCAGCCAGCAGCCACTGCCACAACGGATCCGTTCAGGCTGCTCCATCCGAGCTATCGCTGGAAGAGCGAGGCCCGCGACAATCTGAGCGTGCAGGTGGCTTCCGGATCGCCCTCCTCGGAGCGCAGTTCGCCGCAGTTGCTGTCTGCGGCCACCACAGTGGTGCGATGCGGCAGTGAAGCCCCGCCCAGCACCACGTCCGCCAGTACTTTCGGGGCCACTGTGGCGCCATCACCACTACCAGTGCGTCACTTCGATATATCCCGGGACAGTCCCAGTTTGGCCAGCGAGGCGTCCACCATCGTGTCCGGTTACACCCACGAGCACCTGGAGAAGGCGCGTCGCTTCGGCAATGTGGTGGCAATGCGGAAGCCCGGCCACCACGTCGGTCCCACCAAGAATCCCAACTGCCAGTGCGAGAGCTGCCAGCGTTGGCTGGCAGAGCGCTTCCAGCTCCGCGGCAGAGCCTTCTCCCTGGGCGAGCGACCCCTGCTGCGGCGGCCGCAACCCTAGGACCTGCGTTTCATATTTATTTTCCAGTTTAAGGCTTGCATTTAACACGTTGCTTTTCTGATTGCCATCTGCCCCATTAACCCGAACCCCAGACCTAATCCCGAACCACAAGAAACCCAAATCTGTCGAATAGTTGTAAGCCAGACGCGAATGTTCCTCAAACGCTGAATCAGTTATGTTGTAATCATATGTTGTAATAAAGTCAAGAGCAATAGATTGTAATTAAGAGAGTTCGTATTACGGGGGGTTAGGGGTGGTGGAATTAATTATAGTAACTAACTAATATTAGTTTGTATTAAAAATACTAAAAATGTAATCTTTTCATTCAGGCCCATGGACGCTTGTCGGAGTCTTCGCGAAAACTGGATCTCTTGCGCTACTCGCTGGACCTTCGCCGCCAGGAGCTGCCCGCCGACTCTCCCGCCGCCCAATTGCTGAAAACGGAGCTGCAGATCGTCCAGCAATCCACGTCCCCGGTCCCCGTCACCTACACCTCCCTGCAATCGAGTCACGGCGGTCTGCTGGGCGGCAAGCCCTACCAGTCGGTCTCGTCGCTGGGCAGGTGCGCCAGTGTCACCGGCAAGCTGGAGGTGCGTCTCATGGGCTGCCAGGATCTGCTGGAAGATGTGCCCGGACGATCGAGGAGGGACAAGGACAACAACTCCAGTCCGGGGGATCTGCGAAGCTTCGTCAAGGGCGTGACATCGCGCAGCAGTTCGAAGAGCTATTCGGTGAAGGACGAGACCTCCATCGAGATCATGGCGGTCATTAAGCTGGACAACATCACCGTGGGCCAAACATCCTGGAAGCCGTGCTCGCAGCAGGCCTGGGACCAGCGCTTCTCCATCGACCTAGACCGCTCCCGGGAACTGGAGATTGGAGTCTACTGGCGCGACTGGCGCTCCCTGTGTGCCGTGAAGGTTCTGCGCCTGGAGGAGTTCATCGACGATGTCCGTCATGGCATGGCGTTGCAACTGGAGCCGCAGGGTCTACTCTTCGCCGAGGTAAAATTCCTGAACCCGATGATATCGCAGAAGCCGAAGCTGCGGCGCCAGCGCATGATCTTCAATAGGCAGCAGGCGAAGAACATCTCCCGGGCCAAGCAGATGAACATCAATGTGGCCACCTGGGGCCGTCTGCTGAAGCGCAACGCCCCCAACCATGTACACATGAGTTCTGGGGGAACAGGAGCTCCCCCAGCCGGTGCCTCCCCCATGGCGGCCAGCTTCACCCGGGACTCGGACTCGCCGATCTCAAGGACACCGTCGTCGGATGCACTGGTCGAACCGGAGCCATATACGCCCGGCGAGCAGGCCCAGAATCTGGAATTCGATCCGGATGCTGGCATCAACGAGCACGTGGAAACTCCTGGCGAATACCCGGATCCCTCGGCCAGCGGCCTGAGTGGCATGCGTCCCCTGTCCATGCACATGCAGGGCATCAGCGTCCTCCCACCGGATTCACCGCCAGTTACCGCGGCGGGCGCTGCCGGCAGACCCGGAACGCTCAACCTACAGATGCCGGGTGCCACTAAAGGAGCGGCTATCCAGGGCGGACGCACTGCAGCCCCCACAACGGCCCCACCGCCACCACCCGTGGCGGTGAAGCCCTCCACCACGACGCCAGTGCTGGACCAGGAGGTAAGTGTCGTAGCTAGTCCCCACCTAACCAAGAGACCTGTGTACAGTTCAGTATTGCGTATTGGATCCTGTATAAAGATCTGCGTATGTATTTAGCTGTTTACCCGTAGCTGGTTTGATCGTTGTGCCTGCCACTGCTCCTCCGCCCACTCTCTCATGTATCTATACTCGCCCCACCCACCAACCCACACGCACCACACACACACACAAATACACATATACACGAAAGCTGTACAGTCATCACATTTTGGACATTTGGTGTTGGTTTTGTATTGTTTTGTAAACATGAATCCATTTTTTATGATTTTTTTAATCTGAAACGCCAGCCAAACTCCATACAGAACCATCTTTAGCGGAACAAGTGCTCAGTTGTTAGAAAAAAAGGCTTAAAAAGGTACATTTTTGTAAAGAAACTTTAAAGATTAAAGATGAAAGTCCTCAATCCTACAAGAGAGGAGTGTAAACCCTTTAAAGATATCCAAACTTTTACTTAAAAATATCTATAAATTAAGAAATACTTCTATATCCTTATTGAAAAATAAAATTAGAAAATGTGACCTTATTCCTAAAGAGAAGGATCTAGCCTCTATATCCTTATACTATATCCCAACTCATCTCATCATCGCTATCTCATCCGCTTCCATTTATTTCATTTCTCTTCCGAGAGTCCCTATTATCCTTTAGCCTTCTTACTTTCTCATCATGTTTCTTTCTGTCTCTTTCGAACGCATCTTGCTTTGTGTGGCCTTCTGTCCCTTACTCTCTATCTCTCTCTCTCACACTATGTCCTTGTGTGTTTGTGTGCCCGTCTCGGTATCCGTTTCCGTTTCCGTTTTCGTTGCGTATCGTCATGATTTCGTTATCCGCCGACAGCTGCAGGATGCCCTGCACGAATTTGATTTCCTCACCGACTTGGATTCGCGTCCCGCCACATTGCGTCGCCTGCTGAAGGATCAGCAGCCCATGACGCTGGATCCAGAGGCGCTGGAGAGCCTACTGTTGCAGCAACAGCTATCGGAGCAACAGGCCCTGCAGGAGCGCCAGCGGCAGGAGCAGCTGCGCCTGCAGCAGTTCCAGGAGGCCCAGCGCCAGGCGATCCTGCAGATGTGCGAGAAACATAGAGAGCCGGAGGAGCTAGATCAGGATCACCAGTTGCCGCCATACACCCTCACCGCTCCGCCACCAAAGCCGCCCCTTTCGCTACGCATGCCAAGCTCAAGCCAAAGCCAAAGCCATAGCCATAGCCAATGCCCAACCCACAACCCACAATTTCAGTTGCAGCAGCCCCAGCCACCGAGCAAGCTACATCCCGCCCAGAAATCCACGGAATCCGAACCGCCATCGGCTGTGGAACAGCAGCTGCACCGACCGGTTCTCACCCTGCCACCCGTGGTCCTACTGGGCGGCAGAACGGAGGAGGAACGATCGGTGCCGCCGTCACCGCTGGTGGAATATCCCGAGGACGATGACGAGTATCTGTACAGGGATAGCCAGAGCAGCCGGCTGCATTCCAGTCACAGCTCCAGCGCCGGCGATCGTTTCTGTGTGGAGGTTAGGAGGTTTTTTCATTTCCTGGTTTGGTTTCCGGTTTAATTGCAATCTCTGTTCTTTGGCTGCAGTGTTGATCCTGCAGCCTGGTTACAAATATTATTTTCTTATGATTTGTTTTCTCACTAACCCCAAGATCTTTGCTTTTAATTTTTCGTTGAATATTATTTGTTTTTGTTCTGACAATGAGTTGGGTTAAATGTTTCTGTTTTAAATGTCTGTGTGTTGTTCCTGGTTTGGCTTTTCCACACAAATATAACCTCGGAAGCCCCCAAAGTTTAATTATAAAACATTTAAATCATTAAAATCACACACATAAACCCCTAACTGACTTGAATTTTGCAAAATTCTAACCAAAAAGAGACTAATACTTAAAAAAAATAATTAAAAATTAAATAAATAATATATAATATGTAAAAAGTAATTAGAAACAAATTTGAAATATATATTAGCTTGCACAGCTTAGTTAGATGTTGTTATTAAATGTTTTTAGAAATTGATTTTTAAAATCCGGCACTTTAAGAGCTAACTTGCACAGCGTATTATAAAGTATTTAAAATTTAAAATGCTTGAAGTAGTTTTTTTAATCCCTATATCCCAAAGGCCCTACAACTTGAGAGCTTTGTACAAAAATAATTAATAATTTATTTTGGCATTAAATGAAATATATATATTATATTAATAATAGAATCGGTGGGGAAAAGAAAACCAAAATTTGACAATTTTTGAAAAATCTTAAAATAGATTAGTAGGAGGTACAAGGGGGCCAACGAAAGTGCGCCACTTCACGTGCCAATGGTCGGAAAATGTTTTAATTTTTTGTCATCCACACCCACCTAGAGTCCCAACACACACTACATCTCTACAAGTACGTTGCAACGTCAGCGTTCCACATTTCCATCTAAGATTGTATTTGTTTTCATTTTTTTGGTTAATGTGAGTGTCCAAGCCCATATGTACCCATCGTTATGTGTCCCCGCGTTGTCACATTTTCTCTCTGGCTGTCGGTTGCTGGTCGGTTGGTAATTTTTAGACCCAAAACAACGACGCAGAAGCGGCTGAAATGCTAAGTGACCACCACCGGCCATTTGGTTGGCCTCTGGTCTTGACTTTGGCACTTGTTCGCCTTCAGTTGGCCAATACGGTTTTGGCCATATCGCCGCGTAACGTTATCGATCGACATGTAGGGCCGCACGTCATGATTGTGCCAACTTTCCATGCGGTCGCGCAAGTTTTGAGGCAAATGTTTTCCCTGCAACAGCAGCACTACCAGCATAACCCCAGCCAGCTTCATTACCTCGACCTGTCCCCCTCGAGAATCATCGACAACAAGCTATTTCTGTGTCCCAGCGCCGTCGTCGCATCTCCCGCTGTATGTGTGTTCCGTCCCAGAGATCAAGTCAATCAACCCTATCAAGAAAACGCATCCTCTTGCAGGCCCGCATTAGTCTTGTACATATCACCCTTGAACCGATCAATGCCAGCCGGACGACCAGTTGCCTGATAGAAGAGGTGGCCGAGCCGGATCTGCAGCCGGAGGTCAAGGCCGTGGCGGAGTCGCAGTCGCCACATAAAGTATCCGAGGCTTATGTTGAGAGCATTCTGCTCGAAACGGTTGAGAAGTTAGAATCAGAAGTCCCAGTCCAAGTCCAAGTGAATCAGGTAACACAGGGGGTACCACTTGCCACGCCACAGGAAGTACAATGCCAAGCTCTCAAGTTGTAGCTACTTAGTTGTCCTACCAAGGAGGTCCTACGCAAAAGTACTGAAAATAACAATAAAATATATTCGTTTTCCACCAACCCTTTAGGTAATACCGCAGCTGGGCAAGCTCTATGTAGGCGGCGGCCAGCAACAGCAGCAGCAGTATGTGCAGTCCTCGCCCATCATCCAGGAGCCACCCACTCCGACCATTTATGGGAATAATGCCACTTCAGGTGTGCCCCAATTCCCACAGCCCTCACAGAGGCAGGAGAAGCAACCACAGCAGCAGCAACCCATCTATGCCAATCAGTACGAGTTGAATGTGGCCAAGGCGGCGGCAGCCGCTTCCGTTTACACCCCCGGCTCCAATGCCAACAGTCAGCAACAGCAACAGCAGCAACAACAGCAGCGCCGTAGTGTTGCCCGTGGCCTGCAGTATCGCGAATCCGGCGGAATCGAGGCCGGACGCGCCGGTAAGGCTCCCAATGCCGGCATGCTGTCGATGGACAACTTCCGCCTGCTGAGTGTTTTGGGTCGTGGCCACTTCGGCAAGGTTATACTGTCACAGTTGCGTACTAACAACCAGTACTATGCCATCAAGGCGCTCAAGAAGGGCGACATTATTGCCCGGGACGAGGTCGAGTCCCTGCTCAGTGAGAAGCGCATTTTCGAGGTGGCCAATGCCATGCGTCATCCCTTCTTAGTCAACTTGTATTCGTGCTTCCAAACTGACGTGAGTCCTGGACATCCAAAACCATTCATTCCAGTTTATTAATACGTATCTTCTTTTTAGCAACACGTTTGTTTTGTGATGGAGTACGCCGCCGGTGGCGATCTAATGATGCACATCCATACGGATGTGTTCCTGGAGCCGCGTGCCGTCTTCTATGCCGCCTGTGTGGTCTTGGGTTTGCAGTATCTGCACGAGAACAAGATCATCTATCGGGACCTGAAGCTGGACAACTTGCTGCTGGACACGGAGGGCTATGTCAAGATCGCCGACTTTGGCCTGTGCAAAGAGGGCATGGGCTTCGGGGATCGCACTGGCACTTTCTGTGGCACGCCAGAGTTCCTGGCTCCAGAAGTGCTCACAGAGACCTCGTACACTCGGGCCGTGGATTGGTGGGGTCTGGGTGTTTTAATTTTTGAGATGTTGGTTGGGGAGGTGAGTTCATAACGAAACCTATGATTTCTAGCTATGATTACTGATGTGTTTCTTGATTACTTGTAGTCCCCGTTCCCCGGCGACGATGAAGAAGAGGTATTCGATTCAATTGTCAACGATGAGGTGCGCTATCCGCGTTTCCTTTCACTGGAGGCCATAGCCGTGATGCGTAGGGTAAGAAAAAGAGTCTATGAAATCAAGTTAAAACCAAGATACTAACCCAAAATTCTTCCAGCTGCTGCGCAAGAACCCCGAACGACGACTGGGATCTTCGGAACGCGATGCGGAGGATGTGAAAAAGCAGGCCTTCTTCCGATCTATTGTCTGGGATGATTTGCTGCTCCGCAAAGTCAAACCACCGTTTGTGCCCACAATTGTAAGCTTTTAACCCTCATGGGTACTAGCTATCAGATTAATAATATAATAATTCCATTCATAGAACCATTTGGAGGATGTCTCAAACTTTGACGAGGAGTTCACGTCGGAGAAGGCCCAACTAACGCCACCGAAGGAGCCGCGCCACCTCTCCGAGGACGAGCAGGTGCTCTTCCAGGACTTTTCATACACGGCCGAATGGTGTTAGGCACCTGTTGTTGTTGGCTCGGAGCGGGCCTAGCCCGCCCGATAGAAACTATTGCCTTTTGCTTTTAAATGTGTACGAAGTTGGTTTCGAGTAGTTGTATTTGGTTATATCGATGTGAGTTTAATATTTATACGAGAGATCATGCAGATACAGGACATATATATTTATGAATTATATCTATATAAAAAATATATCTATTTATGAGAGTACTTTTGAGTGTTGCTCACGTGAACCAAATTACCTAGATGCCCACTTGGTGGCAGAGCGAACGCATTTGTCTAATCACCAACCCAAGATATAACCCATTGAAACACCATTGTCCACATCATTGTCGCATCATTGTACAGCAGAGTCGTTTCTTTAGTTTTGTTTTCTCGAAAGGGAAACACATTGAATAGTCTGAACACCCTTAGGAAAGCCTTATACGCAGAGTTGTAGTTTTTTGGAAAGTTTTAGGGCCGGATCTAAATAGATAGTATATGTATACACCGCCCGCAACATATTTTCATAATCAGCATACAAGAACAAATTCGAGGATATATTTTATATACATACATTGCATGCACATCCCAGGAAACGAGCTCATCGTCTATACACATATATATATTTAAATCGAGTGAAGAAGAGAAAGGATATAAAAGGGATCATATTTAAATATTTACAGTTTTAACATGTAAGCTCTGTAAATTGCCTTGCGCTTTTTATCAACTCCCTAGCCCATTGCCCGAGTTGTGTTATAATTTTACATATTTTTTAAATCATATACAAACAAAAAAAAACAAGAAACACACACGAAAACATTTGTTATTTATTATTATTATATTATTACACCTACCTATTATACAAGAAACTGTATTGCTTTGAGCATTTTTATTCGATGATCGATTAAAAGATTGTAAATGATTTGCTTGCATGGGCGCGGTATGCTTTAAACCCGATCGAGGATGAATAAATTGAAAGACCCCTCAAGAGGATTATTTTGGTGGCATGCAACCGAATCGTTGTACCCTTAAGATCTACGCTATATATTTAATGTAATTTTTTAGTTTTATTTAAGTTTGTAATAATCGATTATTGAAACGTAGTCCTAAGCTATCATTATGTGAAGATAATTATTGATAATTACGAGTATGATAACGATTGTGCACCCCTCAAGCAAATCGAAAGGATTATATAAACAGAGCAGAGATCTTCTATTGTCATTTTTATTATGATTTTATGATAATGCCGATTTGATTTTAAAGCTGTCGTCGACTTCGACCATTAGTCAGTCACTTTTTTAGCTTCAAGTTGTGACTGTAATTTTTATTTATGATATGATTTTGAATAAATGTATCTATCGCTATTAATAAAATGGACTTTTATTTATTTTGGCTTTTCACAAAATCCTTGATTCAGCTCATAGTATAATATATTTGCGGTATTGTCAATTATGGCTAGGAATATATTGCTAAAATAAACAACGGGAATTAATAAAAATATTAAAAAGTGTATAATTACAAAACTTACGCATTGCTGCCACATTTTTCTTTAAATTGTTGCAACTGTCTAAAATTTATTAGTTTTGTGTGTAATACAGGTATGTAAACCCGGTTTTCTTGTTTCAAACAAAAGAGTTTGAGGCTTTTATCATAGCTTGGCTCTAGGTCCACGTTTTGGGGATCTGAAATAGGTACATTTGAGAAGAAATAAAACTAAGAAGTCTTTATATTCACCATTTTTTAAATCGGTGTAAATTTGATAACCAATAGTTGCACTCAAACTGTCGGGACAAACAGTTTGAAAGTCACTCAGTTTTAGCTGAAAGTTAAACACATGCTTTACCGTTTGGGAGTTACCGGTGCTGCTAATATGCTTACCATTGTGTTTATTTTTGACCACCAAATAGGTAGGGCTTTAGTTTAGTACAGAAAATGTTTATTACTAAACATTATCATTCATAAAAGTGGTCAGAAAACTAATATTTTTATTCTCTGTGCCAAAAATATTGTAGGAGTTTCTTATTTGCAAATTATGTACCGCTTTCGTTGTTCTTTCTATTCCAAATTAATAAAGGGGTTTTGTTCATTCAGATCTGAATGTTTTTTATGAACAGAAACTTTAAATTTTTTATTGTTTTTGTGAAATAAACAAATTTAAGCTTCGCACAGCTGTTGAATATGAAGAATATGAATGAGGTTTTAGAATCACTTTGTGCGAACTTCAGTGCTGGGAAATACGCGTTTTTAGTGCTCAAAAATACCAGTGACCTGCAAGATGGCGCGCTTATAAATATTTGAATTTTAATGTTAGTAATAAATTTACTGGCCTTATAGTTACTTTTCTTTGAATTTACCACAAAATATACATAAAGGTGTATACCATACATACTAACTTAAAAAAAATAAAAGGTTTTAACTCCCATTTAGTCCGAAACTACATTATTCCCTTTTTCGTTTATTATTATTTGTCTCTTTAATCTTTTTCTTTTTAAATGCAAATATATGCTAAAAACTTTTGATACTACACACCAATTGATTGTCAGCTAAACGTCCCATCAAAACATAATCTTTGTATGCAGACATAGTCTTTGTCTAGACAAACTGAAAGCGCAACTTGGGTCCTTGACAGCCGAGCGGCAGACATTTCCCAGTCCAAGACTTCTTAGAACACAACTTCGCAACTCCAGGACCCCTCCACCAAAAAAACAAGAGGACAAGAAAGAGGCGGCAAATTATGCTAAGTAGATGCAGTTGGCCGAGGAACGGAAATATGTCCGGGATATGCATGCAAAGCGATGGTTTCCAAGGCATTTCCCGAGATCTCCAATGGAGCCAGGGAGTCCCTTCAGGGAGTTTTCTTCTGGCTGTGTATCCTTCTGATAAGGGTTTGGCAGCAGCATCCCAAGGATTCCCATACGTGTCTGTGAGTGTGTATGCATATCAATGTGCGTCGACGATAAGCAACTTTTGCTTACTGAAATGCGGAAAGGCACAATACACAGTCCAGAGTCCAGTGCCAGTTACAGTAAAGCTTCGTTAATAGATACATTCACTTTCAAGCTGCTTTAATAGCAGGTTAATAATAAATTAAATATGGAAAATAGCTTAAAAATACCACTATGAGCTACTGCGAAGGCCATATCTTTGTCCATAATCCTCCGATTCTTAAGAGGAATACATACATCAAACGAATCGTAGATCAATTCTCTTTCAGTCTGCATTAAAACTTGGAAACAAATTATTTTTCAGATTTTTCATCAAATTTCCTGATGGACCCCATTAAAAATTTACTATGCTTCTGCGAAGGTCATATCTTTGTCAATAATCCTTCGATTCTCAAGAGAAAAACATCAAACGAATTGTAGATCTTTCAATCAGGATTAAAACTTGGAAACAAATTATTTTTCAGATTTTTCGTCAAATTTCCTGATGGACCCCCTTAAAATTTTTTAAATGGCTTCGGGCGGCCACTATGAGCTACTGCGTAGGCCATATCTGTGTCAATAATCCTTCGGTTCTCAAGAGGAATACATCAAACGAATAGTAGATCATTTATCTTTTAATATGCATTAAAACCTGGAAACTAATTATTTTTCAGATTTTTTGCCGAACTTCCTGGGCCCCCTTAAAAATTTGAAAATGGCTTGGATCTGCCACTAATCCAATAATCCTCAGATTCTATAGAGGAATACCTCAAACGAACCGTAGATCAATTCTCTTTCAATCTGCATTTTAATCATCAACAATTTTTTTATATTTTTGTTTTCTAGAAAATTGGGAAATGTGACATGAATTCTTGAAGAAAAGCGCAGCAATTTCACTTCAAGTGTTGCACCTGTAGTTAATAGCGGAGCCTGTGCTACCATGAGCTTGCCAAGGATATTCAATTAGGCTGGTCGGTAGTGGTGGCGTGTGTACCTGAGAATCAATGCGTGGAAGCCGAGTGGCAAGACCCCTGCCGGGCCAGAGGAAACTGGCAACATAAACCAGATGTTGCGGTCGATGGCCATTATGGAGCTTGTCAATGCCAGAGAGCCATAAGGAAGTGGAGTCAGTGGATAGCCCGGCCAGTCAGGAGGTTGGGGGCAGGCAAGTCATCCAAGGCAATTACACTAGGACGACAAGGACACCGACAGCAGTTATCCGCAAACACCCCCTGCCCAGCTTGGCCCTCCGCATGTGCGTGTGTGTGGTTACTTAATGCTATTTACTGGGTTTGTCCAGGGTTTTGTCCACTGACCACTGGAACTTGTTTGAGCCAACTTGGCCACAATATTATTTGCACTTGCGTGCCTCTAGTCCGCTCTGCTCTGTTTCTCCCGCCGGTTTTATTCCTTCCATAACCATTTCTTCAGGCCAAATGTCCACAATTGCCCATTGGGGCATTTACGACCAAGTACTATGCGTTCTTAGCCCTGTTTTCCCATCCTCATACCCATTTACATTCAATTGCTTTATCTGCTTGGCTTGTTTGTGGAATTTAATTAAAAATACTTTCACCTTGTATCGCCCATCGTCCAAAGGCGGGACTCATTTATGGGCTTTACGGTTAACACATACTTCCAAATTGTTATTTATGTGTCCTTACTTTGTAAGGACATCGGAAAAAGTGGAATATTTCAAGGATTTAAAAAAGAAACTGATCAACTGGAAAAAAATGGATGCAAATACTCTATGATATGAATATATATTATTAATTATAATAATATTATATATTATTTAACACGAAAATGTTTTGTGTGTAAAATAGTATCTCATTTCTTTTATTTAAAATACTTTCTGTTTTACCTTTTTTGTGGAATTGGCTCGAATTGGCTTCTGTTCGCCGGCGGTTATCTCGTGTTTACCGGAAAAGTCACGGGAATTCATGGCCAAGAGGAGTGTGTGTGGCAGGTTGTGTGGCAGGTTGAGCAGTCATCAGCATGCACATTGTTGTGGCTCGCTGATGCCACTTAACATATTTGCCGCACGTTCACCTCCTCTGTGCCACCTGCTCCACCACCTGATGCACTGACCACTGATGTGAGCAGAGGAGTATGTCCAGTCGGGTGGCTGAACGGTCGAGTTTTAATTGACCAAACACTCCCTTCCCTCCCCATGTGAGGCACCTGAGGGATCAATTGAGATTTATTGCCTGGTTGTGTCAGATGTGTTTTGCTTTTTACTCTTGCAGCTCGGATTTGGTTTCGAATGGAGTCCCTGATGCCACTGCGAGTGGCAAGCAATTAGACAGTTGTTTAACTTACAGCGGGAATTGCCATTTGAGGACTTTTAGAATTTTCACACTGACCACCTAGCTCGTTAGGCATTTGGGGAGCAAACAAACCACCGACAGCTGGGGCAAACTTTCCCAAAACCAGCATAAAATACTTAACTAATGTCATTTGCAATTCAATGGGAATGTGGCCTAATTACAACCAGAAGTGGTAAGGACTCCTCTCGTCTCTCTTCCCCTAAAAATGGTGTCTTAAAGTTCAGATTTAAGGGTGATGACTTGAGAACTTGTAGTGAAATTTTGGAACTGCGATTTCGTCAGATTATGCTCGTGGTTGCCCTCTTTAATGGCAATTTGAGCTTCTTAATGGCTTAATGGTCATCATTGCGGGCAGAGAGTCAAAACGATTTTGCCGCATCATTGGCAATGCAATTAACTCGAGCATTTGTTGGTTTTTTGTCTGGCTTTCTGGGGTTCTGGGATTCTGGGATTCTGGGTGGGTGTGGCAAGTGTCCTGGGGTAATTAGTTGGCAAGGACTTTTTGCGCTTTTTTGCGCATCTCTGCTGGCGGTGTCCTTTAATGGCATTTGGATCTTGGCTCACTGACGTAGCGCGAAAATTCATTAAAACTCGATAATTGCATGACAAGACAAGATTCTCCAACTTGGTCATGGAGTGTTAAGGCAAACCTTCCTTATCCTTTTCCCAAATACCGTTTGGCAAATGGCATGAAAAGCTATAGAAGTTGTTCTCAATTGATATTCTTGCTGTCTTGTCTGATTATATTTTGTTCATTCAAGAGTAATATCTCTTTTTAGGAGGTGGAATAAATTAAAGGTCCTTACAATTTCCAGATGACACTTTTCTCACACAGTTACATAACAATTAATGTAATGAAAAATGGATTAATCTAAAGCTGATGTTTACAAGCTTTTAATCTACTTTGTAGCAATGCCATTTAATTTTCGACCTGAGGAACCTTTTGTGTAGATGTCCAGGCAAGGACACGCAATTTAATTTGCACGCAGGCTAAAATGTCAGCTATTGGCCTTTAGGTTGCCAAAATAGAAATACCTTGTCCGTACCATCGTAGCCTGCGGTTGCGGGTTAGCAAATTGATTTTGTCTGCAAAGGATGCAGAAGCAAAACATCAGCCGAAAGGCAGGATAAACATGCTAAACGTATAAATTTTCAGCCTGATTGCATTTGATGTGTAGGACGTACCGACAGAGGGGGCGGGTGTACAAAGGACTATGCCAGAAATTATACAAAAGATAATGCTGCTGCACAATTGGATTTCCAGCTGAACACGGCAAATGCAGCAGCACATCTTCGTACACAAACATTCATTTTCCACTCGAGTTGAGTTGAGCGCGTTTCGCATTTCAGCAAAATTTCAATGCGACAGCCAACCCAGAATCCCAGACAGTATTGTTACGGTTACGGTTGTCCTGGACTTGGCCACTCCACTCCTCACCTCACCTCTGCCTATCCTGCTCCATCCTCCATCTCCATTGAGTGACATTTATCTTTGTTGTGGAATGCCAGTCGTCCTTTTCTTGTTGGAAGAATTCATTTGCGTAATTAGTGGCCGAGAGGCATCCGCATTTGGCCACAGGACCTAGGTAAGTGCTTCAAAATCACCGCAACTTGCTGCTTTATTATTGGCATCTGGTAAGGGCCAACAGAAGGCCAAAGGCAGAAACCAGGAAGCAGTCGGAATCAGACATCTGGCGTCAGCAAAATTCATAGCATACTTTTCCGGGCTGCTGAATATGCAGTATAATGCAATTGGCATAAAAAGTCGATTTCTGTTGGTCTTAAAGTTCTGCAATGTAGAATTTTTTAAATGTAATTTATAACGAAAACTTTTTAAAAGTCATTCCAACTTAAATTTGTAACACCATCCCCTTATAGGTCTATGAAAAATAGCCTCCTGTCATGTTTTATCCGAAATTGAATGTGATTTCCTGCTTGAAAGTTTTGTTTCTCAGGAAAATCGTAATTGATTTGCTTTGATTGATTCACTGGCTGTCTGGGTGCCTAAAAAAGCTATCTAGGGGTATTAAGACTGTATAATTAAATTACTTTTAAACTGGGAAGTAACTTAATCAACTTGGCAAGCAAGCGGAAAACTTCATTTGTAGCCGTTGCCACGTGGGAAAATGGAAGACGAACAAAAAAAGGAAAACAGAAAAGGATGTAAACGTGAGAGTTACAAGGGCACATACATACAAACACAGACACACACACACAAGCGAAGAACATACATAAGTGAGAAGAAAAGCGAAAGCAGCAACAAAAAAGGTAAGAGTGGAAAATCGGAAAAGCAGCAACAGCAGCAGCCACTAAGCAAAACATCGGAGGAAAGAAAAGCAAACCAAAACAAAAACATACGATTTGCCGGCAAAATGCACGTGACATCTAGCGAGGGGGCGGGAATGGTTGGCTGCCTTCGTCAAGAGATGCTTTCGTTAAAGGACGAGAGCTGCACTCGGCACCTTGACGAAGACGCGCCAAAGCTGCGCAGAATCCAACGAGCGCTATAAAAGCGAGATGTTCGCTGGCCTCCTGGCATTCGATTGTCGTCACTCGCCAGGAGAGCTTCGGAGAACATTGGAAAAGCTAACAAAAAAAAAAAAACAGAAAGGATAAAGCCTGAAAATAAGAGTGAAACTTTAAAGCCAAATTTGCTCGTTGCATGTCCTTTGCGCGAGTGTGTGTGCGTCCGTGTGACGTTGAGTTGGCCAAGTGGATTTCTATTTTTGGCAGCGTTTGAAGTGCAGTGCCAGTCCCAAAATATACAGTGACTTTAAAAGACTTTAAAAATAGTGAACCATCCAAAAACTCCCTAAAGAGAATACAACAAAAATTCGCAAGGATATCGTGGCAATTGCATTCTGATCCTTGGCCATGTGGAGCAGGCAGCGTATGCGCCATAAGCCGCTTTGGGCCCTAATATCCTTGACCGTTTTGCTGCTGGTCTTGGACAAAAGCAATGCCAACACGGAGCCCGTAGAGACCACCACCACATCCGAGCCAGGTGAGTTTTAATTGCTCCTGCCTGCACACGTGTGTGCTGTGTGCGTTTCGGTTTGACCTTCAGTTAAGTGCTGGAAGTCACCATGAAAGTGATTTCGGATAGAGCAACAAGAAATCCACAAAAAATAGTAAATAAGTTATGACAGGCCTCGTCTAAGTTGGTTACATGCCGATGCCAGGTCAGGGCAGTCCAGTTGAGGCCACTTTATTAAATGGCTTTCCATGTGCCCTTCCTGCGATTATCACACACACGCACCACACATCAACCACACCAAATAAAAAAGGAAACAGTGACTGAAACGAACTGAAATCAGAAAGAAAAACAGGACACAGGATGTTGAAACTGAAACTGCAGAGCGCAAAAGCAAATAACTGGAAGCAAATGAAATATTTCACGGCATCTGCGGCACAAAGGCAATCAAAACGAACCGAGAACCCATGGGCAACCTTAATCCCAATCAGAATCAACAAACAAGCCAGGGAAGCGCGAATAAAAGGGCAAAGGGGGGTCATACACTGAGAAAATTATACAATTCTGATGGGACTAATATACATAGAGTTTGTGGAAAGATACTGACAAGTTCTTAGGCATTGAATGTGAAACATTTGAAACTAAAATACCAAAAAAGCCTGAAAGTCAGAAAGAAGAATTATTCCATAATATTTCATATACATCTCCTCCTTTTTTCTGAGTGTATAAAAAGCAGACCAAATGAAAGGTAGCTCGAGCAAAGGGCAATTGCACGAAAGCTCGTAATGAAGTATGGCAGGCTGTCTGAGGCTGGGTAATAGAAATTAATAGCGTCATGTGTGTGAGTCTGTGTGTGAGAAAAAAAAATGGGAAGGGAACTGAAAGGAGCCGCAGGATAATGGAGGAAACAGGGGGAAGTGTAAAGTGCCCCGACAGCGACACGCAGATGCGCATAAAGTAATTAATTCACTTTCCCTCCATGGCACAACCCTCGATGCCCGATTTGTTGAATGCCCGAATCCTTTCGATTCCCTTCTAATTTCCTCTAGCATATCGACAGGGGCAGCTGTCGAGCTTTTATTTTTTTGTGGGGTTTTCAGCCTTCAGTTTGAAGTAAAAAAAATGCTACGCAGTTTGTATTTTTTGTGGGTTGATATTGCGACTTTTGATTTTTATGCGTAGTTTTTGCAAAGTGAGACGGAAACCTTGTGTGGTGCGAAGTGAGATGGCCTGCAGTTTCAGTATCCACAGGATCAAATATTTGCTCGCAACGGAATTTCATTTACATGACTCACAAATGGCATCCAGAGCTGCGTCATTTAATGTTGACTTATGACGTTGAAAAGCCAAATACGAGATGGAGAGATGGGTTGGGATGGGATGGGGCAGAAAGCGAGCCTGATGAAATATGCAATAACCGAAGTAGCAACTAAAAGCTGACAGACCGACAGGACCAGCAGGACCAGCCGGCCAACATTCCACATACGAACACCCACTTCTTCATGTCCTGTCCCATAAATCGTGGGCCCAAGGATAGATGATGATGTTGCGCACAGAGTCACACACACAGGCACAGTCACTAGCACACACGCACATGTGCAGCGTGGTCGCATGTCGCATCTTCGTCCTGGCAGCTTCCTTTCACACATTTTATGTGCTTAGAACAAAGCTGAATCTGCATTATGCATGCAAATGGTATAACTGAGTAACGAACTGTCAAAATCGCAGTTACAGCAAAAAAGCAGTCGGCGATAAAGAAGTTGAAGAAGGCAGACCGACTGACAAGAAGTCGCCAGCGCTTTATGCGCTTTATTATTCGTTCCATATATCCTTTTCTATATGTACGGTCTAGTGTGTGGACTGGCTGAGAGACTGGAGACTGCTTGGCTGCTTCAAATGCAAAAGAAGGAAACGCCAAAGGACTCCTACTGTGCTCGAAATGGAAGTAAAAATGGTAATAGGTATATGTAAGGAATAAAGGCAAACTGCTTTTGCTCGGCAGTGCATGAATGATTTATAGGGCGGCAGCTGTCAAGATGCCAACGATTATCGGTCCAGACCTCCAAGGATGTATGCAGAAAGCCCTTAGTGAATCCGTAACTTTAACAATGCATTTTTTTTTGTGGTAACATATGTGTATAGTTTTACAGACACATCACTTTCGCCTCACAAGTTTCACTTGAATTTTGTTCTGGGTACGCAGAGTAATGCCCGTGGTGAAGATGATGCTCTTGGGATCAGTAACTGGTAGGACCTTGAACTCCTTTAGAAGGACAACCAATAAAGTTTTCATCTCCTGGACGGCATATTTTTGACCTAAAACAATAATGTTGTTTATGTAACACAGAGGGATTGAGAAAACAGGACTCCTTACCAATGCAGTTCCTCTGGCCAGCACTGAAAGGAATATAAGCGTAGGTGTGACGATTTTGGGAATTTTCAGGAGTAAATCTCTCCGGGCGGAACTCTTCGGGGGAATCCCATAACTTGGGGTTGCGGTGGACATCAAAGTTGTGAATCACAATCTGGGTACCTTTCGGCAGGACTAGACCATTATCTAGCTCAGTTTCCTCGACTACTTCACGTCCCATTCCGGGCACTGAGGGATATAGACGCATGGTTTCCTTCACAAAGTACTCCAAGTACTTTAGTTTATTCAAATGACTAATGTCCAAGTTGCTCAAGTCATCTGAGAAATGGATACGAAATTTAGATAAGTTTGCACCATAGATAAGCCAAACCTTAGCAGTACCTTTAATGTGCTCTTGAATCTCCTGATAGCAGAGTTCCTGTTTGTCGGCATAAAGGGACATATTCAGAAGTCCAAAGATCAGACCAATTGAGGTGGTATCATATCCTTCAAACATCAGAGTGTCCACCTCCTCACAAATGCCTATATGATCGATCAGGCCATCCTTCTCAGCATGAATCAGAGTGTCCAGCATGGCAAAACGCTTTTTCTTTCCGGCAAATCTTTCAAATATATTGGGATAAATTAGAGAGTTCCGAAACAATCTTAGCTTTCTACTTACAAGTCATCATCTGCCGTCTGAGTTTCCTTCCGGCTCTGCAGCTCATCTTCCAGCAAAACCCTTCTCTTGGCTATAATTTCACTGGAAAAACTATGGACCACGTCCAGAGCTGCAGCGTAATCCTTGGCAGCAAACCAGTTGAACAGAGTGTCGCCCCAATAAAGGGGATTACTCATTCGTCTGATAAAACACTCCTCGATACTGACGAAATTCTCCCGATAGCGATCGCCTTTCTCGGCCATTTCGTCCAATTTAACGCCCATGGCCGTCTCTAATAAATTAAATGTGCAATTACAAACTTTTCGATTAGATATAGTATTACCCTACCACAAATGCTGTTGAGGGTAAACCTAGGAATAACTTCGTTCAGCGATATGGTGATTTCGTCTAGGCCTTTGAACTGCAGCAAAAACTTCTGGCTCTCAGTTCTACAATGATTTATAAAGATTTCTTGATAATGATGCTATTTCAGCCGTCAAAACTTACTTGAAAATCTCCTGAAATTGTCCTAAAATGTTGAAATGAAAAGTAGGTGTGAGCATCTTGCGTCTGGCATGCCATTTCTTGCCTGTTGAAGTCAGCAGACCAGTCCTCAAAAATGGATGCAAGAAATTGTAGACAATCGATTTGGTTATTAGATTCGGATTATTGAGAATCGAATCGGATCCCTCGGCATCGATGATGTTGTAAATTGGAGTACCCATTACGTATTCCAAATAATTTCTACCCAGTTTGGCACCCACGCGAGTGTGGGTAAAAACACTAGCTATAGGTATTTTATTAATTATAATATACATATATAAATTTTACAAATTTTTAAACTAAAAACTCACCATGATCTTGGCCATACAAATCGAAGCTGTTCCCGAAAATGGTATTACCCTTGTTAATTGCCACAATATTTTCGACAGGTGTACCATCTTTGGTGCGAATTCTTTTTGCGAAAAAGGCCAGTATATAGTAGTCTTTATTAATCTTATAAAGCCAGTGCACAAGTACACTCACGGCCACAATCAACCAGACGACGAACATTTTTAGGCATCCGTTCCCATGAACTTGACTTTCGGAACTGAACGCTGTGCCCCGAGAAAAGCGAGGTTTACTCTTATCACACGGCTGCTAAAACATATTTAGTAACCGCATCTAATAAAAATATTAGTACTTGAAACAGATAAGATTGTACAGAAAATACTTTCATAGACGATTAGAGTCTGCTATTGCCCTAGAAATTTTCTTGTTTTCTCAATGAATTTAATTATTTGAGTGTTTTGTAGATTAAATCTCAAACATTTCGAAACCTTTCCTGTATTCTTGATAAATGAGTAAAATGAGTAAAATAATAATTATAAAAAAAGTATTTTGTTCTTTATTAACAGGTTATTACAACATTCATTTATTTTCGTCTAACTAGCTTTACTTGAATTTTATTTTTAGTCCGCAAGGTGATGCCAGTGGTGAAGACAATACTTTTGGGATCGGTAACTGGCAGGACCTTGAACTGCTTGAGGACAGCCACCAGCAGGGTTTTCATTTCCTGCATGGCATACTTTTGACCTAGAAACATTGAAAAATATATTTTAATAAGCAGAAAATTTTCTAAACTAGATAGTTCTTACCAATACAATTTCTTTGGCCAGCACTGAAGGGGATATAGGCGTAGGTGTGGCGATTCTGGGAGTTTTCTGGTGTAAACCTCTCAGGCCTAAATTCTTCGGGGGAATCCCAAAACTTGGGATTGCGATGGATGTCGAAAACATGAATTGTGATCTGGGCACCCTTTGGCAGGATTAGACCATTAGAAAGTTCCGTTTCCTGAACTGTTTCGCGGCCCATAATAGGAACTGAGGGATACAACCGCATGGTTTCCTTCACAAAGTATTCCAGGTATTTAAGTTTATTCAACTGGCTTATGTCCAAGTTGCTCAAGTCATCTGAAAGTATAATTTAATTTTTTAAAATAGAGTAAATAGAGAGTATAATACCTATTTGAACTTCATTTTACCTTCAATATGCTCTTGAATTTCCTGATAACACAATTCCTGTTTTTCGGCGTTTAAAGACATGTTCATCAGACCAAAGATTAGACCAATCGAGGTGGTATCATATCCTTCAAACATCAGAGTGTCCACCTCCTCACAAATTCCAATATGATCGATTAGGCCATCCTTCTCAGCATGAATCAGAGTGTCCAGCATGGCAAAGCGCTTTTTCTTTCCAGCAAATCTATTAAAGAAATTTATAGAGGCTTTATAGAGTTAGCAATTCTAATCTTTCACTTACAAGTCATCATCAGCCGTCGGATTTTCCTTTTGGCTTTGTAGTTCATCTTTCAGTAGAACCCTTCTCTTGGCTATGATTTCACTGGAAAATCCATGAACCACGTCCAGGGCCGAGGCATAATCCTTGGCAGCGAACAAGTTGAACAGAGTGTCGCCCCAGTAAAGCGGATTACTCAATCGCCGGATGAAACACTCCTCGATACTGGCGAAGTTCTCGCGATAGCGATCGCCTTTCTCAGCCATTTCATCCAATTTAACGCCCATGGCCGTCTCTAATCAATTAAATGTGAAATTATTTAAATCTAATGAAGATTAGGTAACCTCCTTACCGCAAATGCTGTTTAGGGTGAACCTGGGAATAACATCGTTCAGAGTGATGGTGGTCTCATCTTGACCTTTGAACTGTTGCAAGAATTTCTGGCTCTCAGTTCTAAAAAAATGTTTATAGCATTCTAGTAATTAAATAATTTTAAAATTTCTTAAAACTCACTTGAAAATCTCCTGAAATTGTCCCAAAATATTGAAATGAAATGTGGGGGTAAGCATCTTGCGGCGAGCATGCCATTTCTTGCCTAAAATAAGATTATTCCTCTAAATATTTAAAAATATCTAAATCAAAACCCGAAAACCCACCTGTCGAAGTCAAAAGACCAGTCCTCAAAAATGGATGCAGAAAGTTGTATACCAGACCTTTTGATATCAGGTTCTGATTGTTTAGAACTATATCGGCGCTGTCGGGGTCGATTAGGTTGTAAATCGGTGTACCCATTCCATATTCCACATAGCTCCGGCCTAGTTTGGATCGCTCACGGGACATGTTGAAGACCCCAGCTAAGTGAACCAAAAATTAAATGACCGATTCCGATAAGCTTTGTAAAGCCAAAGGTGGCCCCTCCATGACTCACCGTGGTCTTTGCCATACAAGTCAAAGCTGTTGCCAAAAATAGTAACACCCTTGGGCAGGGCCACCAAACTGGACAGAGGTTGGCCGTCCTTGGTGCGAACCCTCTTGGCGAAGAAGGACATAACGTAGTAGTCCTTGTTGAGTCTGTAAAGCCAGTGTATAAGGGCACTCAGGCCTATAACCAGCCATAGAACAATCATCGTTGCACAACCGTAACCGAGTAACTTTCCCACAACACTGATCACTGTGTTGGCTTTTTTTTCATATCAGTCTGTTTAATTATACATATGTCTATTATAACAACAATTATAAGAACATACAGTAAATACTGATTAGATTGCACCGACTATGTCCCCACGCTCGGCTAACTACAAGTTAGAAGCTAATTCAACAGGTTTTGTTTTATTTCTCGGTTAGAAAATAACATATTCGATAGTTACCTCTGTAAACCGGTTTATCAAAAAATTGCTTTGTTTGGAATTTGTTTATATTTTTGTTTATTATAAATATAATGATAGAAACACATGCTTGTACAAAGGTATGGACTGTATTACTGGATTACAAAACAAACAATTTTCTGCAAGCCATCATGACTTTCGATTTATGAAACCTATATGTACTCTTTTAGTCTTCTCACGATGACACTTTCCTTTTCACAAACTTAACTTTTATTTCGTTCTGAGTGCGCAGTGTAATTCCCGTTTGGAACACAATGGATTTCGGATCGATAACCGGCAGAATCTTGAATTTTTTGAGAATGACCACCAAGAGGGTCTTCATCTCTTGCATGGCATATTTTTGACCTGGCCAATAACAAAGCATTATAATTATGAAGTGTTCATTTTTTTTTTGAGATTTTTCCTTACCCAAGCAATTTCTTTGTCCGGCACTAAATGGAATATAGGCGTAAGTGTGCCGTTTCTGGCAGTTGTCTGGGAGGAACCGCTCCGGTCGGAATTCCTCTGGCTCATCCCAGTATTTGGGATTTCGATGGATATCGAAGACGTGTATATTTATTTGAGACCGTTTTGGGAGAATCAAGCCACTGGAAAGCTCTGTTTCCTGGACAGCCTGGCGTGCCAACATGGGTACAGCGGGATACAGTCTCATGGTTTCTTTCAGAAAATACTCCAGGTGCTTCAGTTTACTCAACTGATTCAGGTCAAGGTTGCTCAAGTCGTCTGAAAAGAATAGTACTTTATTATTAGACTTCTAAGGACCATTTTGAATTATTTAAGGACTCACCATGTATGTGCTCTTGGATCTCCTGATAGCAGATATCCTGCTCTTCCTCATAGATAGACATATTCATTAAGCCAAATATAAGACCCACTGCCGTGGTGTCATGTCCTTCAGCCACCAGAGTGTCCACCTCCTCACAAATGCCACTGTGATCGATGAGGCCATCTTTTTCAGCGCAAATCAAGGTGTCCAACATGGCAAACAATTTTCCTCGGGGAACGCATCTAAAAGTGTTTGAAAATATGTATTTGGAATTTAGAAAACGAAGAGTATGTACTTACAAATCATCATCGGCTGTTTGTGTAGCTCTTCTATATTCTAATTCATCTTCAAGCAAAATCCTTCTCTTGGCTATAATTTCACTGGAAAAGTCATGACAAACTTTCAAAGCAGCATCATAATCCCTAGCAGCAAAAATATTGTAGAAGTAGTCCCCCCAATATAGAGGATTTCTCAAGCGTCTTATGAAGCACTCATCGATCATCAGGAAGTTTTCACGATAGCGATTGCCCCTTTCAGCCATTTCATCTAGTTTTATACCCATGGCGGTTTCTGTGGATAGAGTATAATTGTTTTAGAGAGTCCTTTCTAAGGACATAATTCATTACTTACCACAAATGCTGTTTAGGGTAAATCTAGCTACTGGCTCACTCAGCGAAACAAGACTTATTTCATCATTTTCGAATTGTTGAACAAACTTTAGACTCTCGGCTCTAATAAAATAAATAAATTAAATGAATAATTAAATAAATACATAAATATTACCCACAAAAACCTACATGAAGATCTCTTGAAACTGGTTGAGGATATTGAAATGGAAAGTCCTTGTTAGCATCCCTCGTCTAGTGTGCCACTTCTTTGCTGAGAAAAAATAATTATAAACAAAAACCAGATAATAATCATAGCCTTACCTTTTGAAGTTAGAACCCCAGTTTTTAAGAATGGATGAAGAAAATTATAGGCCATCCCTTTGGTTATCAGATTTGGATGATTTAGGATACTCTCCGTGGTGTGGGCATCGATAACGTTGTAATGCGAGATACCCATTCCATATTGGAGATAGCTTCTTCCGAATCCTTTGGCCAGATCTCGCATGTGCTGGAAAACTTCAGCTGATTTAAAAAGATAGATTAGATTATTGAGTTTTGTATTTCAAAATGTTTGAGTATATTACCTGGGTTTTTGCCGTACAAATCAAAACAGTTGCCAAAAAAATATCGTTGCGGGGCTATGGGAGCCAAGTTCTCCAGGGACTTGCCATTCCTGGCCTTAACTCGTCGGGCGAAAAAGGCCAGAACATAATATTCATTGTTTACTCTATAAAACCAGTGCACAATCACACTCAAAGCCACAACAAGCCATAAAAATATAATCATCACGGTTGTGAACTCGTGGGCTTCTCTCACAGTACTGTTTTGGATTTTCATTGTTTTTTTTTTTAAAGCCACTATCAGCTTTCGGCTTATCTGCCGGTTTTTGTTATACACAACAAATAGAAGAGATTAGATTTAATTACACAAAACAAAATATACTAGGGAAATGTCTTAAATTATCATTTTCCAAATTACTTACAAAGGAAGTATTACTAATCAAAAATTAAATTTTTTTAAACATACTATTTAATAAAACAAATTTTGTATAACTTCTCTTAGTGTAGCTACATTTTTTATTGCATTTTGATAAATTTTTGTTGCACTAGCCTACCGAAGAGTCGTTATCTTTAAGAGAGTCCCATCTAACGTAAAATAAACATATTTAATCTAAGGTTTTTTAGTCTCTGGGTTGCGACATGATAATGCTATTTTCTTCTCACAAATTTGACTTTTAATATGTTTGTGGTGCGAAGCTGAATTCCCATTCGGAAAACAATAGGTTCTGGATTTGTTATTGGAACAATCTTGAAATGTTTAAGAATGACCACCAAGAGAGTTTTTATCTCTTGCATGGCATACTTTTGACCTATTTGAACGAAAATTCATTAAAAATATTCAGGAAGTAAAAAACTCATATGGCTTACCTAAGCAATTTCTTGGTCCAGCACTGAAGGGGATATAGGCGTAGGGATGTCGCCTCTGGCAGTTTTCAGTTAAGAACCTCTCGGGTCTAAACTGATCTGGCGAATCCCAGTGCTTGGGATTACGATGAATGTCGAAGATGTGAATGTTGATGTGGGTATCCTTGGGCAGGATCAGGCCATTGGCTAGTTCTGTTTCTTCGACGACTTGACGCGCCAAAATAGGTCCAGAAGGAAACAGTCTCATGGTTTCCTTCAGAAAGCAGTCCAATTTTTTAAGATTATTCAACTGCCTTGGATCCAGATTATTTAAATCATCTGAGGAGTTTAAAAAAATTAGTAGGAGTCCAATTATATTTTAATATTATTTTTCAATACCCTCTATAAATTGCTGGATCTCTTGGTAGCAATCCTCTTGATGATCAGGATAGAGAGACATGTTCATTAGGCCAAATTTTATCACATGGAAGGGGCTGTCATAGCCTTCGTATATCAGAGTGTCGACTTCCTCGCAAATACCTTTGTGATCAATAAGACCATCTTTTTCAGCACAAATAAAAGTGTCCAGCATGGCAAAGGGCTTCTGAGAAGTAAAGCCGCTTTGTAATTGTAAAGTAAACAAAGATAAGTTTGATTTTTAGTAACGATTTTAGTGATGCACTTACATATCATCATCTGCAGATTGGTTTAGACGCCTGTGCTCTAGTTCTTCCTCTAAGAGAATTCTCCTTTTGGCAATAATATCACTAGAAAACTCATGCACCTTTTTCAAAGCAGCCGCATAGTCTCGGGCTGCAAAAAGGTTATACCAAAAATCGCCCCAATATAAAGGATTTCTTATTCGACGCACGAAACCTTGATCGATCAGATGGAAGTTATCCCTGTAGTGTTTGCCAGCGTCTCCCATTTCGTCTAATTTAACACCCATGGCAGTTTCTGTAAGAAACCAAATATTAGTAGGTTTTCTTCATAAAAGAATAAAAGATTACCACAAATGCTATTCAAGGTAAAGCGATAAATGGGATCACTTAGGGAGACGATGCTTGACTCTTGTTCTTTAAACTTATCCACAAACTTAAGGCTTTCAGCTCTAAAAAATAGTTCAAAAGATAATAAATTAATAACATGCATTATTGAGTTGTAGAACTTACTCACATAAATATCTCTTGAAACTGATTAAGTATGTTGAAATGAAATGTTCTTTGAAGCATACTCCGCCTCGTGTGCCACTTCTTTTCTACGAAAAATAATTTTAAAATACAACCGACAAGGATGGATAAGCTTTGAGTCCTCTACCTTTAGCTGTTAGAACTCCAGTTTTGAGGAATGGTTTCAGAAAGTCGTACACAAATCCCTTGTTGATAAGTTTTGGATGATTCAGTATGTTTTCCACCGTCTGACCGTCTATGACGTTGAAACTGGCTTTCCCTATCGTATGGAGGAGGTAGCTCTCTCCGCAACGCTTGGCCAAATCCCGAAAGTATTGGAATCCCTCGGCTAGTGGAAAGATTAGATAAGGAGAGCTTTGGATTGATTCTAACATTACTCCCTTACCATTATCTTTTCCCATCAAGTCGAAACAGTTGCCGAATATAGTGCGACCCTTTGGAGTAAAAACCACACTATTCACACTTCGACCGTCTTTGGTTCGAACTCTTCTCGCAAAGAACGACAGAACGTAGTACTCATTGTTTACCTTATAGAGCCAGTGGATGAGTACGCTCAGAGCCACTATAAGCCAAAGAACGAGCATGTTTTCCTCGACCGAGCTAGACCGCTCACCAAAGTAGACTGTTTTTGTTTTCGATTTTCAGCTCTCCCATCTAGCGAGCTTTCCAATATCAACCGGTTTTGTTTTTATAACAAGCTCTCTATATCATTAGAATATATGGTAGTATGGAATCATTTATAATATCTACATATGTATGTATGTTTTTGTTTTTATTTGTTCGGTCAGCTGGGAGTGATGATGGTCGCGTGTGGGACCTTTGTGACTTATTAGACTATTAGAATGACTATCAGTAATTGTGTTAAGAACTCCCTATTTTCGTCTCACGAACTTGACTTGTATTTTGTTTTGAGTCCGCAGATTGATGCCCATTTGAAAGATAATGGACTGGGGCTCCATGGCTGGTAATATTCTAAACTTCTTAAGAACGACAACCATCAGGGTTTTCATCTGTTGCATGGCATACTTTTGACCTGTTTTAATACAAATATTTTAATAGAATAATATGAACTAAATTGCAATTTCTTACCCAAACAATTTCTCTGCCCAGCACTGAATGGTATAAAGGCGTAAGTATGGCGATTTTGATAGTTCTCGGGCAGAAAACGTTCCGGATGGAATTCGTTGGGGTTGTCCCAGTACTTGGGATTGCGATGGATGTCAAACACATGAATACTAATTTGAGATCCCTTGGGCAGGATTAGTCCATTAAAAAGTTCTGTTTCCTGTATAGTTTCCCGGCACATGAGTGGAATGGACGGATAGAGTCGCATTGTTTCCTTTAAAAAGTATTCCAGATATTTGAGTTTACTCAATTGAGTCACGTTTAGGTTGCTCAAGTCATCTGAAAATACACATTTAAGTATAATGGTAAAGAGGACGGTTTAGTTCCCTTCATTTACCTTCAATGTGCTCTTGGATCTCTTGGTAACAAATATCCTGGTGTTTGCCGTAGAAGGACATGTTTAATAGGGCAAAAGTTAGTCCAATGTAGGGACTGTCGTAGCCCTCAAACATCAGAGTGTCCACCTCTTCACAAATGCCACTGTGGTCGATCAGGCCATCCTTTTCAGCACAAATCAAGGTGTCTAACATGGCAAAGGGCTTGCCCCTGGGAACACATCTGTTTCAAAGAGATTCTGGATTAAAAATGATAGCTCTAATGGAGGTGGTACTTGCAGATCATCGTCGGCTTCTTGGGTGGCCCTTCTATACTCCAGTTCCATTTCAAGAAGAATCCTCCGTTTGGCTATGATATCACTCGAAAAGTCGTGAACCACTTTTAAGGCTGCACTATATCCGTGGGCGGCCAGGAGGTTGTACCAGAAGTCGCCCCAAAATAATGGGTTGCTCACTCTCCGGACAAAACATTTATCAATTAAGTAAAAGCTTTCCCGATAGCGATCGCCAGTTTCAGCCATTTCATCCAGTTTAACTCCCATGGCAGTCTCTGCAATAACATCGTAATCGTAATTATATTTATTACACTATTAATTTTATTATTGGTAGTTACCGCAAATGCTGTTCAAAGTAAATTTTGCTAGGGGTTCACTTAGCCAAACATTGAACGAGTTTAGGCCTTTAAATTGGTCTACAAACTTGACACTCTCGGTTCTAAAAGAAGTAATATTAAAATCAGAGAGTTATTCAATTTTTAAGAACTATTTACATGAAGACATCTTGAAACTGATTCAATATATTAAAATGAAATGTCCTGGTTAGCATATTTCTTCTGGTATGCCATTTACTTTCTGCAATAAACAATATTTTGCAATTATATGTGTTGATTCCATAGAAAATTGTATTACCGTTTGATGTCAAAACGCCAGTCTTCAGAAATGGATGTAGGAAATTATAAACAAAACCTTTGGTTGTGAGATTTGGATGGTTCAGTATAAACTCGGCATTTGGGGCATCGATCACATTGTAGCTGGCATTGCCGACGCGATACAGAATATAACTTTCACCAGCTGCTCTTCTTGCATTGCGTCGAATATGTTTAAAGACTTCCACTAAACAAAACACATGGTAACCAAATCTCTAGTAAACAGATTAGATTAAAGCTTACCTCTGTTTTTACCAAAAAAATCGAAACAATTGGCAAATATGGTGCGACCCTTGGGCAGGGGGACAATACTCTCCGGTGGCTTGCCATTCTTTGTCTTGATTCTTCTGGCCAAGAAAGCCAGAATGTAGTATTCTTTGTTGACCTTATAGAGCCAGTGTAGGAGCACACTTAAAGCCACAACAAGCCAAAGAGCTAGCATCTCTTTAAAACCGAATTCGATGGCAACCAACACGCCACTGGCTCGAGCTATTCTATTTTTTTGTTAGCTCTTAGGTCGCTCTCGAAAGCTTTCTGTTATCAGAAACAACAACTAAACAGATTATATTTCCCTATAAAATATAGATTTACATGCGGCCTGGTTTTAGTTTCATCAGAGTATAGGAGATGCCCAGTCGCGTTTTCTTTTTTATACCCTTGCAGAGGGTATTATAATTTTGTCCAAAAGTGTGCAACGCAGTGAAGGAGACATCTCCGACCCTATAAAGTATATATATTCTTGATCAGGATCACCTCCTGAGTTGATATGAGCATGTCCGTCTGTCCGTCTGTCCGTCTGTCCTTCTGTCCGTCTGTCTGTTTCTACGCAAACTAGTCTCTCAGTTTTAAAGCTATCGTCTTGAAACTTTGCACACACCCTTCTTTCCTTTGCACGCAGTATATAAGTCGGAACGGCCGGGATCGGCCGACTATATCCTATAGCTGCCATATAACTGATTGATCGGAAATGGTATAACTTTGGTGTTTTTAGAGTTAGAGAGTTCAAATTTGACATGAGAGCTAGTTTTGGCAAAATAATACGACATGCCAAATTTCATAAGGATCGGCCGACTATATCCTATAGCTGCCATATAACTCAACGATCGGAAATGACCCAACTTTCGTGTTTTTGAAGATAGAAAGCTGGAATTTAGTACAGATTCTATTTTTGGTCAGTTGATCCAACGTACCAAATTTCATAAGGATCGGCCGACTATATCCTATAGCTGCCATATAACTGAACGATCGGAAATGACCCAACTTTAGCTGCAAGGGTATATAAACTTCGGCTCCGCCCGGAGTTAGCTTTCCTTTCTTGTTTTTTTTAATTTATTTGTTACGCAGCCGGGTATGCCGGTATGTCGGCACCCAGTACGTTGTTCACCCCAAAGGAAAAAAAAACAGTACCAAACAAAAAACACAATACGGCTACTGCGGCGGCGAGGCTGAGAATGTAAGCGACACAATCACGGATTTGTAGTGGAATGGCGTTTTATATTTGTTGGCTTAAAGAAAATTTTATTATACCCTTGCAGAGGGTATTATAATTTTGTCCAAAAGTGTGCAACGCAGTGAAGGAGACATCTCCGACCCTATAAAGTATATATATTCTTGATCAGGATCACCTCCTGAGTTGATATGAGCATGTCCGTCTGTCCGTCTGTCCGTCTGTCCGTCTGTCTGTCTGTCTGTCTGTCTGTTTCTACGCGAACTAGTCTCTCAGTTTTAAAGCTATCGTCTTGAAACTTTGCACACACCCTTCTTTCCTTTGCACGCAGTATATAAGTCGGAACGACCGGGATCGGCCGACTATATCCTATAGCTGCCATATAACTGATTGATCGGAAATGGTATAACTTTGGTGTTTTTAGAGTTAGAGAGTTCAAATTCGACATGAGTGCTATTTTTGGCAAAACATTACGACATGCCAAATTTCATAAGGATCGGCCGACTATATCTTATAGCTGCCATATAACTGAACGATCGGAAATGACCCAACTTTCGTTTTTTTGAAGATAGAAAGCTGAAATTTAATACAGATTCTATTTTTGGTCAGTTGATCCAACGTACCAAATTTCATAAGGATCGGCCGACTATATCCTATAGCTGCCATATAACTGAACGATCGGAAATGACCCAACTTTCGTGTTTTTGAAGATAGAAAGCTGGAACTTGGTACAGATTAAATTTTGATCCATCCTACCAAATTTCATAAGGATCGGCCAACTATATCCGATGTTTGCGATATATATCCGGTTTTAGCTGCAAGGGTATATAAACTTCGGCTCCGCCCGAAGTTAGCTTTCCTTTCTTGTTAATATTGGCTTTGCTTTCAGAAAAGTAACTTGATTTTGAAATCCATTTAGAGCTGTATTGCTTTCTCTTGAATGAGGAAGAAAGATTTTTAATCAACTAAAATCTAATTAGATTGAATTGCATGAATTGCAACATCACTCGGAATACTTTAAGTTAATTTTGTCAGTGTTGTTTTTGCGCTCGACCTACTTTCTGACAAAGTACATGACACATTACGGAATAAAGAAAAAAAAAATGTTGAATGGAAAAGTAAAACTTTAAGACTGCCGTCGGCGATTACGAAATGCTAACTGGAGATGGCGGAAAAAGCTGCCATGACTCTTTCCTACTCCTCCCCAGCTTCCTGCTCCTTTTCCTCCCAAGCAAAGTCTCATGTAAAATGGAAACTCGACTGTGCGTTGACTGTGCAACGATTTTCTTGCCACCCCATCGACCATCCTGCCCTCTGCATCCTGCCATCCTTTTTTCCACTCCCCTGATTACTTGCCAGAATGCCAAATGCATATTGGAAATTTGCAATTTCGATGGCACTCGAAACTCTGGCGACGTCGAGTAGAAAGTTCGCCGAAGCAAGCCAAGTTATTAAATTAGATCACATATGAAATATTTATGACAAGAGTGCCTGCCTGACTGCTTGACTGCCAGACAGCCAGACCTGAAATTGCATTACCTTCGAGGTTTAAGTCGCAATCTTTAGCTCATATATACTCCTACTTGTGTAAGCCATCACTAAGACAAAAACAAATAAAATATTGATTCAAAGAATCAATAAAAAGTATTTAGAGCTTAAATTGTTTTCAATCTAAAAGTTGTTTTTTTTTCAATCTATCTTTAAATAATATTTATTAAATATGTATCTTTGAAATATTTTTCCGAGTGATAATATTATCTGCCTTTTTCCAGATGCCTCGCCTGGCTGCCGGGCACCGGATGTTCGCTTCACGATTGTCAAGCCGGAATCGACCACGGAGCAGCCGTTGGCCAAGTTCGAAACGACTCAGGTCTACCTGCCCGAGGACTTCACCACCGCGGATGTGGAGTTCGTGGAGTCGGCCCCCCGCCATCCGGGGGAGAACCATGCGGCCGTAATCAATCCGTATTCCCTCGACCTGGGCGATGACCATCTGCATGTCGGCGATGCTGCCGCCAGTTTGGTGGCCGATGATGACTTGGGCGACGACGAGGATGAAGAGTTGCACGGTGGACCTACCGATGAGAAGCGATTGAACACGAATCGCAAGCAGGGCAAGCGTCGGCGTTCCGGTTCCGGGCGACGTCGTCGCATCGAGAACGACAATGGCCAAACGGGCAGGGGGCGTGGCAGTCGCTACAAGCGTCATGCCATTCTCCACGATGCGGAAGCCTCGCCGGAAACGGATCGCTGGGCCGGCAGTAAGCTGGCGGCCGAGGGCGATGTCTACTATGTCCACATAGCCGATATCCTGAAGAGTCGCGAACCGAATCGGGAACTGCGCTCCAAGCTGCACAAGCTGAAGATGAAGGCCAAGATGAGCAAGTGCCTGGCAGAGGGTGGCAAGGAGAAGTGCACCAAGCTTCTCAAGAAGAAACCCAAAACCAAGAAGGTCAACCCAGAGGAGCAGACCCTCAAAAAGGAAACCAAAATCATAAAGGAGGAGCGCAGTGAGAAGGACGTGATGGAGGAGCCAGAGTCCAGTTCTGGCCACCATCGCCGACGCGGGGACAGTCACGCTGCAGAGCTCGACCAGCGTGACCGGAGCCCGCGTTGGCGTCGCCGGCGCAGCATTGAGTCCAAGGGTGATCTTGGCCAGCTGCCTCCGGATCCTGACAAGGAACCGGAGCCGGTGGACATTGAAGAACAACAGTACGGAAATCAGTCGAGCAGTGCAGCAGGTAAAGTGACTTTCTCGATACATTTTAAAGAAACTTTGAATCAAAAGTAAAGTTTTTATAATCTTGCGGGATTTCTTGAATTGAAATTAAGTATATGCCTTGTAGGCTGCTAAGACTGTACACCCTGCAAGGCTATAAAAACTACAGAAAAACTTTAATATAAAATTTTTACATTCCAGCAGTGATAATATATAAAGAACATTTCTTCTTTTTTTTTAACTCAAATAAATAATACAAGTATTTCTCTTCAACAGTGGCCCTGCAACGTGTAAAGCGTAAATCGGGCAAGACCACGGGTGCACTGAGCCGTCCGAAGGGTGGTGGCGACTCCAGCTCCAAGACCACCAGTCGCAAGGACAAGGGTGAGTGTGCGTCCGCACGGCGGCCAGACACTGGCAATGCCACAGTGCCCAATGCCTATAAAGATTTGCTCCGCTGTTGCTGTCTCGTTGTCTGTCTGTCTGTCCGTGTAGCGCCGTCCGTCGATCACGACTAGCTTTTTTTATAATTATTAACCCGGAATGTTAATAATCCGGAATGCCCTAGCAAAAAGGTCACAATACAGAAGGTAGATAAGGTTGTCCGATAGGTTATTATTAGTATGTCTTTTTATAAAGCTACTAATTATAACAATTTTAAATAATAGAAACTAATCAAAATCCAAAATATATAAATAAAAAAGCTCTAAAAAATTAAGTATACGTAGGTTGGTCTCCTAAATTCCAAAAATTAAGTATACGCCTAGTGGAACATAAAAAGCATTGCCTATGCTGCTTTTATATTTTTCTTTCAAGCCTTATAACCTCTTTATTAAAAATTTGAATAATTTTGCTTGCCAATATTGAAACTGCTTTTTGCCAGGGCATTAAAGCCACTAGACACTCTCACACACACACATAAAAAGACCCATGCAGGACATGAAACGGAAGTTGAGAGCTGTGGACAGGACACACCGTAACATACTCGTAAAAGCTAATCGCAGTCGCTCACAGCCGCATCCAAAGCCAAAGCCACAGCGCCATCCCATCCACCATCCACCATATAGCATAAAGCATATACTGCATATGGCTCATCCTGTAGTGAATTCACACCTGCTTTGAGGCACCTGCTCCACTGCCAACAGCACCCCAAAACCATATCCTCCCAGCCCACTCTTTGGGCTTTTCATTACCCCATTTTCGCCATCGTCGCTGCGTGGTCATGGTTTATTTGCTCGGCCATATCTTTGTCGTGGTTATAGAGTTCAGACTGGACTGGTGGTCCTTTGTTATGGCCAGAACTTTGTCTCGGTATGGGTGCTGAATGATTTTCCTTTCGGCTCCTTTGTTTGCTTTGGTTCTCTATACTGCTTTTGTCCGTATCCGTAGCCGTATCCGTCTCCGGCTGTGGCTGTGGCTGCGCCTTTTTTTCATCCTATTTTCTATTAGCCGGCCCTCGTTCTCTGACATAATATTATCTTTCGTGTTATCTTTGCCTTTTCACATCTCCATTTTTATTTTTGCACTCGGATTTTTTTTTTGCTTGGATGGGGTTGCTTGGAAATGAAGTTGTATCCTGTTAAGTGGCCACTTCAGCATCACTTCCCCCGGCTCCCGGCTCCCGAATTCTTTGCCTTCTTTTAATGCATATCTAAGCACTCGTCGCAGCTTCCCATTGAAATTTTCAGCTGGCAGCACTTTTCGCACGTCCCGTGGCTTCTCTATGGCTTAATGTGGCTGCTCAAGTATTTTCCGCAATTTCATGAAACCTTCTCAAGTGGCTGGGTCAACTCGGGTTGACTCATGAATACATCCATCTTGGCTATCAGACCCGCTTAAAATAACACCCAGCGAGGGTCAAACTGAATTAATTTTACATAAAATTTAACTATCCTCTTTAAGGATCAATGGATATGGATATGGTGGTAGAAATATTTAGAATCAGCCATTGACATCCCCATTTCAGTTCTGCATTTGCATTGGCCTCATTAGCTCATTAGATGCTTGCTCTATTTGCTCCCCCCTCTCAAAGTCTATCTACCCGCCCCCCTTTTTCTTGGCATGGTACATTGCCCATCTCATGACGCCCACACCTTCTGCTCTTCTCGTCCCACTACTTCAAAATCAAAACAAAAATATAGGTATCTATGATGAGGAGACTGGCTATTCGCCTGTGCATCCGGATGAGGAGTTCGAGGAGGAGGAGGAGGAGGACGAGGAGGTGGACATCCTGCAGCAGTTCACCGAGGTGTCGGAGATCAGGTTTCCGGGCGAGATTGGACCCATGGGCGATCGCCGGCTGTGCAAGATACGGTGTGTCAAGGGCAAGTGGGTGGGTCCGTTGTGCGCCACCAACGAGGAGGGTAAGTGAGCACACACCGCCACCCACCAGATACACACGAGCCATGCCCCAGACACAGCACACACAATTAAACAGCATTACATACAATAGATACCTAGTTGCAGTTGCAGATACATTTAGCCAGCAGTAACAGATACATTTAAGTCACACAAACAGATACAAATGCAAATCCATTTAAATGTTCGAAAATAAAGCAGACACAGTCAAGTACACAATCAAGAGACACAAACATCCAGATTGTTGTTTCATTTAAACCCTATTTTGATTCGCCAATTAAATACACAGAGAGAAAAGTTTAAGTACTTATTATTTTATCAATTCACAAAAGAAAACTCTATTTTTCTTATAATTTATCAGTCAAATGACAAAAAAAACACTCATCCGCTAATAAAAATGAATCCCTGTTTTTGATATTTTTTCTCTGTGTACCAATATGTGTTTGCCGCCCCCAGATGATAATGGCAACGTCAAGTTTCAGCCGCTGTACAAGAGCTGCCACGTGAACCGGATACCATCGCACCTGCTTCTCAGCTATCGCAACATCTCAGTGGTAAGTGGTTCCGGCGGGCAAACCGTCGTTGTGGATCCGTCGCCTCAGCTGGCTGCCGCACCACCACCACAGATACCACGCAGATGCACCACAGCACCACCACCACCACACATATCCACATGCCACAACGCGCACACACGCACACACATACATACGATTTTTGTAGATTTCCGGAGGAGAGCCTGTATATCAGCTTTTGCCAAAAAAGGGGATCGCAGCTCCGATCTTCGAAACTCTGTCTGTCTATCTCTCTCTATTTAACTATGTCTTTCTCTGTCTCTATTTCTCTAATATCGCACGACCCGTCTTGCTATCGCTCTTATCTCATATCAGCCTGAAAAAAAAATCACACCAAAAAAATATAAAAATAATAAAATAAATAATCAAGACCAGCGTCTAAGCCATCTGCATGCCGATGCTCGGGAATCGGGCAATACGATTCCCTCGCTCTATGATATAGTAGTAGTGTGTTGTTTTTTGGTACTCTCTGATTCTCTCTCTTGCAGACTCCGATCCCACCAAATCGCGGCTGGCGTAAAACGCGATTATCCAAATCGACACTTCTCTCAAATACAGAAATTGTGAGTCGTCGTTGTAGATTGTGTTGTGTAGATTGCACCAAAAGAAAAAAAGACACCAACCAGAACAGATCTAAGATACACCAGATACACAGATACAAAGACACAGATACAGATAACAGTTAACAGATAACAGATTACAGATACAGTGGGTCCTGTTGAATGAGTTAATGAATGATACTCGAATACCAGATACAAAAATACAAGTTACAGATACACTGCGAGGAACTGCACGCCAGAGCAACCAGTGCCACTTTCCCCAGTCCAAGGACCCATCTGATTTTTGATAACTTTCTCCACTCTCTCTCTCTCTCTGTCTCTTTTTTGTTTTTTCTCTCCCTTTGTACTGCACTTCTAATCACATTCCTTTCACCGCTTGCTTGCCACCTGCCACTTTAATTAGAATGTGGGATGGGATCTGCCGCACGGACATTCCCTGCAAGCCCGTTGCCAGGAGCTGGGCATCTACAAGCTGCTGGGCGAGTCCCGGGTCCTTTGCTCCAACGGACTCTGGGCGCCGCGCATGCCCAGCTGTGTGCCCACCACCGTCCTGACCAACTACTCCGAGGACAGTGCTCCCTCCATCCGCATCAAGATCTTCAACGGCTCCTACTCGTTCGAGCCCTCCGGAGTGATGGCAGTTCCTCCTCACAGCACGGTCCTGATGGACTGCATGTATCCGAGGGTCAGGGGCACGCCGGAGTGGAGCTGGACCAGCTGGTACATGCAGTACTCGACGGGTGGGTGTTTCCCTATGGAATGAGATGAGTTTATTTCGGTTTCTTCTGGCCCTAATAGGTTGGTCGCCTTCCCAGGAAGAAAAGGCTGTACGCTACCGTCTGAGCATCAAGAATATCGAGAATAATGACTCTGGCACCTTCACTTGCACCTCGCCGCGTGGCCTGACCAACAGCATCGCCGTCGTGGTGGCCACTTCGACGTGTCCGCAGCTGACAGAGCCGCTGGCGCCGCTCAAGCTGCGTCTCGAGGGCAATAAGCTGGGCCAGCGGGCGCACTACGAGTGCCCCGAGGGCTTCCGGCTGGACGGGGCTCTGAATGCCACCTGTTTGGCCTCCGGCAATTGGTCATCGCCGACGCCGACCTGCCATGCTGTCCAGTGTCCCCGTCTCGAATTGGATGACCCCCATCTCAGTCTCATTGAGCTGAACACCTCGGCTTGGGGGCGGGCGGTGTTCAAATGCCAGTGGGGCTTCAAGCTGACCGGACCGGCGCAGCTGGACTGTGAGCCGTCGGGCGTCTGGAGTGGCCCCGTTCCTCGTTGCAAAGGTGAGTGCTAACCCCTAAACTAGGAAGAATAAGTTTTGTGTTTCGTTTATTTTGGATATTAATTCCAACTGACACACAGGGCGTATGAGTAATATTTTTTTTAATAAAAAGTTACGAGCTTAATTGGGTAATGCCTTTAATTTGTTTTATTAATATTTGTTTTAGTTTTATGGAAAAAATAATTAATAATAATATATATTGCTTCCTTATCCACCACCCCCAACACAATACCGCCCATACACCACAGTCATACAGTGCGTGATGCCAGTGGCGCCGCTTAACGGACGGATCGGGGGCACCAGTCTCAGCCAGCGACGCCTCACGGTGGGGGCGTTGGTCACATTCAGCTGCAACGACGGGCACAGCCTGGTGGGCGAGTCGAGCATCATTTGCACGGAGAACGGATTCTGGTCGCACTCGCCGCCATTTTGTAAGTAGACACCGCAACTACTAAACTCACACACATTCACTGACACAGAACGCGAACGCTGCGAGAGATTGCCGGCGGACGCCCCTACTTCCTCCTCCTGCCTCGTGGGCCCCGAATTCAGACCAAAACTCAATTAATGAACTTGTGTTGTATTTCCGCACCGATCTTACTGATACCTGTTACCTGATTACCTGAATACCTGAATACCGAATACCGATTCCGATATACGATACCGCTCACGAATCATCACTCTTACATAAAAAAAATGCATAACATGACCACCACATCCACCACGTTCGCTCGCCCAGGCAAATCACAGTGCCCCTATCCGGGCGATCCGCCCAACGGCCTGATAGCTCCGCTCAAGTTCAATTACGATGCCGGCGATTACCTGAGCGTCCAGTGCCGGCCCGGATTTGTCCAGAGTTACGAGGGTCCGCCCGAACGGCCCAAATGCCAGCCGGATGGCCGGTGGTCCGGACCCCTGCCCAAGTGCAAGAGCTACGAGGAGGTGTAACAGCCGCGACTCCACATTCCCCAGGAGCCACACATCTCGTCGGAATCAGAGAATCTTGATGAAAAAACCAGAAAATATAACAATGATCAGCCACAAGCAGAAACCGAGTGATATTTAGATTAACTTAGTGAGAGGTATCAAAATTAATAGATATTTTATCAGATAGGTTCTATTTAACGAGAAAAAAATATATAAAATAAATCAAATCTTTGTCATTTAGTGGCCCACGAATTTTTTGTCAAAAGCTCCAGCTCTCTATCTGTATCCTTTTTCAAGGCTTTAATCCGAATATATAGATCGAGTTGATCAGGCACCACACTCTCTACCCGGTATAACTCGAAAAATTTGAAAAAAAACTATTTGCAATTTCTTGTACTCTAAACTCTAAACTATTTAAAGATATATATATATATATAATCAACAGCTAAGTACAGGTATTTATATATATTATGTATGTATTCTGGTTACAGCTCAAAGTTAATTAAATGTAAATGTTTAGAGGAAAAGGATAACGAACACAAACTTACCCACTGTGCGAGTATATAAACAAATATACAGATTAAAGAATTCTATTCCAGCATAACAATTGTACTACACTGAGAGATGAAACGATGAGGGTTGCAGCCGCAGTTGTTGGAAAAGTTAGTTAGTTAGGAGCTAAGAGAATGGCAAGAGCATGATATCCTTTGATAATTCCATTTAGAAAAGCGAAAAAGGTGCATTGTAAGCAGCTGCAATCTGTGTGTAAAGAAAAGAACGTTTTAAAATAAAATACAAATATTGTGTAAAATGCAACTTACTGTCTTTAACTGTGTGTGTTGTGTTGTGTGGGGTGTTATCCTTATAGCCGAGCATCTTGGAAGGGAAAATATCCTTTAGCTTGGCGTGAAAGTGTGCCAAGGAAATCCATATATGCACGTGTGTGTTTTCAGCTCCTGCTCCAAAAACGGTTGCTAATGCCAACACAGGATCAAAATCTACAGAAGCGGCACACGGCAGCAAATGTGTGCTACACTGAGAGAAATATGAGGTATTGGGAAGGTAATGCAACATGACACATTTTGAGTTTTAAAACTTATATTTTCCAGTGCTTTTAACTGTTCCGGTGGCATGCTGAAAAGCGGAAGTGAAATTCATTTAAAAGTTGCACGGTGGGGGGGAAATTTAGTTGGTAATCTTCTCTAAGGTTGGCCGTTTGTGTTTGTGGTGTGGCAGTGTGTGTGGCAGGCATCAAGTTGTGCAGCAATAACAGCAGCTCATACTGGAAAAGTGGGGGAAATTAATTTGTTTCGTTGCTTTGCACCTCGAAACGATTGGAGGCTTCATTTCCACCGACACCAACCATTTTCCACACATGGCCACAGAAACGCCATTGTCGTTTATTTTCAGCCACGCCCACGCCCATTTAATGGCAATTTTCCGGGGGGTGGGAAGGGTGCTCTGACTTCCTCAAAAGGTGTCTAAATTGAGGAGGACCCCCCTCGTTGTCAACAAAGCAACAGTGACTGTTCCACTGTTGGTGCGTAATTAAAATTAACTGCTCCTGTTACGAGGACGAGGACAAGGACTAGAAGGAGGAGGGCTCTTGGTGTTCCTTGGCGCAAATTGGTTTTGCTTGTTTGTTGCTCGAGTCCCCAAAAATTAATACAACAAACCCGGCTGTACGACATAAAACTCGCATTTAACTCAAACCCAATTCCGAGGCGGAAACTTTAAAGGCGTCCAAGTACCATGTAGCTCTAATTGTTGGGGTTAATTAAGTTGCAAGCAGGGCGCTAGACGAGAGCCAAGAACATGCAATTACCCGGACGCGGATGTGGCTGTGGGAGGTGTGTGGGAATGCCACATATCCATTTCCGATTTGTTCTAAAAGTTGAGCAATTTTCATTAGCACCTCTGGAGCAGGGTGTGATACCATCGTCGGACATCCGAGTCAGCTGAAACATATCACAACTGCAATATTTTCAGTCCGTGCTAGCCGGGCCAGAAGCGATGAACTATGCACGTCACGTAGCACGAACACGGTGTCGCCAACCCAAAGGAAAAACTCTGTGCAACACCCACATGCCACACAGTAGAGCGAATATTGGAGCAAAGATTGGATAGAGGAAGAGATTAAAAACAGAAATTAAAGGGTTTACAATCATTTTATAATTAAAGGGATCTATGTTGGTTTATTTTGAAAAAATATGATTAAAAAAGCTATAAAATAAGCTGTAAAAAGCCCCTCTTTGCTCAGTGTATGTAGGTCAGGCTCAGTAAGAAAAACAACGAGCTTGGCCCCGCCCCTTTGTCCTGCCCTCCAGTCATGTCCTGGCCTGGATGTTAAATGCACGCCAAAGCCCCCGAGGCGAACTACACTTGAACCCAGTCCCCAGTCTTGGCCCTTTCACCCCCAAAATCCTCAGCAATTTGTGCTTCCAGCTCCGTTTCGGTGGAAAGACAAAGTGCAGTGATGGCCATAAAGTCATCTTAGCCATTTATTCCAGCAATTCGTTGGCTTTAAAGTTGGCCGCATAGTTGACATATTTCTTTAGTGCCGAATGCCTTTGGGAAATGGCAAGTTTTGTTTCCGGATGCCGCTCTAGAAACACAATTACTCATCTGAATATTTTGATTAGGCGGATGCATTGTATGTATATTTATGGGAATCCGTATAGTTGGATGAAAACACCATTAATCACCTAAGGGACTGGACTGGCTGAAAGCCAATCAATGTGATCAAAACAAGGTAAGTCCCAGGGGAGAACCTTTCTCTTAAAAATGAAAGGCTTTCAGAGCGATAACTACTTTCTTGTTAAAAGAAATAGTTTTTCCCTCACAACCAAGAATTCTCAACAAAAAACTAATCCCGAGCTGCGTAATTAGGTGCTAGTTTTTTGGTCTTGGCCATGACTGGAGCGCTAATTGAAACTTTACACCTGCTGCCGACATTTTCATCAGGCTGCAGCTTGGAAAACAGGCAAATATTAAAGAGCCCCAGAAGGAGCAGCAGCACTCGGGGAAAAGCCGCACTTGAACTTTCCCCGGCAATTGGTCTCCAAGGAGCATTTTGATGTGCACGTTGCTCTAATTAATCCAACAACCGCAGGCACCAGCCAGGTGAGAGGTGAGTGCTGGGCGGGTGCGTGAAAAGTCCTTTTGGAATTCCCAAGCCATTCACATTACGCATACGCCATGCTGCCGCTACAAAGTGATTTATTTGCGCGTCGCGAAATTAACATTTAGATTAAAGAGCGCGGGATTAACATTTTCCATAAATATTTATCTTAAGCCGAAAGTGCGAGAGTACGAAATATGGCCAAAGCTCTTGGCTGCAATCTAACTTGGTTATATTCCCCGGAACCGGCAAGTAGCGAAAAGTATTTTGCATTTTCCACAACGTAATCCGAATCGGATGGGAAAACGAAAACCAACAATGGACACTGGAAGCTGGGTGGAAAACTGGCTGCAATGGATTGGAGAAAGGGGCGAAATTCGAAACGATGTGGACACTAAGAATTTCCATTCGAATTCTTCGTTCGAGAAAAAGCAGCTGCTTCTTAGGATACGGACACTGATATGCCTGCTCGCTTTCTTTTCATTTTGCATTTTGTTATCACTGATAACAAAAAAGCAGAATCGATATGGATGGAAAACCTTGGGTAATCAACTGCAACGGCATGATGAAGCAGAATGACAGGATGCCCCACAGAATTGGAAACTCTAGTACCCTGTTTAGCAATGGAATCTAGTAATGGATACAGTAGCTGCTCACCAGTCAGCTTGAATTTATTTCAATTATTTGCGAATTCCCGAATTATAATCAAAAGCATTCAGGGTAAGCCTTAAATTTGATATGCAAATTAACGAACCGGGAAGCCAAGTGCTTTAAGCTTACAAAATTCATACATACATTTGCATAAATAAATATCTTATGAAATATATATATGTCTGTATTCAGCTACAATTTATGTACTTCTGTTTTGTATGTAAAGAAGGATATATGTATGTGTGTATGGAGATCCCCTCTGCCCCCCAAAATGCCAAAATATACAATATCTCCTGTCGGCTGTGAATGCAACTTCCGCTTTGATGCTTCCACCTCAGTGATTTTTAATAATAAAATGAATTGTAGCGACAACGTACAAATTGATAACCCGCTGTGTGCACTTCATAAAAAGTGTAAGCCGCCAAGGGTAAAAGTTTTTTACACCTTTCCCGCCGAGTACCGAGTGCCGAGTGCCTGGGTGTAATATAAATAATATGCCGAACAACAGCCGGCCCAACAATGGCAATAAAAGCGTTACAACTCAGTCAAAAGACAAAGTCAAGTTGGTGGCAACAGCAAAGCAGCTTCAAGTACGAAATGACAATTGACACGAGTTGGCGGAAACACCTTCTGCCAGCGCCTTGCTCGGCTCCTTCCTTTGTTCTCTCTTTAAAATACAGTGCACACCTTAACCCCTGTAAGGCTGAATGAGGGGGGGAATCCCCTTACTTGCCGCAACATACAGACCCGTCCCCCAACCGACAACTTCAGTGCTTCGCACAATTTATTTTATTGTTGTTTGGCAAACAACTTTCATAAGTTTCCAGCTGTTCACAAACGGCACTCAATTTTGGTCACCATAGCAATCGTTGTAGCTGTCGCCTCCTCCCTGCACTTTCTTCGGGGCCGTTGAAAGTTAGAAAGCGAGTTTTACATTATTAGTTGCCATGGTCTGTTGGTGTGACTGCGCTGGTCTTCTCCCAGGGAAACTGCCGTGAAAACAGACGGACTCCGGGTTGTCCGGACTTTTCAACAGACGGACAGGCTCATTACCATAAGCAGTTGCAGCTGCTGCGGCATTTAAATTTGCAATTCGCTGAATGGTCTGTCCTGGCCTGGGAATGAAATTGGCAAAAGAAAGCAACATCAATGTAAATTTAAAAAACCAAAAATGCAATTATATAACTGCAATGACTATAACCACAAAAATAGTTGGCTTTTATAAATATAATATATCCTTTATTTTGATGCCGACTTCTATAAGTTTAGAACTCTCTTTTCTAAATTTTATAAAACACAATTGAATTTTACCCAACAAAAGAAAAAACTTGCAAATAATTGTTGACCAAAACATTCCCATTTGGTGTCCGAGAGTGTTTTTTGTTTGTTCGTCAAAGCGAATCAATTCAAAGCCAAAAAGTCAATCAATTTCTGGAAATAAAAGCAAGCAAAGACCGCCCAACAAATATTTGCAGCTGCTGCATTCAGTTTGGGCCATTTTGCATTGGGCTTGACCCGGCCAAAAATTTGTCGAAATGGTGTATACACAGGATCTCTCATCCTTCCTGCTCTTGTATGCTTGTTGTGGCTGTGTGTTTGGATGTTTTGGGTGTGTGTGCTACCAACAATAAATAAAGTCTAGCCGGGGTGCTCTTCAGCAAAAACAATTATGGCTGCCAGCGGGTTATGGTAGTCTATGGTAGTTTAGAGACTATTTCCTGGAATATTTAAAAAGTTTCTATTGTTTACAACTACCACTAACAACTTGTATACTAATTAATCAAAATATTTGGAAATTAAATTTAACTTTAAAGTAATCTTAGAAATGGCTTTACCCACATATTATACGTTTTACATATTAATTTCCCTTAAGAGGTTGGGAGCTGCTGGTACTGGTTGCTTACAACCCCCGGGCCCCGAGCCAATTAGATCATGGTTTTTGGCTAAAAAGGTTTCACCGGAACTGTCGAGATACATTTTCCTGGTCGGATGACAAGCATATGGCTTGAAAGCAACCTCACCGCAATCCACTCCGACTTTAAAA